TTTTTTAAAATTTATTTATTTAAAAAAATTCCCGAATCTAAGACATTTTGAATTTTGATGGCAAAGTTCATCAAGGTTGGGCCAGAGAGCAAAATAAAACTATACTTTTAGAAGCTTAAGAATATGATTATCATCCAGTTGTTTAGTTATATCACTGACACGTGTCCTATTATGCATAGGTAGGCAATACTTTAACCTAGCTTTAGCTTAACTTTTGCCCTTTTTACCAGATTGGGCAGTGATTTGCCCATGTCTGTGATAAGTGGAGCATCTTTGCTGCTCAAAAGACCATAACGCCCTTTCCAACTTAATTTTTGCTTTACTAAAATTTAATTTCAATTTATGTAATTTGTCAAACCCCACAAAAAAAAAAAAAAAAAAAGAAAAAAAAAAAAAAAGAAGAAAAAGAAAAAAAAAGAAGAGATCACTACATTATGCTATATTATAATTTTTTTTCAAATAATTTCAATTTTTTTTAAATGTTCATGTTCTCCTTCAATTGAATACTAATTATAGGAAAGTATATATATATATATATATATATAAAATATAAAATGCAATTATTTCATAGGAGACCAAATGAACATAAAAAACATAAATATTTTTGTTTGTTTAACAAAAAAAAGATAAGAATTATAAATTACAAGGTTAAAAGTTAAAATTGACGTTGTGGATTGATAGCTTTGTTGCATTGTAAATTACATAATTAACGTTGTCTATATCATTCATAGGATTTGATAGTAGTCCTTGTCGAATTTACAGCTAAACTGTTTTAAATGATTTTTTTTGGGGGGGTCAAAATTGCTTTAAAACGATTTTGTGTCTTTTCAGAAAGAAAATAAAAATAAAAATGGAGCACCATCCCAAAAACAGAAGCAAAATGATTGTCCACCGAATAGTAGCTTCGATCCAAACCAAATCTTCGAGACTCGAATTCCTGTTGAAACCCTCAAAGACATCTCTAGTTCAAAACAGGAATGATATCAAAGTAGGTTTAAGGACGAACTAGGGTTAAGCTATCCTGTTATCTTCAATGAGAAAAACAGAAGAAAAAATATCCAATGGTTCTCTATGAACTTGATAAATTCAAAGAATACGCGTGCGCGCACACATACACATATATTTTGATGTTTTCTGAAATCGTTGAATATTCAGTTTTAAATTCATTAAATTCATAAATGCACAAGCGTATGTATTTTGAGAGACCGATGAATGCAAGAGAAAGATCAAGATCAATAAGTCTAGTCATATGTCATAACTCATGGATGCATTTGTCAAATTAACGCAATACTTTGAAATAAGTAATCACTAATAAGACTAAATAATTAGAATTTAGTGGATGAAACATAGGCAGGTGAGAAACTGATTTTGTCTACTTGAGGATAAAAGACACAAGCATAATTATTGGAGTATGACATTGAAGGAAAAATGCTAGCTAACTCAATAATCAATAGGAGGATGGATGTCGAAATCGCTGGTGTGCCAAATGTTTGATGGTGGGTTCCAAAAACACAAGAGGACTAGATGGAGTATACTTGGAAATCATACATTTACTAAAAATTTCAAACATATTAATAATTCAAATCAATCATTCGATAACGTAATGCGTGAAATACTCTGGACACAACATTATTTGATGTGAATTATTCTCTCTTTTTTTCTTCTTTTTTGGGGGGTTTTTCCTGTCTCCTTTGAATTTCATTATAAACAATCATTCAACTCATTCCTTTGTATCATTTTCATGGCTGGGAGGCTCTGGACCATCCAGTTGTGTCCATCTAAGAGCTCATTAAGAGGAAAATGAAACATTCTTCTATATATAGAGACTTTTATTGGTAATTATCATGATGGGGATGAAAGGGATGTGGCCGGCTGGACAAATCTAGCCATCAATTGCGTTTACTTTCACTTCAAGTGATAGGACCCACATGAGGTTTATACCTTCTTCCATTCATTGTAAAAGTTTAATTTTGCTTCAGCACTTTCACTTCAGGTATAGTTCTCTACCATAAAATTTTAATCAAGCAAACCCCTCACCCACCCACCAGATCCTAAATCCACAGCTACCCAAATTTACTCGGCAAAATTTTGATTCTTAGAAGTCCTTTTGTTTGCTTTGCAAAAATGGGAGATTCTTACTTACATCTGGTGGAGCTTTGTTGGCCTCGACATTGAACAACATTCGAACCTAAATAATTGGGTTTGTTGTCCTTTATGTTCGCCTATAATTAATTTATGCAGAGCATCTTCTGAAACTCTTGTTCAGAAGGACAAGAACTTGCGTGTCACGGAAATAACACTGTTTTGCTATCTTCATCCAATTACGTTTTGTCATGTGAAAAAGTTATCACGCGTGTCGGAACGTGATCGGTTGGAGATAGCAAAACAACATTATCCCCATAATATACAAGTTTTTTTCCTTCAAAAAGGAAGAGAAGAGAGAAGAGGGCTTATCTTCTTCGCCTTTATGCATTCAACTGTAACAACTGGTTCAGCTGCCAATGCAGGCCTATAATGGTGAGCATGGGGTACGGCATCCAGTAGGATGGGATTTTCAGAAATTGAACAGATCAATTATTACAATTGAAATTGACCCAGAAAAGAAAAAGAGATCCATTTTCATAGCATTAACTATCAAACTGAACAATTCTCAGAAAAATAAAGTGAGAAATCAAAATTAAATTTGGTGCAGTCAGTCTGGGTTTCTCCTGCCCCGAGTATATATATATATATATATATATATAGTAATGAATGAGATCCTACATGTACTAGGATAATTAATTTTGGTACCCTTAAAAGCTTGAACTTGTTGAGTTTGTTACCCAAACTTAAAGTTCAGACTCCGATTCATCAACAAAATAAATTGAAATACAAGCTGGAAGGGACTTGGTTGTTGTGATTAAGGGATCTATTTTTGGCTAAAGGGCTCCATGACATCAAACCAGACCGTGTGGCGGTAAATATTTCTAACCGCTCAAGCTATAAGTTCTTTACTTATCATCATATTCTTTTTAAATTAAAGTTAAAGGGTATTTTTTAAATATGCACGAACGAGCGGAGTAATTAAGTTTATTTTTGGGGGACTAGGACAAGAAAAGTGGATTTGGTTAAAGGTAATTAGCTTGGGAGAGAGCAATATTACCACCTTTACTGTGAACGAAATCTTATATCAATGGCCTTAAATACTGGTCCTAAGCTTGTTCTTCACTTTCCAATGAAATCTCAAAAGACCAACATCCTCTTAAGAAAGATGTCATATTTTCCAAAAACCCACGAGCACCCGACTTAAAATAAAATCAAGTAAAATGTCACATAGCCCAACATAAATTAGATTTCCTGGTCCCCCCTCCCCACATCAAGAAAGAAGACCAACCCCCATTAAAAAATATAAAATGAATAGATAAATAAAGATGGGGGTTTTATTAAATTCATAATGGCTTGATAAGCAATAAACAAACATACACCTCATAACTTTAAACATATTTATAGCCGTAGATTAATGTCTAAAACCAACTTAATCATTAATAACCCCATTGAGTGGACTGCAGCAGAATTTTGGGGCCCATGCAGTTGATCATTTCACACTAAGATTTGCTTTCTCCGCCGTTAGATGGGTCCTAAGGAGTACCAAGTAAACGGCTGGGATTAAATTATTGGGTCTTGTATGTAATATTGAATTCAATTGGAGGGGGTTGAGGGGCATGATTCATGAAGAAGCACATCATCCATTTTTGTCCCCAGAGGAAAAGTAATTAAACTATATAATTAATTTTGTTAGGATATTTGTTATTGAGAAATGCGATAACATATTAAACTCACATACACTACACGAATACTAGAACTCGAATCCTAAACCGTAATTATTAAAGAGAAAATGTGGCCTAAAAAGACTGATTATGCATGGTAAGAAGGTTTACAAATTACAAGACACACAATACATATACAAGGAACCTCATCATTCCAAGCCTCTCTCTCTCCCTTTTGGAAAAAATCAACAAAACAAGAAATATCTAGGAAATACAAACCACAAATTTCAATAGAATAGAGGGGGAAGTAAGGAGCCAAGTCAGTAGCTCGAGGAAGAAAAAGAGGAAAGAAGAAGCCAAAGAGCACTCAAATCAAAAGAATATTGAAAGAAAGAATTAGAAGAAGAAGAAGTAGAAACTAGAAAAACCCAGTCAATCCAGTCAAACACTTTACAACCCAATAACCTCAAAATCTAAAAACCTCACAATTCCAACTAAATTAGTAAACTAAACATACCCACTTGCACCTCTCTCTCTCTCCTATTCTCTCTCTCTCTACCCCACACTCTATGCCTCTCTATTATAATTTTACATGTATAAAATTGATAATGGGCAATTGGGCATGCTTTAAATAAGTGGGAGAAAAGAAAGGCAGAAAAGTAAGAAATTGGAAGGGAGCTGGAGGAGCTCATGAAAATTTCATGCTCTTGTTGTTGTATAAGTATACACCTCTCCTCTGCCAATGAACCAATGAGCCAACCTCTCTCTCTCTCTCTCTCTCTCTCTGAACTTACAAGCAAGCACACAGAACAGATAGTCTCTTTCCTTTTTGGGTATTTTTTAGGCTTCTTTATGGACAATTTTTCTTTCCATAAATCTCTTTTTATTTTTTCACACATCCTTTCAGCCCATTAAACAATGAAAATGGCATATTACCATTCATCCTTTCCCCTCTATAGGAAACACCCATCATTGCTCCCAACAATCGTTTTCAACCTTAGAAACCTGAGCTGCTGCTTCTTCTTCTTCTTCTTCTTCTTCTAAGATATTCCCTCCTTCCCATAATCCCATTCCTTCCCTTTACTTTCCATTTCATTTCTCTCTCTCTCTCTCTGTCTTTTTCTCTTCTCCTCCTCCTCCTTCTTCTTCCTCTCACCATTTAAATACCACCCTCTCTTTTTTATCCCAACTCAATTTCAACACACCAAAAGAAAAGAAATTTTATAAGGAAAAAGAAAAAAGAAGAAGATCAAAATGGATCCTTCATCCACCAACTCTGTCAATGGCTTCTATTCGTTTCTGACTCGCGGGATCGACGATCTTGAAAGGGTTTATCTTTCAAACAACTTCATGTCAATCCAATTCCTTCAAAGGGCTCTTTCCCTTCTTCGATCTTTTCATTCCCAGCTGACCCTTCTCGTCCAAAAGCTCCATTTGCCTGTTGGGGACAAGTGGCTTGACGAGTACATGGACGAAAGCTCCAAGCTTTGGGAAGCCTGCCATGTCCTCAAGTCTGCCATCTCTGCCATGGAGAATTACTACACGTCTGGCCTCAACATCACCTCCACCCTCGACTCTCATCGCCATCTCACCCCTCAGCTCTCTCGCCAGGTGGGTTTTCAAATTTGATCACAATCTTTAAATTTTTTCCAATCCATATTCTTTTTCGTCATGCACAAGTCGTCTGATTCATTCGCTCAATAATTTCATCAAACAGGTGGTTCGCGCGATTTCTGGGTGTCGGCGAGAGGCGTTTGGATTGGAGGAAGAGAACAGAGCGCTGATGGAGACGAGAATTCAACCACTCTCACTGAAATTCGACGAAAGGGTCTCCATCGAATCGAAGCTTAATGGGTTCAACGGGTTCAGGGGAGTTCTTTATGCAATGAGAAACGTAAGCTCTCTGCTTCTCATGATCTTGCTCTATGGACTGGTCTTCTGTTGGCCAGAGTCAAGCTTCTGCAGGGGAGGCTACGAGGGCTGCTTGATCTTCGGATCATCGTTCATGATATCAACGGCTAGATTGCAGCAAAGGGTAGCAGCAGAGATCAGCCAGATCAATGAAAGGCCTGGGATTTTGATGTGGGAGTTCAGGAGGTCCAAGATGGCCATGGATGAGCTGAGAGGTGAATTGGAGAGGAGGGGCCCACAGGGGGTGATGGATTGGGAGAGTGAGGGTGGGATTAGAGAGAGAGTGGACAACTTGAGAGGGTGTTTTGGTGTCTTGAGATCTGGTGCTGAGAATATTATCAGCCAACTTGATGATTTCTTTGATGAAATTGTTGAAGGGAGGAAGAAGCTTTTGGACTTTTGCAGTCATAGGTAGGGAAAAAAAAAGAAGAAGAAAGAGTGTGAGATAGAAAAACTTGTTGCAAAAAAAAAATTATTTACAGAGTAGAGAACCAGAGAGGTATTTAGTTGTTGGGTTTTGTTGTACCTTTTTAACCCTTCTTACTTCTGTTTGTAATTTTTTTTTTACTTTTCATTTTCCCTCGTGTCTTCTCCTTTGTTCTAATAGTTACTAGTTAGTTACTATAGTTGAAACCATGGAGATGGGGAGTTTTTAATTTAATTTAATTGTTTAAAATTAACCAGAAACCATTAAAAAAGAAATGCAGTTCTGGGTCTGAGAAGAAGACCTAGTTAAAAACCAAGTTCTAGAACTAGTTTTCATGCAGGTGAAAGTTCTTCTAGTAAGTTCACCCATGATTATAAAAAACACAAAAGAAGAAAACGTAAAAGTAAAAAAAGGGTTGTTGGGTGAACAACAAAGACATCAAAAAGAATGGAATGGAAGGTTCTTGTTACAATATCTTTTAGACTTAGGGACACAATCCAATTCCCATTTATGTATTCATTTAAAATTAAAAAAAATTCCCATTTATTCATTTTTATTTGTTAGTTAAATTGTGTGTTTCTGTTTTGTATTATTTTTCTTTTGAAAAGATTTTCCCTCTTGTTGGGGTTTTTCATGGACTATAGAGAGGGGGGAAGGAGGGTTGGTGTCTAGTTGTTATAGTAAATGAGTAATCATTCTTGTTGTGAAAGAATGATGAAAAGGGAGGGCTTAGGAACTGTAGTCTGTAGGGAAGGCACCGTGAGATTCCTGGGTTGCTTTAATCTCAAAAAGCACCTTCTTTTGATCTTAGGAAGCTTTTGTCTGATTCGGTTAACTTTGAAAGCAATGGTGTTGATGACGAAACCTTCACACTACACCACATCCCTCTTCCAAAAACTTCTCCATCACCGACCGACCGGTTGTATACAAGTATACGTCTATCTCATATTACAAGATTAGTCACATAAGAGAAAGACACATAATTTATATACAACCAATTACACCTCAAACCTCATGAGCATGAATAATTTTCATCTTCTTCCCCCTTCTTTGGGTTTTGGATTTGGGGTCTTTGGAGAAAAAAAAATTATAAAAATAAAGGGGCAGAACATTTTGGGTCACTTTCTTTGCTTGTTAACCGTATCTCATGCTTTTTGTCCCTTGCCGGAAATTCATGCCTTGCCTCCCTTGAAGGGATCCATAGCAGCGTCCAACATAAGCAAAACCAATAAAATAATGGTGAAAGCGAAGAACTAAAAGACAACAACAGTGATATTATAAAATAAATAAACAAATGCAACAGAAAAAAGGCAGGCATCGCAGAAAACAAGCTCTTTTGGCAGAAGTGCTCACAGTTTTCCCTGACCCAACAAGACATTATCATCCTTAAAGCAGCAAACCGCGGCTCATATTCATAATCACCACCAAACAAAAAACACTCACTATCAATTATGAACCCTTTAAAAGAAGATTTTTTTCCTTCTTTTTAAACACAGAGGAGAAAAAAAAAGTATCCATAAAAGAAAGTGCAGCGTGAGATTTCAGCTTCTTTCACAGAGAGGGTATCATATAAAAATCTGCAGAACGTTGAATAAGATCCGACAAATGTAGTGTACAAAGAACAGTAAAAATGCATGCAATAATAACTAAAGGTTTGGCACATTGCCAACTAAATGAAATGGGCAAAATAGTTAACACAGAAGAAAAAGTGGTGTCTAAGAGCGGAATTGACAACCACCCAAATGAAGTCTATCTGGATGACAGATGTGCACAAAAAATAAAAATAAAAGAAAAAGGATGCGTAGCCCTGTTCAGTACAATTCCATAATTATGGCTCTGAGAGAGAGAGAGAGAGAGAGAGAGAGAGAGAGAGAGAGAGAGAGAGAGAGAGAAACCAAACTCAATAAATTTGGTAACACCTTCACAAAGAAGTAGAATATATTCTTTCTATAGTTTTGTACAAAATCACAAGGAAATCACAGGATCTGGCGACATGGACTACTGTGAAAACTGGGCAACATATTTGGTATTCCTCTGTAATTTACAAGAGATTAATTCGAGAACCAGAACATGGGGGCAAAAAATTAAAGTTTTTGTGGTTACCACGAAATCGGGGGTAAGTAATAGAAGCAAAGATAATATGCATGAGAGATGTCACATGTTTAAATATCATATCCTGGCATTGCAAACTGGGATGCAAATGTTTCAACCCGATTTCGGAGGTCAACAATATCCTTATTGTTCTGGAGACCGTTGATAAAATCTTTCTGAAGCTTTCCATATTCCCTCTGAACATTAAAAGTAATCTGAGCAGCCCTAAGAAGAAATTCAGCCATTGTCTCAAAATCAGCCTCCACACAACCTCTTGTAGTCATAGCAGGGGTACCTGCAAAAACAAACAAGAAAAAGAAAGTTTAATACCCATACAACATAAAATGACCAAAGAGAAGCAGATTACTTTAACAAAATGCACCATGAGGCATGCAGACTGACTATGACAAAGAGACAGAAGGGGAGAAAAACCAAGACAAAAGGTAATTTGGAATAATGATATTTATAAAATTGGAAATTGTTAATCGCGATGTGCCATGTTGATAAAATTCAAGCTAGCAAATGGCCTAGCGTACAGCTCTCAGAATATTGATGATCAAGTTTAAATGACAAAGACTACTCACCAATTCTCACTCCCCCAGGAGACAAAGCACCATTATCACCAAATATAGCAGTTTTATTGAGAGTGATATCGCACATCTCACATACCTTCTCGTAGTTCCTCCCTATATTATTTATGTTGTGAACAAGAAAGGGGTTAGATAGTGAAGTACAAAATTAGACATCTATATATATAAAGCAAAAGACAGAGAATGGTGAAACATTCAAAATACCATAAAATACCCTTGGTTAATTCAAACATTAAGAATTAAAATTATTAATTAAATGAGGATAATATGGTAAATTCACATTTTTTTCATATTAAAAAAATTAAAATTAAAAACAAAATCAGATAATAGGTCCTACTTTTATGGAACACAACTACCCACATTATCTTTTCTTAATTCTAAAAATAAAATATAAAATAAAAAATAAAACCAATTGGCACATGTGTGAGCATGTGCCAAGGGGCTAGTAAAAATAATGTAAGATCGTAAGTTTAAGAAAACGGAAAGGAAAAAAGGGGGGGCAGCGGAGAAAGAGAAACAATTGTGCAATTGAATAAGTGCAAATGACTATAAAACTGGAACAGAGAGATAGATGCTCATATGAAAGATGTTTATTGAACCATTGAAAAGATAAGTCCCCCATCTATCATCCACAATTGGGAATAAACTAGCAAAACCTTTGCTCCTGAAGCTATAACGTCTAATAATTGGATTTGAACACAAAATGTGGGGACAAACATGTCCCTGCAACAATTTAAAAAATAAAGCAGAGTATTGTCAAGGATCCTAAAGCAGCAATTGATCAAATGTAACTTCCCTTAATTTTAAAGCAGCCTTGACCACCCTGAGCTTCCAGGTTGGTGTTTCTAACCTGGTAGGACAGTAGAATTTTCCTTTTTTCCTCTTCTAACATTATCAATGACCAGAAGTTCGCTATTAATGTTTGCAAAGACATTTTTGTTGTTTTAAAAGCTAATCACCTTCTGTTTGGCTTATAAAAGCAATCATATAATACAAAATGAACTGGTATGTACACCTATAAATTAATTAGATGTGGGACTAAAATAATAACAAAACTCAACAGGTAAATAGTACATTTTCCCTACATACAAATATAATTTTATAATCCATTCTGTGAAATTGGGCTGGTTAACATTATGATACCTGTTAAACCAAGAGCAGTCAGATCCCAAAGCAACAAGTGATTGTCGGTACCACCAGTCACCAATCTGCACTTTCTTCTTAACAAAGCGTTAGCTAAGGCCTGTGCATTTCTCTTCACCTGTTGCATATAAGCTTTAAACTCTGGAGTGGCCACTTGCTTTAAGGCTATCGCAAGAGCAGCAATATAGTTGTTGTGGGGACCTCCTTGTAGGGAGGGGAAAACAGCAAAGTTTATCTTTTCCTCAAAATCATAGTGATTACTACTGTCTACATTACTGTGGTGCACGCCTTGCTTCCTTAATTTAGTGCCTTTCCTGTAGAAAATAATACCTCCCCTAGGACCCCGGAGACTTTTGTGCGTTGTTGACGTAACAATATCACAATAATCAAACGGACTCGCACATTCCTGCAATAAACAATAGCTAATAAGTAAATATGTTGCAGTTATTCCCTTTTCAATTAGTATGAGTCCAGTCCAGTTGCTTAATACACAGCCAGAACATCCCACTCCTTATCACTTCACATAGAATAGGAGGAACTTCAAAAACGATGTGATTAGGGATTTAGTTTCTTCTGGATTTAGGCGTAGACACACTGAAAGCACAAACACAAATGCAGACATATGCACAATCGACTTTCAGGAGCTAAAGATAAAGTAAACACCTTACAAATGGTGAAAATCACAGAGAATGCAGAATAGTCAAATACACAAAATTACCCCAAGTTTTAGAGGGACAAATCTTTATTCAAGGGTTCTAAAGCAACAAACAGTTAATCCATACAAGAGTACAACGGTGAAAGGCTCATTCTAAGCAAGTATTACACATCAATGTTGGAAGCAAACATGCGTACCAAAGATTTAGGTTTCCTAAACAGCATTAAGGATGTTATCATCTCACCTAGAGATTCAAAAATTAAAAGAATACTGTACAGTTCAAATATTTGAAATAAATCAGATCACAACACTAGAATATAATGAAATGCCAAAATTTAATAACATGATATAACTCTGACATTTACTGGAAGGAAGAAATTTTGTATGACATAAAATAAAAAAATAATAATAATAAAATCAAGTTGCAGGTAAGCACAAAAGTAAACAAAATGAGGCAACAGAACCAAGAAGCATGGAACACATGACATTAGAAAAACCGGGAAACCAATTTCTAACCTAAGGCAACAAATAGAGTAGAACAAAGTGCACTAATCAATTGTTTTATAACATTGTACAGGAGGTGAAAAAGCCTTTACATTCAATCTATTAAAAAAAGAAAACACTCTCGCAGTGCAGGTTACTAGATAAACACTTCCTTTGCAACTTATTTGCATGTTATTATAGTATCATTTATCAACCAAAACACTTATTGATACTATACCGTTCAAATAGCATTTTGTTAGCAGGCGAAGCAATCATGATATGATAACTTGATGGATCAATAATTTCATTTTGTAAAAATGGTTCAATCACAGTGACCCAGGTTGTAACTTTTTGCAGCCAAATTTATGAGCATTAAAAAGATTTAGTCCGTTATATTGCCAATTAAGAGAGGACTCTGAAACTGCCCAGCTCTCCAATACCAGCCACTCAGCCAGTTTAGAGCTTCATGGAAAAAAAAATTGCTACCAAGCATTAATAACAGCATCAGACATGTATTGCAATAGGTAACAAATTCAGCAACTGGGTAATTATGGTCCACGCTCCACACCAATAGTAAATACATAAGGGTGAAATAAAACTAGAGTTAAGACTTGGGAAATCAAATTTCAAACCTTGGCTGCCACAAGACCGCTGATATGAGCCATGTCACACATCAACACGGCTCCGCATTTATCCGCAATATGCCTAAATCTAGCATAATCCCACTCCCGGGGGTATGAACTCCCACCGCAAATTAGTATCTTGGGGCGATAATCAACCGCCCTCTCCTCAAGCTTATCATAATCGATGTATCCTGTTTGTGGGTTCACCTTATAAGGAAAACTGTCAAAAAATATCGAGGCGGCGGAGACCTTCTTCCCGCCAGGAATATAATACCCATGACTCATATGTCCTCCAGAAGGCGAATCCAAGCCCATAATCCGATCATTTGGGAGCAGAAGACCGGTGTAGACTGCGAAATTTGCAGAGGTACAAGAGTAGGGCTGAACATTAACACCCCATTTCTCTGGATCAAGACTGAAAGCGGCCAGTGCACGCTCATAACAAAGCAATTCAATCTGATCAATGTGCTGATTGCCAGTGTAGTATCTCGCTCCGGGCATACCCTCGGAGTACTTGTTCGTCAAGTGACTGCCCAGAGCTTCCTTCACAGCTCTGCACACGAAATTCTCAGAAGCCACCAATTCGATGCCTTTGAACTGGCGATGCCTCTCCTTCTCCATAATTTCATGGACCTCCGGGTCCGCAGACGAAAGGGGCTGGTTCCCCCAAGACCGAACGGCGGCTCGCCTCGCCTCCAGCCCCATCGGTTCGACCGCCAAGCACTTTGATGGGTTCGGAGTGAAACCGGACACATCCCTCGGCCTTTTGAGGCAGATTGAATGCCCTAAGAGGTTGAAATTCTCGTCTTCGTCGTGATCGTCTCCATTCTCAACCCTAATTTGCTCTTCTTTTTGGTCGAGCAATTGCAGCGGAACGGATTGGATTGAATTCGACGAGCTCGAACTGTGATGCGTGCTAAACCCTAGAAATAGTCCCGGCTGAGTCTCCGTGAAACCCATAACCACCGAAAATTCGCCAAAAAATGTCAAATTTTCCAAAAAAAAGAATATTGCTCAATTTTTTTTAATAGAAGCAACAACAGTAGCAGCGACAACAGCGCCTGAAGAAGCTACAGCGACAGGATCGAAGCCTTGATGATTGGGCAGAAGTCGCTGAGGAAGAAGCAGAGGTTTCCATGCAGAAACCCTAAAGACCGTCGAGATTGGCAGAGAGTTGGAGAGAGAGAGAGAGAGAGAGAGAGAGAGAGAGAATGTAATATTAGAAAATGATGCGGCGAATGATAATTGAGGGGCGAGCTCAAGAGAGGATGAACCTGGATGTAAAAACACAAGGCCAAATCGTAATTTTTATTTTCATTGTAAATTGAGTCATTTGCCATTTTAGTTCTGCAGTTTGTTAATATATTTAAGGAAATAGATGAAATTCTTACATTTTGGATTGATTATAAACATTTACCACTTTTATATTGCCACATCGAAATTATAAATATTTAGCGGTTTCATATTGCCATGATGGAAAATAAAATATTTGAATAATGAGATTGGAGGCAATATCAACGAGACAACTTTGACATTCTTCGTTTGAGCATCTTTAACCGAAATGTCAAAAGTGTCATATAGACATTTAATAATTAGAAATAACATCACACATCACTCCAACCGATGTGTCAAAGCTGATGTGGAATAAATGTTGGAGGTTGATATGTTATTTTTGCCATCCCAAAAGCAATATGTCAAATGAAATTTTTTTTTTCTTATTTAAAAATAAATCAACACTAAAATGTAATAAAATAATAATTTAACTTGACATATCGGGTGGAGTGTAAAGCTGTGTAAGATGTCACATTGCCACATTTGCCATCAAATTTAAACTTGATGTTTAGTATTTGACATCTCCCTTATAGATGCTTATAGATGATATCAATAGAAAAAGTCTTGGAAAATAATTTTTAGGGTTAATTGTTTATTTGTCCCTGAATTTATACTTAATTTTGATTTACTTCTTATATATTTTTTTTAAAGAAATTAAGGACCTCAATTATTTTATTTAACTCATTTCCTCATGCCATTAATTTTTCTCACATTCCATTCAATTTGCCGTTAAAAATATCATGTGCCAATTTGCCGTTAAAAATATCATGTGCCAAGCATGTGAGGCTGTTTAAGGGTAATTTGGTCATTTTTGCATCTTAACAATAATTAAAATTTTGAGAAAAAATTTAAAGCAAAAAACACAAAATTATTATAATTAAAAGCCCTTCAGCACCTCTTTCCCCTTTCCCCACCCCTCAGCCACCTCCATCCTCTTGCCCTTCCCTTGACCTCCCCTTTCCTGCACGCACCCTCCCCGTCGCTCTCTCCCTCCCAGAACTTCTCAACACCCCAACCTGAGACCACCCAGCCAGCCAGCCACCTCTTTCTCATTGTTACCCCCACCACCAAAATCAAACCCCCAGCTTGTAATTAAACTCAATACAAATCATAACCAACCATAAATGACAACAAAAATTCAAAAAAAATACAAGCATTCCATAACCCACAAGCATAAGAACTCTGTTTATCTCTCTATGTGTGTGTGTGTTTGTCGCTCTCTCTCCTCCCATGGGCAGATCGGGTGGAGGTTGCGGATTGAGTATCATGACGCAGATATTACATGGCTTGGGTGTTGGGTGGACTAAGGAATTTCAGGGGTTAAGATGGTTTTTTGGGCGAAGAGGGATGTTGGAGTTGGGAGACTATGGTGATGTGGCTAGGGGTAGGGGATGATGGTGGGAGAGGCTAGGGATTGGTGGGAGCGGGATGGGGCTGGGAAATGTTTCTGTTTTCTTTTCTTTTTCTTAATTGTTTTATAATATTATTTTATAATTATTTAAGTGTCACAACACTAATTGGATGAAATGTGAGTGAATCCAACGGTCGGGAGAAATTGACTTAAAAAATAATTGAGGTCCTTAATTTTTATAATTAAAAAAAAAGAGTAAATTGAAAGTTAAGTACAAATTCAAAGGAGTAAATCAACAGTTAACTCTAATTCTAAGCTATTTTTCTTTTTTGACTTGAAATTTCGTAGTTTCCAATTCGTGTTCATTACAAATTTCCAAATGTTGGATCAGTTCATAATATTATTTGTTTGTGATTCTCAACAAATGCGTTGGTTAAATGCAAATTGTGACAAATAAGGATTATAGCATCCACTCGATTTAGGGCTGGTCTCCGAGGTTCTGAAAAAAAACTTTAAAGCAAACATGTAAGAGAATTTAGGTTGTAATCTCATAGTTAGAAATCCAGATCAACAATCCAGTCGAGAGTCAGAGAGCTAAAAAATTCAATAAATTTGGTTACACATTCACAAAGAAGTAGAATGTTTGCTTTCTATAATTTATACAAAATCACAAAGACATAGTCAGGGAGGATGTGGCAATGTGGGCTACTTCCGAAGATCGGCAACCTATTCGGTATTCCTCTGTAATTTACACGAGATTAATTCAAGAACAGAACCAGGGCCAAAAGTAAAATGTGTATGGTTACCAAGAAAGCAAGGTAAGCCGCAGAAGCAAAAGATAATATGCATGAGAGATGTCACATGTTTAAATATCATATCCTGGCATTGCAAACTGGGATGCAAATGTTTCAACCCGATTTCTGAGCTCAATTATATCTTTATTGTTCTGGAGACCTTTGCTAAAATCTTTCTGAAATTTTCCATATTCCCTCTGAACATTAACAGTAATCTGAGCAGCCCTAAGAAGTAATTCGGCCATTGTCTCAAAATCAGCCTCCACACAACCTCTTGTAGTCATAGCAGGAGTACCTGCAAAAACAAACAAGAAAAAGAAAACTTAGAACACCATAGAATTGCAACTTCGTATAATAATGCCTTGCAAGGCAAGTACGCTGAATGATTGACTACACGCAAAGGAGACACAAGGAAGAAAAACACAAAAGGCGCAATTGGAATAAAACGATATTTATAAATATGAAAATTGGGAGACTGTTTGATGTCCGTGTTTTGATAGAAGTCAAGCAGCCAAATGGCCTAGTATGCAGCTTTCAGAATATTGAAGATCAAGTTAAAATGACAAAGACTACTCACCAATTCTCACTCCACCAGGAGAAAAAGCACCATTATCACCAAATATAGCAGTTTTATTGAGAGTGATGTGGCACATCTCACAGACCTTCTCATAGTTCCTCCCTATATCACATTGTTCAGAGGAAAGGGGTTAGATGGTGAAATAAAAATTAGACATCGAAACTACATGAATCATAAGTTTAACGCAACGGAAAGAAAGAAAAAGCGAGAAGGGGAGGGGAAAAAGAGAAACAATTGCACGGTTAGATATGTGCAAATGTATGCAAATATAGCTTTTGTTTGGCTTATAAAGGCTATAATGTAATGCATAATAAATTGGGATATAAACTTGAATGTTGACTAATTATAAGTTGACTACACCTGGGACTAAAATCACAACGAAACTCAACAGGTAAACAGAAGATTTGCTCCACATGCAAATAATTTTATAATCCATTCGGTTAACAATATAATACCTGTTAAACCAAGAGCAGTCAAATCCCAAAGCAACAAGTGATTGTCGGTACCACCAGTCACCAATCTGAATTTTCTTCTTAACAAAGCATTAGCTAAGGCCTGTGCATTTCTCTTCACCTGTTGCATGTACGCTTTATACTCTGGAGTAGCTACTTGTTTTAAGGCTATGGCAAGAGCAGCAATATGGTTGTTGTGAGGACCTCCTTGTAAGGAAGGGAAAACAGCAAAATTTATCTTTTCCTCAAAATCATAATGGCTACTACCATCTCCATTAGTATGATGCATTCCTTGCTTCCTTAGTTTTGTGCCTTTCCTGTAAAAGATAATGCCTCCCCTAGGACCCCGGAGACTCTTGTGCGTTGTTGACGTAACAATATCACAATAATCAAACGGACTTGCACATTCCTGTAAAAAACAATAGCCTATAAGTGAGGAAATATGGTGCAGAAATTCCTGTTCTTAATTAATACACGGCTTAATATAACTAGGATATCCCGCTCTTTATCATTTCACATAGAAAAGGGGAACTTAAAAACCAACATGAAGAGGCTCATAGAATGAAGGCTAGTCAAACCGCAAAATTACACCAAGTTTCAGATGGCCAAAAATCAGTATTCAACGGTTTTAAGCAACAAAAAGATAATCCATACAAGAGAAGAACAGTGAAAGGTCATTCATTCTAAATTAGTAATACAAATCAATCTTGGCAGGTTAACCCATATATTAAAGAAATGAGAAACAGCATTAAGGATGTCGCCATCTCACCCAAGTGATTCAAAGTTTTAAAAGTTCTGTATTTTTTCCATACCATAACATGGGATAACTCTCACAGTTACTAGAACGAAGAAAAGTATACCAAGATGAAGAAAAGGTGTAATTCATAAGAAACATCAAGATGAAGAAAGCACGAGAGTATACCAAATGAGACAAGAGAACCAAGAAGCATGGAACACATCACATTAGAAACAAACAGGAAACCAGAGGCAATAGGTAGAGTGGAACAATTTGCACTATCTCCAGAGTGTTATACAAAGATTTTCTACATTCAAATCAATTCAAAAAGGGGAACCCTTTCACAGTGCAGCTTACTAAATTAATACTTGCTTTGAACTCCCATAAAGTAAACCACTAAACCAGTAGTTATCCCATATACTAGATACTAAAACTGAATACCACTTGACTGGCATATAGCAACCATAAACCTATTTTCATCAGCTTCAAATATATTATACGTTTAAGTTAATCCATTTGCATACTATTACAGTATTGTTTATGGATAAACAGCTCAACTGAAATACGTATTGAGAAAAAACAGTACAATAAGTGTTTTGTACCAATCAAAGAGGTCATGATATGATATCTTAATAGATCAGTCAATTCATTTTCTTTCTCCTGTTGTCTAAAGGTTTGTGACAATATGCCGCACATGTACAGAAATAGCTAACAAATTTGGAGACTAAACAAAAATAAATAAATAAAACTAGAGTTAGGATGTCAAATTTCACACCTTGGCTGCCACAAGACCGCTGATATGTGCCATGTCGCACATCAACACAGCTCCGCATTTATCCGCAATATGCCTAAACCTGGCATAATCCCACTCCCTGGGGTATGAACTCCCACCGCAAATTAGTATCTTGGGGCGATAATCAACTGCCCTCTCCTCAAGCTTATCATAATCAATGTAACCTGTTTGTGGGTTCACCTTATAAGGGAAACTGTCAAAGAATATCGAAGCTGCAGAGACCTTCTTCCCACTGGGAGTATAATACCCATGACTCATATGCCCTCCGGAAGGCGAATCCAAGCCCATAATCCGATCATTTGGGAGCAAAAGACCGGTGTAGACTGCAAAATTCGCAGAGGTACAAGAGTAAGGCTGGACATTGACACCCCATTTCTCTGGATCGAGACTGAAAGCGGCCAATGCGCGTTCATGACAGAGCAATTCAATCTGATCAATGTGCTGATTGCCAGTGTAGTATCTTGCTCCGGGCATACCCTCGGAGTACTTGTTCGTCAAGTGGCTGCCCAGAGCTTCCATTACAGCTCTGCACACGAAATTCTCAGAAGCCACCAATTCGATGCCTTTGAACTGACGATGCTTCTCCTTCTCCATAATTTCATGAATTTCCGGGTCCGAAACCGAAAGCGGTTGGTTCCCCCAAGTGCGAACCGCATCCCGCCTCGCCTCCAGCCCAGCCGATTCGACGGCCAAGCACTTCGACGGGGTCGGGTTCAGAGCGAACCCAGACCCATCCCTCGGCCTCTTCGGGCAGATAGAGTGCCCCAAGAGACTGAATTTCTCGTCATCTTCCTCCTCGTGACTATCGTCTCCATTCTCAACCCTAATCTTCTCTTCCTTCAGGTCGAGCAATTGCAGCGGAACGGATTGGACTGAATTCGTTGACCCCGAGCAGTGGTGCGCGTTAAGCCCTAGAAACAAGTCCGGCTGAGCCTCCGCGAATCCCATAACCACCAAAAATATCCAGAAACAACAATCAAATTCCCAAAAATTGAAAAATCGAGTTTTAGAGAGATACGCAATACGGAATTAGGTGCAGCAGAAGCAACAACAGCGACAACAGCGACAACAGCGAAAGAGATGAAGCGATGATGATGATGATGATCCAGAAGTCGCAGAAGAAGGAAACGCTTCCATGCCCTAGAAACCGTGGAGATTGGCAGCGAGTTTCAGACTGAGAAATTCCGTTTGTTTTTTGCTTTCTAATCTTTGGGTCATGTATGTATATATGGAAATGAACTGGCGAATGGTAGCTAAGGAGATTTTCAGGGGGATGAACCTGGATGTAAAAACGTAAGCATGGTTGAGATTGGGTCAAGGTCGTGGCGTGCGGGTTCGGGTTAACCGGCAACCGGGAGGACCCGGTAGCGTTTGGTTTTGTTTCGGTGAAGCAAACACGTGGCGGACTTCTGTGGATTGGCCCACCTGGACTGGATGTCGTCTAGGTTCGGTTGGGGGGATTCGGGCCCACACGTCCAGCTGTGAAGGATCCGCTCGGTGAAAAATGAAGACTGAGACGGGAGGAATTTCTTTATTGGGGGAGCGTCCATCTGTCGGAGGTGACTGATGGTGTGGGCCCTCACGTAGCCGCCAAGATTATTGAGAGAGAGCCAGCGATGGTTTTGATGTCTTGTCGTCTTTCCTATCTAACAAGATCACCAACCTCCACACCCTTAATGCGATCTATATAAAAAAGGCATGGAATAATAAATCATTTAAGAGACTAGCAACTTCTCTCTTTTTTTTTTTTTTTTTTTTTTTTTTTTTTCTCTTTACACTCTCTATTAAATAATGCCATTAATATATTATATAAGCTAATTTTTTGCTTTCCAAGTTTACCCTTATTAAATGTATTCAATTTATCTAAAAAAAATTCACAAGTTTCTTATCATCTTATTAATTATTTTTCTAACGTCAATGATTTTTTTAAAAGAAAATATATGCTTTTAAGAGGAAATGTCCCTTCTTCTTTCTTTTTTATTTTTTATAATTTATAACACAAAGGGTTTAGATAGAAAAAAAAAAGTCCTTTGTGTTTAAAAAAAAAATGAACATTTCCTCTTTTTTGAAAAAAGCAAACATTTTCTTTAAAAATATATATAAAGATTGTAAGAAAGTTGTGAATTTTTGTGTGGATAAATTGAATATATTTAATAAGGTTAAACTTGGAAAGCAAAAGTTAACTTGTATAATATATTAATGACATTATTTTAAGTGTAAGGAGAATGACACATGTCAAGCAAAAAATGGAGAATGTTAGAGAGAAGGTTGCTAGCATTCCTCATTATTTAAAGCTTTATGCATGTTTGAGTTTAAATAATATGTTGGTGCTACCATGTGAAAATTGTTAAAACTTAAAAGTAAGGTAGAACTTGCTAAAGTATATTGGTTTCGTTGCATTGGCATATGAAAATTGTGAATAGTGAGGTGGTGTTTCCTTGAGAATGACCTCAAAGCATGGTTGCAAGTCGTGCCTCTCATGGTCAGGGAACGGAGCTATAATTTATAGTTTTTGAGGGGCAAAATTTAAAGCTTGAATGGAAAATATACATAGCAAAGCACATATTATTCTTTTGAAAAAAATTACAAGTGATAGTCTAAACTGCAAAAGGAGGGATGTTTCAAACACATACTATCAATGTTATGTCACGTGAGTTTGAACATGAGACTATTGGCCGGCAAGTAAGATCCTTTTTCGCTGGACAAAACCTTGTTCGCAGAAAAGTATAGGTTTAAAACATTACCAATGATAAATTGAACAAATGAGAACCTAATAAACACAACAAACAAGAAAATACAATAAAATTCATGAGTTGCATGTATATATTTTTGGGGAGGGGTGGTGTGGAAATACCCTTTTTTTTTGGGTGGGAGATTTAGGCCCAAACATGGCTCCGCTCCTACTCATGGTTTCGAAAGACTTATAAAGTAATGCATTTTATACTTTTTTGTGTTCGTCTCTCTCTTCACGTAATATTATTTGAGGATAGAAATAGACAAAAAGAGCTATGCACCTGGACCCTGGTTACTGATAAGTTTTGGTCAAACCCATATTGGACTGAACCCATGATACCATGGAGCTGGCCCATGTCTCCACCAGGCCTAGGCTTATTCTTATTTCTCTCTTCAAACCCAGCCCAAATTCACAAACTTTAACTTCAAGTCAGACGCTCTGCAAAACTAAAAGCACCATTGGAAACTTCTTGTGCTCGTTTATAGAATCATCGTCCTCTGAGATGTCTCTTTCTTACCGGGACTACCTAACCCTTCTCCTTCTGCGTCCTCTCTTCGCAATCGCAGTCGTTTTCTCGTTCATCTCCGTTGGTAATTACTATTTCTCTAACTTTCCCACTTTTTTTTTTCTTTTTGGAATTCTGGTAGCAATTAAAACTCGAGTTGAGAATCTGGGTCGGTGACAAATCTTGTATATGATCGAATTTTCAGGTTGGTGGTTGGCCTGGAAGCTGGCTTTGGTTCACGTTCCTTTGGTGCAAGAGATTTTCGGGCTGCGGAAGAAGACCGTGAAGCCCAAACCCCAAACTGGTCGCTTTTCTAAATTTTACAGCACCATTGAAGCCCGCAATTCAGCTTCTAAATGGTAAATTTTTGCAGTGTTTTTTGTGAATTTTAAAAATAGTTCATAGGTTGGACTTTCTAGGCTCATATTGGGATTCTTCCAAATATAAAAAAGAAGGTTCCTTTTAATCCATGGCAGCTTCATAGTCATATGATGAATCTGTGTACAAATCCAATTTCATCGTACTTCCAAATGCATTCTTATTTAAATAATTCGTGCAACAAACAAGAAATCTAATTGTGGGATTCGATTGATCGCATTGCAGAAAGAAAAGCATTGGGTAAATTGGGAGAGCAAACTTGGTAGCTTCTTGTGTGTTTGAATGGTAAGGGAATGCAGAGCACCAAGTTTATTGTTTGATGCAACAAACAAATTGGCATAGCAAATTTCAGGTGCTTGAAGACTGCGAGGTTATGTTCCTTGTATTTTCTCAGATACAAAATGTAATTTATCTGTGGGTTTCCCAAGTTGCATTTTATCAAGATGTATAAATATGAACAAAATTCTGAAGCAAAGGAACCCAGCATAAATTTCAAATGTGGGATTTCACTTGTATCAAATAGTTTCTTCAAGTCAAAAGGATCGAACAGCTTATGAAGTTTCAATTTGGAAATCATCCTTATGTATAAGTACATATACAAGAAGCAATATAATGGTTGGGTTATGAAAAAAACTATCGACATCTGTATGTTTACACTACCAAGAGATTATGATATCTTGTCGGACAATCTTTACCCTGTATCATCAGATGTCTTGTGTTCGAATTTTCCTCCTTCAATATCGCTTATGCAAAAAAAAAAAGGGGAAATTACTCTTGTTAAACAATAGTAATTGTCTATGAAAAAGAAAAAGTCATGTTAAGTGGCCTTTCTATTCCTACCTAGAATGTAAAAATGAAGTTTGAAATTGAAAAATTAAAATGAAATAGAGAGGAAAAAAAAAGTTGTGAGGTCAGCGAAGGAGGGAACAAGACCATTTGTCTTACTAGAACGACGCCGTTCCCACTTGAGAGGCAAAACCCATCTTCAACTTCAAAAACAGAAACTCATTACTCAGTCTGTTTCTCTGTCTCTGAGCGCGCCGCTGAGCTTGGTTACACAGACCTCATCCATTTGCGTTGCTTGTCATTTTGTTAAGCATTTCTTGCTTTCTGGCTATGGAAATTCTTCGAACTTCTTTGCTTCCTGGTAACCCCTTACTCATTGAAACCTCTCTCTCACAAAAACCCAACAATTCCCACAAACCCAAGTTCATATTTCAAGCTTCCACAGACACAACCAACGTTTCTACTGGCACCACACTCTCAAACCAAGCAAACCCACAAACCCATCTCTCTTTTGCCTCCAAAAAGACCACCAAGCTCAGCAATAACCCAAGAGCTGAAACCAATTCTGAAATTGGTCATTGCATTTCTTTACTAAAGAGTAACCCTGTGTGTGACTGTAGACAGATTCATGCTCAAGCTCTGAAGTTGAACGCTTTTGAAGAGAATGGTTGGATTGGAAACAAGCTTGCTATGCTATACTCGAAGAATAAGGAGTTCTTAGACTATGCCCGTAAGTTGTTCAACGATATTCCCAAGCGAAAGATTCCCGTTTACACATCGTTGATAAGTGCTTATTGTCGGTCAGAGCAGTGGGAAGACCTGTTTTTGGTGTTTAGGTTGATGGTTGATGAAGGCATGTTACCTGATAAATATGTTGTACCTACAGTTCTGAAAGCGTGTGCTCTGGTGCGGATGTTAAGGACTGGTAAAATGATTCATGGGTTTGTGATAAGGATGGGGATGAACTCTGATGTTTTTGTTGGGAATGCGCTTATTGATTTTTATGCCAACTGTGGGGACTTTGGATTTGCGTTAAGTGTGTTTGATGCCATGAGGGAAAGAGATGTGGTTTCATGGACTGCCCTTGTTTCTGCTTTCATGAATGAAGGCCTGTTTGAAGAGGCAATTGAGGTTTTCAAGTCCATGCAGCTGAACGGGGTCAAGCCTGATTTGATCTCTTGGAATGCACTTGTATCGGGGTTTGCACACAATGGAGAGATTGATTTAGCTCTTCAATATTTGGAAGCAATGCAAGAAGAAGGGTTGAGGCCGAGGGCTAATACTTGGAATGGAATCATTTCGGGTTGTATTCAGAATGAGTATTTCGAGGATGCTTTGGATGCGTTCTATAATATGTTATGTTTCCCCGAGGATCCAAATTTTGTTACAATTGCAAGCATTTTACCAGCTTGTGCAGGCCTAAAAGATTTAAACTTAGGCAGGGCTGTTCATGGGTTTGCTCTGAAGCGTCAGCTTTGTGGAAACATGCACGTGGAAGGTTCGTTAATTGATATGTATTCAAAATGTGGGATGAAAGATTACGCAGAGAATATCTTTTCCAAGGCAGAGAACAAAAGTATTGCCATGTGGAATGAGATGATTGCAGTTTATGTAAATGCAGGAGACGCAAAGAAGGGATTAGAGCTTCTTAGAGTGATGCATCATTTTGGCTTAAAACCTGACGTGGTATCTTATAACACAATATTGGCTGGCCATGCAAGAAATGGGCAAATAAATGAGGCATATGAGCTGCTTTATGAGATGGCCCGGATGGAGTTGAAGCCAACTATTATTTCTTTCAACGTTTTGATTTCTGGTTTTCAACAATTTGGGCTTAGTTTTGAAGCTTTGAAATTGTTCCAGACCATGCAATCCCCATTGAATGGTTGCGTTGGTAATGATGTGCTCCATGAGTCAACCCAACCAAACTCCATTACTATTGCCGGTGCTCTTGCAGCTTGTGCTGATTTGAATCTACCATGCCAAGGGAAGCAAATCCATGGATACACGTTAAAGAATGGCTTTGAGCCTAATATCTATATCTCAAGCGCATTGGTTGACATGTATTCAAAATGTCTTGATATTGTTTCAGCAACTAAAGTATTCAGGAGAACTGAAGATAGAAACACAATCTGTTGGAATACTTTGATTGCAGGCCATGTCCACAACATGCAGCTGGACCGAGCTCTTGAACTTTTCTGTGAAATGCTGGAAGAAGGTCTTGGACCAAGCTCTATTACGCTTATGATACTTCTCCTCACTTGTGGTGATATGGAAGCTCTGAGATTTGGAAGAGAATTACATGGCCATATCATAAAGAGTAAGCTTGATCAATCTAATTATGCCCTTGCAAGTGCCTTGATAGGCATGTATGCTAAGTGTGGTAGAATCAAGGATGCCAAATCGCTGTTTGACTTTGAAGTTAAAAAAGATGCTTCTGTATGGAATTCCATGCTATCTGCCAATTCGACTAATGGAATGGCCAAGAGGGCCATTGCCTTGTTTGGAGAGATGGAGTTAGCAGCGCCTGTGCCTGAAATATAACTTGAGCTTGTGATCATGATAGCTTAGTGCAAGAAGGATAAAAATGTCTCAAATCATTAAATAATAAGTTTTGTGCTCTTTATGGTGCTATATGAGCTTCTCTTTTAGGCATGTGGATTGTTGGTTATTCGGGTAGTGCCAGTTTACTTGATGAGGCTCTTGACTTCATCAGACAAATGCCCGTGTACCTGATGCTTTTATACAAACTACTCTTCTACTAGCTTGTGGAGTCAGGAGTCAAGAGTCAATTGAAATCCAAATATTGTAGAATGAGCTGCAAAATATTTTGTTTCAAACTAAAACCAAATAATGTTCTCAGTGATGTGTTTCTCTCCACTATCGGTCGCTTTTGGGATGTGGGAATCCATGCAGAACTTGAGGACTTTCATGGAGGATTGCAATTTGATGACTCTAAAAGAGTGAAGCTTTATAGACGTGGATACTAATTGCATACATTTGAGGGGACATATCTCATTCCAAGTATAGAAACATGGGAGAGGTCGACTGGAAAATTGGAGGGTGGTGGGTGACTTCCCCAGTCATGTTTTGGAGAACAAAAATGAGCTGATGAGAACGTTCACTTTGTCTTGCGTGCACACTGAAAGTTTGTTGACAACATCTCATTCAGATGCTAATTTACAAATTACATATCTAAGAATTTGGTTTCTCTACTGCCATGGATCAGCCAAAGTTGTATAAGATTGATGAGTGGGTGATCTTTATGCTTCTATCACCATATGAAGGATGAGATGTGTAGATGCCAAGTTTACCCAAATCGTAAATTTTGGAAGTCACTTCCTGACAGTGATGACATCAGAGCTGGAGTTAAAAGAGCCTATGAAGAATTTTTTGTCCAAGTCTCTAAATGCCAAACTAGCAAAAACATTTGGGTAGCCAGAGTCTTGTTTCCTTCCAAATTGAACTTGCTGTTTGATCAAGGGAGAATTCTTCTGCAGCACAAGCAACCAGAAAAGGAAAGTTTTGAAAGTTGGTTTTGCATTGGTCCTGTTGTTCACCCGGTTTTGGTTATTTTTATTCCTACAAATTTGCCGAAAATGTGACCTGCCAAGTTGGCTCTTGAGGAGATCTTTGAATGTAGCATGTAACAGGTTGTAAGGTCAGCGCATATATCCACTAGGAGGCACTCATCATGACTTTCTCCCAGTCTTTGGAAGGTGTTGATGTCCCTGAAGAAGCAAGACCACAGAAAAGGTAGTGTAGGTATCTTTTATCTCTTAAATCTTGTTTCTTTGTTTATTCTGCTTTGTTTTGGGTGTATTTTACATAGCATATTAAATAAACTAAGCCGTTGAAACTGTTAATGTTAATTGAATTCTATAATCTTTTTCAAAATAGTATAAGATCATGTAAATTGAAGTCAACATACTAATCATTTTTTCCTGTCAAAATCATATCGAAACTTTACTAAACTAATCGTGGTGCACGTGCACACAACCACAGATTACAGGAATTTTATTACTCACTAAACAAAAGTTGCATCCCTATTGCAGGCTTTGCTGCTGGGGATAATCTTACATTACTCCTATGGTCAAGAACTATTTGCAGGCTGAAGCAAAATATTTATTGATGCTCTCGCATTTATCAGTAGCTTTACTGTTTATGGCTGAATTCTAATGATGGCATGGATCAGGACCACCAGGACTCCTTCGCTTCGACTCAAGATGCCGTCCAACCTGCCTCTCAATGCTAGCCTTAAGCACTTCTTTAGCACTCTCCATCGCTGTCTGGCTGCTACCCTTGTTTGAGTACAAGCCATGAACACGAGCTTCGTTATTCTGAAGGGAAAGCAAAACCTGAAAAACACATAACCAGAGTTTCATGCTACCCATTATCAATTTGAAGTCTCAATGTAGGATGTTTGGACATATATAGACTATCATTCCTGTTATGATTTGATAATTAAAAGTGAATGGAATCAAATGTGGGATTAGTTTGATTTGGTGATCATTTTCTGATGCAATTAAATCGCAGAACCATGATAGTGCTGAGCATGTATGTGCTACAAAATATTGCTTCCACAAATCTACAGTCAAGTATGTGGTTGAGTTGAGAAAATATAGTAAGATACAAAGGGTCCCTTAGAATATAAAGAATCTAATAGGCAAGTTGTTGTTTCCTTTCACTGAATCGTGCCTCTTTGAATTGTCCATATGCTCTAAGAGAAGGTGTGTGCCAAGTCATAAGCGTTGTCCATATCCAGCATGCTCTAGTTGTTGGGGAACTTTAAAAGATGGCCTCAATAAAGTACAAATTTTCATCTATAAAACTATGTACAAGGAGAGCTCCTAGAATAGTATTCTACGTTGTATTGCTTGTACTTTTCTTATGTTTCCCACAAAATCAAATGGTTATTATTGTCAAGGCCTTGGGGTTAGCCAAAGTGGTGAGGGTGAGTGAGGAAATGAGTTTGGATTATTAGGTTAAATCAAGGGGATCAAGGGATTCCCTTCCATCGTAACATATTGTCGAAAAACTCTTCACTCTTAGTAGTAAAATATTTTTTAATATGAAAAAGTGTGAATTTACTATATTATTTTCATGTAATTAATAATTTCAATTTTTAATGTTTGCATTAACTAAGGGAATTTTTTAGTATTTTGAATGTTTTACCGTTCTCTGCCTTTTGTTTTATATAATAGGTTTCAATTATTAATGTTTGTATTAATCAAAGGACATTCTGGTATTTTTAATAGAGAATTTTTGCATTTCTCACATGTTAAAAAAGTAAAGCTGAAGCGCTATACTATTTTTATTTTAAAAAAAATTAGGACAAAACTGAGTATAGCCACTCGGCTATACTATTATTTTTAATATACATATTTTATATTCAATAATATGTGAGAATTATGTGTATAAAAAAATTGAGAAATACGTGCGTACATACTCGTATTATAGACGTGCATACATATTTTTTAATAATACATCCGTGTTCTACAAACATCTTAAAGACTCGGTAAAGTTCACGTTTTTAAAAAAACAAACGTACAATACTAGTATTATACATAAATGCACATATTTTTCATGTTTAATACACTTAATTTTTTTTTATAGAAATTTATAAGACACAAAATTTACGTATTATACACATAATTCTCACATATTATAGAATAAAAATAATATATATTTAAAAAATAGTATAGCCACTCGGCTATCATTTTTTTTTTTTTTTTTTTTTTTTTTTTTTTTTTTTTTTTTTTTTTAAAAGTAATAGCCAAACGGCTATACGGTTTTGACAAGTGGCGCATATGTGCTGGGCGGGGCTTCATTTATATATAGTGTAGCCGCGCGGCCGGGCTAGATTTTTTTAAAATTTTTATACAAGAAATAGTATAGCCGTTGGCTTTACTCCTTTTAAAAAAAAAATAAATAAATAAAAATAGTACAGCCCGACGGCGTTACTGTTTTGACAGTTGAAAGCTAGGCTCTGGGAGCGTCCTTTTATATATGTAACATAGCCGTCCGGCTTTACTCCTTTTTTGTAATTTTTTTTAAAAAATAGTATAGCCGCCCGGCTTTACCGTTTTGAAAAGTGACCTCTAGACGATATGGTATAGCCGGGCGGCTGTAATATATTTTTTGATATTTTTTAAGTAACAGTATAGCCGCGCGGATATACTCGTTTTTCCTAATTTCTCAAAACTAAAGATCAAATATTTTGATACAGTTCCAGTTACAACTTCAACGTGTGTTAAAATCTGGGTTTTTGTTTGCTGCGTCAGAGTTTGGGAATCACTCTTTGTACCAGTGCCGAGCAATAGGCGAAGATCCTGATGTGGAGATTTTATGGTATTTTTGACAATCCAAGTTGGCTAACAACGAAGGGGAAAATAAAGCTTTCCTTTACACATAAGTTTTTAGTTTGGGGAATTTTTATTTCAAATTAAGTATTTATTTAGTTATGATATTTGAACTTCGAGAAACATAAAAATGTGTGTGCCACTACAATAATATTTGAAGTTTTATTCCGTCCGAGAGGTTTTATATCATTTTCATTTCTTCCTTACTCAACAATAAGATTTACGCGGGAATCTAACAACAATAGAGTAGTTTAGATTATCATTTGTATGAAAAATAACAATGATTGTATAAAAATAATTTCATAGCAGCTTTATGGCAATCCGAATTTCTACCAACAAAAGAAAAAAAAAGTATTTATCTTTCTTCCTTATATAGGCTATATTCATTTCATCAAAGAAAGGAAAAGTACAGGCTATGCTCTTTAAATACATTAAACTCTAAAGCTTCAACCCCTCAACTATCAATTAAATATATGGATTTGCAAATGAATTTATAACTCATAATATTGTCACAATCAGGAAATTTAACACAATGAGCAGCACTTTCCTTTTCTTATAAAGAACCAGGTGGGTCATAACATGAACATTCTCAGAATTACAAATAATGAGTCTGTTTTTTTGTTAAACAAAAGTATAGTATCCCCATGTGCATGTCACAATTGAAATTGAATTTTTATACCTTGGAAACTTTCGAACAACAGAAGCCATATGTAAGAAATGCCCGATTGACTGATGAAAGCAGATATGTCCTTACATCTAATAAAGGTTCTTGCAGAAAACTTATCATTTCTCCACCCCGGCAGCTGTTGCTGGCAACCCAGATGATTTCTCGGTGGCCACGGGGGCTTTCTTACTGCCAGGCCCTGTTGAGACTTTAACCATTGCTGGTCTTAGAAGTTGACCTCCAAGTAAAAAGCCACGGCGGATTTCCTGAATTATAATCCCTTCCTTGAATTCTTGAGACTCTTCACGTGCCACAGCCTCATGTAGCTGTAACAGAAAGTTGAAAACTTAAAACGATGGCACGGGAACATTTATCAAGTTGCAGAGATGGCAAAACTAAAAAGATTCGCATATCAGTTTACATTACCACCCTAGTTTACAAACCTTCCTGATAGTCATCATTGAGGTTCTACCAAAATATTGCATCTTCTACCCAAAAAGATATCAAGACATAGAAGCCTAAATCAATAAGAAGCAAAACATACAACAGGGAGCAGAGTCAAGGCCAATTTTGGACAGATGGACTAGTGGGAAAATAATCAAGCTACATGCACCATTCAAAGGCTGATACATCCAAGTTACCATGACTTGTATCAATAACAAATAGCTAATAATGAATTCAAGAAAATGCTGCTCGACAGGGTAATCTCCTACAGGTAGATGCATACTGTAGACACATCAAGGAAGAATTTTCACTGAAGGCCCTGGAAATTTAAATCAGATGAGAATGCACAAGTGTTCCACACTCCTGTATCCATGTGGCAGTTTTGTATGAAAGCTTAACCATCCAAAATTTGATCAGCCCTTGGGCAATAGTGAGAGGTCCCAAAAGATAAAGGATACTGGAAACTACCCAAAACTTAGAGCAAGTATTGAGGCCTTCAAATGCATATTAACATTTGTCCCAATCTTTTCCGAATTAAAACAGTTGAATGCATCAGTCCCAGATTTTATACTGAAGTGCACACACAAAAATTACAGTACAAGAGTGCTCCTACTCTATGTAAAACAAACAATAAACTACTGACAGCAAGTCCGCAAGGGAGAGGGGAAAAAGAGTAGAATGAAAGATTAGGTTCTCCTTCAATTGGTAGAAAGGAGAGGACAAATGAAATGCAAGGGGCTTATTGCCCCACCAAAAGTAATTCATCCACCTTCGAGTAAACTGGAGGAGGGAAAGAGAAGAATCATACAAAATTTACATATGAGCTAATGTGCACATCCTACCTCAAACATCCTTCCAAAGATCGAATAATAATTTTTCATCATTTGGACCCAAGAAAAGATATCATATTAAATCCTTGAAAGGTAAACAAAATCAGGATTCAATTTTAAGATCTCTTTAACTTTAGAATGTGTTTGACCGGAGAAGAAGCATGAAAAGCTAGTCAGCAAAATTGTAAAAATTAAATATTTAGAGTATACATTGAACCAAGTAATCTTAAACACCTTCACTTACCGAAGGATCAAAAGACTTTCCCACAGTTGGCACGACAGCCACATGCAAGCTCTTCATAGTCTCCACCAATTGCTTGTATATACCTTGGTAACTTGCATCAATCTTTTTTTCCTTGTCAGTCTCGGGTTTAATGTATTGTTTGGCTCTCTCAAAATTGTCAACCATGGGCAAAAGACTCTCAATAACTTCTTCTTGGGCATCCGTCCTTACTGTAAGTCTCTCCTTCTCAAATCTTTTTCTACAATTATCAAAATCTGCTTGCAAGCGGATAAATTTCTCCTTCCCAGATGTTATCTCTGCCGACGAGGAAGATACTTTCTTGACTAATTTATTCTTCTCATTTTCAAGTATTTCTATCTTGGCCTCAACTTCTGATACAGTTTCTTCGTCTCCGTTAAATATAGCTTCCTTGTAAACTTTAAGGAGGGTCCTCAAACGGGGCAAATGGTGTTGATCTGCTCCACTTTCCGAAGATTCTACATTACTCCGAGTACGATCCTCTTTGGCATTCGTCTAGACATAAAGTACATATATAAGATTAACAATCTAAATACAGATAACTACATACAGGAACAACCAAATAACGAGAAATTAAGTATACACATTTACGTTCGAAGAGTGTGAGTCTGTTGACAACTGAAAATTAGAGACTTGGTTAAATTACTGAGATATAAATACGGAAGAAGCAGATTCTTAGACTTCAAAAAGAAAATTTAGAACAAGGAGAAAGAAAATTTCAAACAGGATTGGAGTTTAAACAAGCCCTTAGAACTGCCTTAACATACACAAGTCCAAAGGAAATGCTTGATTGTTTGATTGGAAGGAAAGTAACTAGAATTAACGGCTCATGCTTCTTTCATTTCATACAAAACATCCAGAAAAGTTGTTGCGCATTTACACTATACCTATGAAATCAAATGCCATCACACTAAGATTTCAAATCCTGCAAACCCATTGGACCCATGAGTCCATCACCATTAATTTTACGTAGCAGTGGCACATAACAATTTGGAAAATTTCCCCTAATTAAGAGATGAATAAGGCAAATAATATAAACAAAAATTGAAAACAAGAAACTAGAGAGAATGAAGAAAAGCGTACTTACTGGGGGAACGGAGTCTCGAGGAGCTAGATGAGATTTGAAGGAAGAGGCACGCCTGCTTCTGCTTCCGCTTCTGCTGCTCTGACTAATAATAGAGGAAGAGTTGTTGAGAGAAAACCCTAGACGGGGAAGAGGTAGGGGTTTGGAGGGTTTTGAGGGCAAGGAAGCAGAGAGGCGAGGGGGAGCTATGAAACTGTGGTTTGGGAGAAACAACGAATTCGCCATTAAACGCTTTTTTCAAAAGAAGAAACAAAAGAATTACAATTCGGACAAAGTCTGGTTTATTGTTGCTGGGGGGGACGAACAATGGGCACGCTTCTAGTCCGCCACTGGGTGTATGTGTTTAATTAAAATGCCTGAATATGGGCCTCAAGACCCATCACTCTTTTGGGCCGAAGCATCCATACTTTTCTAGAAGATTCTATTAACACCATCAAGGGATCTCCGATATTGAGATTGGGATATTCGAACACAGGACCAGGACCTCAAGTGATCTCCAATATTGAAGAGGGATTTGACCTCAATGCAAGGATGACTACTCTTGCTATTTTGGGTTAATTATATAGAACCTTAAAGTTTATTTCAAATTCATATATAAAGTCGCAGAAAACTTACAAATAAGATCCTCCATTATTTAGACGGTCAGTAAGTCGATTAAATGCTTACATAGCAAACAATCGTAGGTCCCAAACAAATAATAACCAATTCATTATAAGAATACTACTCTCTTAACACAACACAGCTACACAAGTAACTCATTTCATAAACATTGAAATGAGAACTCAAGCTCATTGATGACCGAGTATATTTCAAAAGCCAATGAACGTACACCGTTTTTGTTTGGACCACAAAGTGGGCAGTCTCTGATCTCCAACAACCACCAAAGAGTGAAACAAAACCAACTTTTCCTGGTCACTTCTTTAATACGAAAACCAGAAATGGGATTGAATGACGAACCACCACAATTACGTATAATCAGATAAATCCTTGTTTACAAGAAACAATGAGCACGAAATCTGAATCATAAACATTTAGCATTAATAGCTTGATTTTGAACATGGAAAACCAAGTCTACAAGATTGTTTCAACGACTAACACCACAAACTAAAATAACCAGAATACAAATATATAGCTACTGCAACAGTCAGACTAGTCAGCTTCCTGCCGGCCTTGAGCGCCTGCGATAAAATACAGAATACCAAGTATCAGGCGAGGAATTCATTTTATAATCCCCTGTTTAAAAAATAAAATAAAATTGGACAGAGTTATAATAAAGGCAGTATCTATTTCACACTAAGATGGTTTTTATTTTACCCCATTTCTTCTACTAGGTGTGTTTCTAAGACATCTCAGCTCAACATTTATGTAAACAAAGATTCACATATGAGGATGAATAAGGCGTCTAAGCTTCAGGTTGCACCGACTAAAACCAGTAAGAACCCCAGTTTTGATATAAACAATATGTTCAGATCAGTTAAGTCAGTTGGCTAATCTTTTGTTTTGCCAGAGAAGCTTAACTGACAGTTCATTGTGGCTGGAGATTCAAATGCTAAGGAAGACAGATGGTGCATATAATGCTTAATTTATAGGCTCTAGCTAATCTTTTGTTATAATGTTGTGATAACCCAGTACCCAACGCAATCTCTTTCTTTTTTTCCTGTCAAAAGCTTAAGTAATTCACTCTTGGAAGTTGGTATCCCACAATGGAGTTGAGTTTAAATTAAAAGAAAATTTTAATATGATATCTAGCTATAGAGAGGCAAAAGACAACACCAGACAAGATCCTGAATTGTACTCTATTTCCCATCTTGAACATTGTATACAACAAAATTTAACCCAAGAAAATTATCCAAACGATGTCATCCTCCTAAACCCAAGAAAATGAGAAGTTTACTATGGAAAGAAAATTGTTCGGCATTGTTAACGATGTAAATAGTGTTAAAGCTACATGAAGAAAATTAGGTACACAGCACTGCCAAACGGAGTGGAAAAACAGGATTTATGCATGTAAATCCAATAAAAGGAGTAAGGATTCAAAACTTATGACTGCATGACTGAAGCATGTCAGATATAAAATCAGTCATAAGGTACATGTTGAATGAATTGACAACTGAATTCAATTCGGCGAGAAGAGATTACCTGTACAGAAACTTTTGTTGTAGCAGCCACCAGTAGTTCACAAAGAACAAGCTTCAACAGCTGAGGCTCTTTGATATTGAACATCAAGCCTTTCAAGCAGTTTGGAATAAGAAAGATTCAGTTGGTTGTTCACACCTTCAGTTGCATTGTACCCTTTATTGCCATTGTCCTCAGTGCAGCCAACATCATCAAAACCACCTTCAACAGGCTGGTTCATATGAATAATCTTACCAAACAGTTGAAACGAACTTCTGCCAACCTTTGTTGAGTTGCAGTACCGGTTTCCATCCAGTTCCGTGCCAAAGGAATGCACACTACTCTGGCTATCTGGTGATAATTCATCAGACTGTGAACTGCCAATGTTCAACTCAGTAGACACCCTCTTCAACTTTGGCACCACATTGTTGCCAAAGGAATTGTAAGTGCACATCTGAGGAGTATTCTCACTTAACAAGTGGGATAGATTAGATACACAGTATAGATCTTGCCTGGCTCCCTGCATGCCAGCAGGAAAAGTGTTATAGTTCAACAAGGATGCATTCAATTGCCCCATTGTTGAATTAGGTGCTCCTGGCACAGGAAAGAAGAATTCTTCCTCTGCATTGGTCAGCAGGCCAGGACTCATAGGAGCTCTGAATCTCTTTGCGGGGGGAAATGCAGTATGAATTGAAGGTGTTGATGCAACATAGTCAACTTGCCATGGGCTCACCCTCTTAGCATTCTGCAGAACTTCAGGTTCATCCCAAGTAACCTATAATAGAGAGGTCATTAATATTTTAAACTATCTCTTGGCAAAAACTATAAAACTCAACATCAGTCCAAGTGGATAGAAAATAAGATGTGCTAAATGCAATAAATTCAGAATGTAACAAAATGTAGAAAATGATTAATATTATTATGTGATTTCTGCATAAAATTTTAATATGAAAATACAAGCACTTCTCTCTCCTTCTCCCTCCGTGCATGTGTGTGTATTTCTAGTGTTTTTATGCCTGATATGATAGGTTGTGCTCTTTAACTATTTGGTGTGAAGCACAGAAACTGTGGTTTGCTAAACCGCAAACATAAAAGGACAATAAAAGATCAGAGTGTACAATAATTTGGCAATGGCTACGACCCTGGCTAATTTTTGAAAGAGCATAGTCTCAACACAATTCTATAGATACTTAACAATCCACAACCTGAATCAAATTATCCTGACATGGTATTTCTTTTCATAACAGTAAGTTTGGCAACACCAAAAAGCTTATTTCAATTTTCCCCTTTTTTCTGCTGCAAAAGAAATATAAGTCAATGAATTTCAACCTAATTGATATCATGTATTTGAACAGAGGACAAGTCTACAGGAAAGTTGGTGTCATATGATAGAAAGAAATTATGCACCCACCTCAACCAAAATACAGATCAACTGCTCTTTCATTTCAACTTCTACTCCCACAATTAAAATGCAATATAAATTAGATTAACCTATTATAAGTCATTTAAGACAAGCAACGCATGGCAGAATATTTAGGAGGCATTGCTTTATTGAAAATCATTATCTCACTTATCAATGCCAGCAATTATACAGGACTAGAATTCAACAGGAAATCTTCTGGGATAAACTAAAACATAAATCTGTCAACACATCCAAAAAGCCATCTGATCGAGTCAAAACCAAATAAAATATTGAATGTTTCTTCAAAATTATGTACCATATCTGCTTTCTAATGCATTTCCACAAATATAAACTACCATGACATGTTCCAAATCAAAGAGGGTGGGTTAGCACCCTGCGGATAGTGACATGTACGCAAACCTATACCCAATTGGATGAATCACAGTAAATTTTTTCATATAAACAAGAAGATGAATTTCTTACGCCTACTTCACTGAGAAGCTAATAACAATTAAATAAAACTCAAAATAAGTGAGACCAAAAGCTGAAGAACCAATACCTGAAGCATGCGCCATGGGGAGCGCTGCCAAGGCCCATTGTCTGGGATCGATACCGACGACAAGGTGCCCTGAAACCAAGTCATCCTGGACGAATCCTCGGTCTCCACGGACATCTTCACTCTCATCCCGGCCGACCAAAATACATTTAAAGCCTTCTCCACCACCTCGGCCTTCACCACAAAGTCTGACCACCCCGCTTTCGGATAGTACACCACCTCGAACGGCCTTCCCGCCGCCGCCATCTCCGCCGCCCCTACCACGGCCTCTGCCGACATCACCTTCCTTCCAGAACCTTCCTGATCCTCTGTCTTCAGCCTCATTGTGGTCGTCGCTCCGCCACCAATGTGAGAGCTCCACCTGGAAGCGCAGTCAGAGCTCACGGTGGACCTGACTGCTCGGCGAACGCCCACGAACATCTCGCCTCTCGAGTTCCTCATGAAAACGACGGAGTCCCCGGCGACGAGCATCTTGTGGTTGACGAACTTGCTCCAGCCGGTGGTGAGCAAGTGCCGCCTCGGAGTTCCCCTGTAAATATGGCGAAAATCCCAAACGACGCCGTGGAGGTCGGTGACGGAGAGCGTCTGGACCGGCGGCTCGGCCTGGTAGTTAAGCGCGGGGAAGATGGAGTCGGCGCAGAACCTCGGGACGGAGAAGCCACCGCCATTGTTGGCGTCCGAAGGAGTGAGGATCTTCGCGAACGAAACGACCTTATCGGTCTCGTCGGCGTCGTCAAATACGTCGTCGTTCGGTGGCTGGTGGCGATTGGTGGGTTCGTGGTTGGGGATGGGGAGGAGAAGGAGCTTGGCGAAGACCTCGTCGGTTGTGGGATCGGCGACGAAATGGACGGCGGAGATGCGGCAAAGAATGAGAGGCTTGGAGAGGACGAGAGGGGAGAGGAGGAGAGGGGCGGAGGAGGAGGATTGCTCGAGGTGGCCTTGAGGGAAGTAGTAAACCCTAGAATGGAGGATGGGAATTTGTACGGAGTTTCCGGCACAGGCTCGCCAGATTTTGGGGTCGATCGGACGGTGGGGAGAGTGCGAGTGAGAGTGAGGGTGGTGATGCGACGGCGGATGAGGCGTAGGAGGCATTTTGGGGTTAGGGATTTTGATTTCAGAGAAGAGAGAGAGAGAGATTGAAAAGTGTGTGTGTGTGTTTTAGTGTCTGATTTGCCTCAGGGTGTGTGACAGAAGTTGAAAGAGAGAGAAAGAGGAGAGAGAGAGAGAGAGTGAGTGAGTGCCGTCTTCGTCTTGGGGTCGGAGAACGGGCACGCAAGCAAAACTCAAGGGAAATGGAATTATGGGATATAAATAAATAAATAATATTAAAGTACTATTATTTGGGTAAATTAGTTCTCACAATATTACACCGTTGCCCTCCCCACCAAAACGTAACTGCCCAAGTCCAACTAACTACACCATGCACCACTCTCTCTCTCTCCTCTTTCTCCCAAGGACTATGTTTGTTATGTCGTTTAACCTTCGCCCAATCAGCAAATTTCTCAATTTGAGTATTATTTCCTCACATATTTACATATTGTGTAACAGAATTGAATTTACTGTCCCAACTAAGCAAAAATGTTTGGAGAATTGTTAGATTGTGTGTGAATGATTTTTGACACGAAATACATGAAAAATCTAAGCGTTCTACACTCACAATTCATCAAGTAATGTATTTTACTATGTACAAACTAAATCATAACTAATAATCAAAGATGATTAGTTAAGTGTATCGTACTCTATTTGATGAGAGAAAAGATTTCCTTGAATACAAATCAATGTCTCTAGGACTTGTTGCATTTAATTGGATCAGGCAAAATAAATTCTTCATTCAATGGGAGCTGCCAAGAATTAGGGATCTCATAGGCCCTCTCTCTCTCTCTGAGTCTCACAGTCTGAGTGACATCATTGTTGTACTTGAGAATCACAGCAGTATTTGCTGGTGCTCAGTGAATGAATTTTATTGTCACTGACAATATTTTAAAGTCAACGAAATCAGAGGTTGTTAAGATTTTTTGTTTTTTTTTGGGGTTGGGATTTTTTGGTTTTAGGTTAAATTTAAGTTTGCTGTCGCTTTTTCCGAAATTTTTGAAAAATACGATGACTCGGTGTTTTGTGTTTGGGTAGCGATGGCACGGACCGGATTTTCATGCCTGCCTGTCGCGGTCGTCATTTCATTTGTTGATTTGTTATGTACAGACAGGACTCTCTACCTCATCAACACCCAAATTTGTTTATTCCCTTTTTTTTTCAAAAACAAAAACAAATATGTAGTGTTGTAAAATTGTTGTAAGATAAACACTGTCAATGGGATAATGTAGGGTTCAAGTGATGTTAAGATATATCATAAATTATTTATAAAAAAATTGAATCTCAACTTGATGAAATTATATAATAAAAAGAATTTTTGAGCAGTGTAAATATCCCTCGAGAATCTTCTTCGTAATGTTTGTTTCGTGACTAAAAACAAAATTTGATCAACTTCACCGATAATAAAGCTAAATTACATAATTGTCATAAAATTTGGTCTCAACTACAATAATTACTTGATAAGATGCCTGAATAATAATATCAACGACTTCTTAACTTACAAAATAAAAGATATAATCCATATACCATCACTGCGATATGAAATTCTAAAATTTGAGTTTCAATTGATAAATGACTCTTTGTTTTATTTAACTCTCTAAATCCATTTTGAATTATGACACATAGAGTATTATAACTGGTCACAAATAGTCCAATTCAAAAGAAAAAAAGGGTGTTGATGATGGAAAAAGAAACCAAAAGTACTAAATAAAAGTAAAAGACAAAAAGGCATTATGAACCGAAGACCTTGTCTAGAACGTGGACACAGCTTGTTATCTCTTTGGTGTTACAATTTACAAGAAAAATAAATTCTTTTACAAATTGTCACATCAATTATTCAAATAAATGGGTTTTATATAACTTTAGATTATTACTAGCTGTAGCATCATTTATTATTAAAATCCCAATTTATTTTATTTTTGACTTTGGACTTGTGTGTCGTGACACTAGTGCCAATTTGTTGTCCTTGTTTTGTCATGTACAATGACATGACTGTCATTGTTGGTCTCTTGTAGCTGCAGACAAAAAGTCGACCCTAATCGGGCAAAAAAACAAAATAAAACCAAGGTTTTAACAAAGGTAGGTGACCAGTCCACATCGACCTATACAAAAAATTGGAAGTGTGATCAAGTTTAAGAAGCACATTTTGAGATAAGTTTATGTACTTAGTTTGGAAAACTTGGTGTTAAGAAGCATAATATATTACTAAACACTTTTCGGAACTTGGGGAGTAATTAGATTAAAGAATATAATTTATTTTCAAGTGGGCGTTGCGCCTTGTCTTCTTGATGATTTTGACAATAATAGCTCTTAACAACTCCAATTGGACAAAATGCAAAACCAAAGTCCAAAGTGAGAAAATTGTTCGACTCGAATGTGCTTATTTTGTCAAATAACATTGCAGGTAATTAGACTGTGAATTTAAACCATGCATTATCCTATAGTATTTTCACCCGTTTTTATTTTTCAATCAATACGGTGCTAGTTGGATCGACTCAGATTTTTGGTGTGTTCCTAAGTAGTTATGGGGGCCTATCAACATGGTGCTAGTTAGATTGGCCCAAATCTTTGATGTGGTCCCAAATAGTCATGTGTGCTAGTTTTCCTCTGTACCCATTTCAAACTTTGGCAAAATAAAACCCCTTACTATTATTCAGACCAAAAATAAAATAAACCCCTACTATTATTGGCCCACGGGATAAATAATTAGAGAAATTCACTATTATACCCAATATAGGGCCTCAAATTATAGAAATACCCTATATGAAATGGACTTTATAAACATACTAAAAACTCATTTACAACATAATAAAGAGGCTTTTAACTTCTTATAAATTACAAAACTGTCATCAATTTATTAAAACAAGCTCAACCTCAAAACCTCATAAAAAAATAACCCAAAATACTCAATAGGGTATCAAAGTAATTTAATAATCAAACTTAAATTCAATAAGGTCAGCTGTCATTATTTAGATTTTTATTGGGTTTGTTTATAAAAATTCAATGGTATATGGTTTATCTATAATATTAGTGCTGAGAATGGGTATATCACTAAATATCTCTAATAGGTATTCATGTTTGTCAACATAAGCCTTCATTTGGGCTTTGCACTTTAGTTGGAGATTGTTTTAGTTTAACTATAGTGAGGGCATTATATACAACATTTATGTGAGGTCATATCTTTTAATCGTTGGATTAATTTTTAACTGTTGGATCAGACTACCAATTTGATTTAACAGCTATTCAATTTGAGATAAAGCCTCACCTAAGGGACATATATAAAACCCTCACTATAGAATTCTTGTAACTTAGCATCATTTTTTTTTTCCATTCAATGATTTAGGCTTTGCACTTTAGTGGGAGATTGTTTTAGTTTAACTTAGCATCGTTTTTTAAGGACATTTCCTATTAAGAGAAACTATAGTATACTTAACTCAAACACATGTTAGGACTCGAATCTTTCCTAAGAGAAGCAATTGGTCTTTGGCTAACTTAACATTACTTTTAAGGGTAGAACAATTAGTCAATACAGTAACGTTGTCGCCGCATATTCAAACATCACATAATTAAGTGTCGAATACCATGATGTTTTCTTAAAAGAGTTTCCAAAATAAACCCTAAACCCTACAACTATAATAACAAATTAACCGTGGCCAGAACAGCGTTTTCTTTCCTCTGTAGTTCCCTTTATTTAAGAAGATTCCAGCAATGAATTTTTTATTATAAAAAACGCCGTAGTGACATAGCAACATTTATTCAGGAATAAGAAGCAGAATGATTGGGAAGCAATAGTTGCTTCTCCAGAAAACACTTTTCTGAGACGGAAACACTTATAAAGTGGTGCCGAAAAATCTCAGAAGTGCACAATTTACCATCATTTCGACCAAAATTCAAACGCAAAAGGCCAAAAAGAAAAAACCACATATAAGAAAAATGCATTAACCAAACCTCATAAAAGAAAACCAATATCCCTTGACAGAATAATAGTTGGTCAAACAGACTAAAACACCACCAAATATAACAACAGCAAAGCAAAGCAGAGGGTGAGAATACAGGAAGGTCCGGTGACTCCCCTTTATTCCAAGACACACACAACCAATTCTCTTAACAGTGTCATACTGATTTAAAAATACCGATATAAAAGAGAAATCCCACATTACTCACTCTTCCTCTGTCTCCGACTCAGCACTCTGGAGCCATTCGATGAAGGGCTTGGCATTCTTCCAGATCAAGGAGCTTTTGTTCATGCCGCCTAAGCCCTGCTGGTACCACTTCATAATGAATTCCTCTTCCAGCACATCAGCGTCATACAGTGATTTCAGGACCAAAGCCACTTCCTTTGCAGCATCAGGGTTTGCCTTCCCAATGAAACACTCAATAGCTTGCAATAGAACCATCTGGGACCCCTCCTCCTGGGTTGCTGCAGCCAGGTAGTTTTTCTTCTTAGAAACCTCCTTAGAAAACCCTTTTCCCACGCCTTCGAAAAGAGCTTCAAGCAAGGCATCCATAATTTCTTGGGGCGTGCCAGAAAGGGTAACCAAAAAGGATTTAAACTGGGCAGCAGAAGTCCCCTTTTGCAGGCATTGTTTTATCTCATTAACGAGCCTCCCATGTGTATTTTTATCAGCACCATTCTGATGGGTCCTGGTCACAGGATTCTCCTCTTCAGTAGTAGAAAGCATGACCATATCAGCAGTAACCGCACTCAACTGCTCCTGGATTCGCTTCCGAGCAGCCTCCAAGGAAGTGTCTGTCTGCCACTGGACATCATCATCGTCATCTTCAGCAGCTTGGTCATTCTCATCTCCCTGGCTGTGAGTGGGGGAGCGATCCTCATCAGAACAAGAGGGTTTCTTCTTGCTTGATGCTTTAGAACCAGTTGTTGCCTTCTTCTTTGCCGCCTCCTTCTTAAGCTTCTTTTGCTCCTCATCAGCAGCTTCCCCTTCCTTAAGCTGCTCTTTGTCAGCCCTCCTCAAGGCTTTCTTTTCTTTAGCTGTCTTCTTCTGCTCTGGAGGGTTCTTGAGGATAAAAGTTGTAAGCTTGTCCCTCATATCAACATCAGACACAAAACCACATGCAGCACATTTGAGATTGAGCATCTGTGTCTTAGTGATAATTATTTCAGTTTCAGGATTCCCACAACCATAGCACTGCACGTATTTCTTAATGAAGTTCTCGAGAAGTCCAGCAAGCTTCGCAGTGTCATGAGCGCCATTCACATGGGAAGTCCCAGTCTTCTCATCAAATTTCGATTGAGCTCCAAGCTCACAGCCAAAATACTTAGTAGTATAAGAAGCAGGTCTAGCCAAGGCCTTTGCAATATCAACCATGTTGACCACATTAGTCTTGATGCCATTTCCTCTGCCTTCAATCTTAGTAATCATCCGTGGCATCTTATACCTGTAGAAGGCATCATCACGGTTTGAAGCACCAATGTTTTGTAGAGCCATCCTTAAGGGTGTGACAAAGATGATGGATTATATCAGAATGGTATTGTCTCCTGAAACAAGAAATCCTCCTCTACCAGACAACTTCCTTGCAATTGGAAAAGGTTGCATAAACCGGCAACCAAGGAAATGTGTGTTACTCTCCTCTAATAATCCAAAATGCATGCATCCAAATTCAACAGCAGCAGCTCTACTCTTTTTTCTAGATGTAGGACAATATTCACCGAGTAATCCAATCGACGACAAAAAGAGAGTGGCCCGTTCAGACATAAAATAAGTTATAGACGTCACACACTCCACTTTGACAAACTGCAGATGTAGCAGACTGAACTGCCAATTTCCTTCAATAAAATGAAATAGCTATTTAGCAACAGGTTAAGAGTAAAACAACACTCATGAAATCAATATAAATGGTGAAAACTGTGTCCAACAGTTTATAATCGAAAAGAACTGTCCTAAACTATCTCAAAATAACAAGGCTGATATCGTTGGTAGTTCTAGTTCTAGATGGACAACAAAACACAGCACTAATTCCACAAGCAAACAAAACATTATACTCCTTTTTTCTCTGAAGCACTATGATAAATCATCCGGCCAAAAGACTACGCCCTGGGATTAATTTATGATAAGTTTACAAAACAAGATGTGACAAATGTCCTACCAGCGCTAACAAAACAAAATCACATTCCAAAAAGGCCGACTTTTTTTATAATTACTGATCCACAAAGAACAACAAATCGGACAACGAAGCCGCACAAAGTTTACAATACAAACCTAAACCTAATGTCTGTAGTAATCAAGCACCTCCACGAACTGAAAACGGAAGGAGTTCAATATACCTGGACTGAGATTTCGCACCATACATATATATATATATATACTGCGACAGTCTCTTTCAAGAAGTTCAAACATATAAAAAAAACCTAACATGACAGGTTTTCTACATAAATTTCCAGCCATATATAAGTATACATATAATACAGCTATGGTCTCATAACGATTGGTGAAAAAAAACTCCGAGAATTTCAAGGGCAAAGGTCAATAACAATTATTAAATAAAATCACAACGTGAGAAAGAAAAAAAAAAGTCCAAATCAAAGCAACGCTGAATAAATCTATCTCAAATAGCATGCAGACTTAACAACATAATACAAAAATAAACCCTAAGATCCACAGATCTGTAAATATTTCAAAATCCGATCCAGAAGCATAAGACTTGAGCTCGGATCGAACAAACACTCAGCAATCAAAAACAATTATCATCAACAAATAAGATTACGATTTCGAAAAGAAAAGAATAAGCGCAGCGATTGTCAGAAGAGGTTGTACCTTTTAGGGTTGGATGATAAACGGGGAGAGGGAGAGAGAGAGAGAGAGAGAGAGAGATGGAGAACCCTAGAGGAGGTTATGGCTTATGCTTTGCGTATTATGTGACAGGGAGAGAGGAGGAATCATGGAATTTATATGCGGCGTTGGGTGCGAGAAGGTACCCGTAGGGCAAACTCACCGCCTTTAATTTATTATTTTTATTTATATAATTGATATAATTAAATTATTTTTTCTACCAACCTAATGATGCCAAATAGGATAAAAGCATTGTATTCAACCACCGTTCTGAAGATAACTAATCGCAAGATCAGGCGTCTGTTGGGTCAAATTTTAGGAAAAATATTTAACTGAAAACAGCGATATTTTTCACATAATACGCAATGGAAACGGAGATATCAATTTTATTTTTCTAATTAAAGTTATCAATGAAAATGTAACAGAAAAATAATATTTTTCATGAAAGCAAAAGAAATATGTTTTGTCGGTATAAGAAAACAAATTGGGCTTTCTCATATATTTTTTACAAAAATTTCTTTTGTGGCAACCCTTATTCATATTTGAAAGGCATTACGCAAAAGAACAGCTTTATTTGCAAAGGACTATATATATGATTCAATTGTTCTAAAATCTCATCTCAAAGTTTCAAACTATACTTCACCGGGGTCGAGCCTAGTTGAAAGGACATTATCACACCCTGACGGTGCGTGTGAGCTTCCCCCACCATCGCTTTCCTTGTATAAGGAAAACAAAAACCCCCCTTGAGGAATTCTTTTTTTGCACGGTTAAAAGAATGACAACATGTTTTTCCTTTAATTTTTAGACAAGATGTAACTTACAGAAAAACTATTGGGTTGCTATGAAAATTTAGAAATACGGAGCCCAAAAAATGAATAATACTAGACTCTGAAGTGAATAAAACCACAGAATACCATTGTTCGAGCCAATGTGGCCATACAGAACTATTCAGCACTTGAAACACCCAATCGAATTGAACATGTTCGATGAATAAGTTCGGTCCATTCAAACTTTTATTACAAAAATAAGAATTTCTATCTAGGGCATGATTGCTTACTCCAGCTTTTCAAAAGTATGAAAACTACGAAATAGTGAATGAGGAGAGTTGATAGCTCATTCTTCCGATGGCCTTTGCCCCAAAACTGAAATGTCTTCGTATCGTTTCTGCATTAAAAAGGAAAACATTCAATTCAGACGTTCGATATTGGGATTTTGTTTTTTAAGAAAACCAGTTACTACCAAAGAATCTCAATGCATAGAAGGTGTATTGTATTCGATATTGGGATTTTGTTTTTTTAGAAAACCAGTTACTACCAAAGAAAGAATCTCAATGCATAGAAGGTGTGTGCAATACAATATACATGTCTAGGACATGGAAAGCAAATCCAACCCCATCTCAATTATAATTAGACTCATAAGAATCCGATTAACATCCCAACACGCATATGACCTTATAATATGCAGCACCCCCGGCCATGGGCAAAAGTTTGTCTTCGAAGAAAAACCCACATGCACTAAAAGAAGGTAGGATATGTAAATGCATTACAAATATCTGAATCAAACCTGTACTTTAACACAAAGATACATGCAAACAAATAATTCTTCAATCCCCCATATTTGGATTCATCAAGCACATATTTGTGCAACAAGGAAATGCATAACATACTAAAACTGAGTAATAAAATGTAATAGTTATCATACCCCAACATTGTTGTACTCCCACAACTTATGAACTCCATAATCCACGGCCTGAAACCAGCAAATGAAATGAAATTAAATACATCAGAGCTTCTGATATTTGTTCTTCGTTCGGAGAGGAAGAGAAGAAACCAAATCAAAATTAGAAGCAAACAATACAAAACAAATTGAAAAGGGAAAAAAAAATTGATAAAGGGCAATGCATCACAGTCCTAAATCATAAAATGGGCCAAAAACTCTTTAGTTCTTCTCGGTCTCGGTATGTAGCCTAGATTACATTTCTATAATTCCACAATGTTCGACCCTCAACTTGATTGAGTTCAGAAATCAAATGTCTACGAGTATTGCACATAACTTGGGAACCAAAACAACATTAAAAACAAATATATTTTTGAGTATTAGCTTAAATTTATGTCTCTCACAGCAAGCAAGCATTTGATTAAGATATGAAACCATTGAAACCCTAAATCACAAGAAACAACATCAAGTTTCATCTATTTTTCACTAACATAGCAATAATCACTCCTTTTAATGACAAGGCCAGTTTAGGTTCAAAAAATCCATAGACCAAATTATAATTTCTGAGCTCGCAACTACACCAAAATGACCAAATCGCAAATCTAAGCAAATTTCATTCCCTTAGACTTTCTTAGCAACCAAACAGCTAATGACCAAAATAAAGATAACAGAAGACGAAAAACTAAAACGTCAGAACCAGTGAAGTAACCCTAATCTAAGTTCTGAGCCTCACCCGCTCACCGAGGAAAGCGCCGGCGATGACGAATGTGACGTAGACGGAGTTACGGCGCATAATGACCCTGTAAAGCCCTTCGAATACGCCTCCACTGGTTCGTCGAGCTGCTGAATCCATGGTGAAATGCGCGAATCTCTTCTACTTGCTGCTGATCTGTGTGCTAGGGTTTGCTCAGAGCTCGAAATGACAACCTATCCAGCAAAATCAAAGACAACAATTACGGATAAAATCAACTATTAAAATTGAAAAGAAAAAAGCAGAGCGATTCTTCTTAGGGAAGATCATACCTTTTCCGATTGGATGAGGAACACGTAGATGCAGAGAACCCAACAGAAATGGCTCTGGTTTGCGTTTATGCGGAAAGGGAGTGGAGAAAGTACGCAAAATTGCTTGTTTTCATATTTTATTTTAAATTCCGCATTTTTTTTTCGCTTTGGCAAGGACTTGTGTTTTGTCCCCCATAATTTTGCTTAATATTATGAATTCCACCAATGATAAAAGATTAATTTTGAATTCCAAACCATTTGCTATGGATTTCGATGAAAGAAGATTAATCTGCTATGATGAGATAAATAGAGTATCCAATAAAATTGAAATTGCAATAACCATAATCGAATTGTTAAACTTTCTTTTTTGGGAAGATTCAAACACATAACCTCGAATTTAGAGATAAAATGAAATGGTGATAATGCACCTCAATAAGTCACAAATTGTAAATACCGTAATAAAAATACAAGGCACAAAATCTAATTTGTTAAAAATAAATAAGACTCGTTTGAAAAATTAAGTACAACACAAACAATAACCCAAGGTCATATCATTTGGTATGCAAAATTTTATGATTTCATTTATTGTCTACTTGTTTAATTGCTCATCACTCATGGCATAGGAGAAAACTGTGAAAGAACAGAACTTGAAGGGAAAATGGGAACCTTTTAAAGCTCAAATCTGATTCTTATGTGCCATAAAATTATCAAACAAATGTACCACATTCTTTTAACAATAGAAGTAAATGAGAAACGAATCCAAGAGAATGCCAAGACTGCAGTATTATGCGTCCCTTATTGCTGCATTCGACCATCTCAACCAGAGGCGGTTTTCTTTTGTTGGAAATGGACAGCCCAAATAGGAACACCCACGCCGATGCTGAATGCAGTGAACACCCCAAGGGTCACCTTCAACTTCTGGTGCGACATCCTGTCCAAGTTGTACATGTGTTTGGCATGCATGTAGTATGGTTCATCATGGCCATGTCCACCCATTCTCTTCACTCCGGTTGAGTGGAACCCTCTAGTTCCTGGCAAAGCACAATAGCCACTACTTCTACTTAGTACATGCAATGAAAAAAGATCCAGCATTCAAAGTCGAAGGAATCAACACCTCAGCTGAGTTTTTATTAGTTAAACATTCAGTCTTTCTCCATTATGGATGGATTGGTGTGGGTCGGTTACAGATTTAAAAAAAAAACACGAACTACTAGATGAAACATGCGGTGGAGATTTAATTTCCCTGTACCCAATACTAATTTCCAGAAGCAAATGAGCAAATCAACCAAACTCATACCAGAAAAACAGCTCAAATAAATTAAACTATTTTGGGCCACTATGAAGAAGCCCATAAAAAAACCAGAAAACACCAATGGAAATTGAGGTCTCATGGGGATGGTCATTTCAAGTTCATTTTAAAAGCCAGCTTTCTGCAACTAAAAGCATGCAAAGATTCATGTGCCTTTGAAATTTACTCTCTAAGAGCCACTCATCTGTTGTCGCAGGGTGGCAACATTGTCTTTACCAACAGGACTCTTTTACAAAAAATATCCATGAGATGATTTCAGCGAACGGGTTCCTTCATGCAAATTATATACTGAGCCTTCTATTCACACCAAGATACCCATTCACTATGAAATTATGCCTCCAACTGGAAAGTAAAATGCTATGACCCACTTGAGTCCATATACCAAAAAATGTGAGTTAGTTCCTGGAATCTTGTTAAAGACAAGTAGTTGGTTGGTACTTGGTTACAAAAATAAAAATTTTGGGACAGTTTCCCGAATTAAAACATGAGGGAGAACATGTATAACCCTGAGGCTGTCCCATAATCACTATTGGCCGGGTGAAATTGAGCCCTCGCACACATTCTCAAGCAAGAACCCCTTTGGAACGGCCAGAATTGATTACAAGAAAATATAACACCAGGAAGGCATAGAGATATGTATAAGACCTTTCTTTCACGTAAGAAGATAAAATGGAAGCACCTTCTTACAGGGAAGAAGGGAAAGGAATTACTTTGAGGTTTATCTATGCCCGCATGGGAACACGAGCGCCATTAGAGGCAGTTCGCTCGGTTCTCTAAAAGGCAAAGAGGGAAGTATGAAGAAGGAGAAGTTCTATAACAAGAAGCAGCACAAGCTGTGCATCTTTTGGGCTCGATGTTTAATTCTGAAAATCCTTCTATACATGAAGGTGCATCTTCTGATCTTCCAAATTTTAGGTCAAAGACAATAATTTTTTTTAAACTTGCAACCAAATTCTAGTGTGTTCTCCATAGCATTATAAATACTATCAGCCAATCACATTGTTTATACACTTAACGATTTCATGGTATGCAGTGGCATCAAATAAAATAAGCAACAGATGGCATCATAATAACCTGATTTTGATAGAGATGCTTCTGAAGCCCTCACCAACTTTGCGCAGGTCCGGATCCCACCGTTCATGCTCATGATTGAAAGAAAGAACAAGCTCTTGCTTCTTAGTACCTTAATCACCAGAGACACTCGTTGAATTATAAAAAAAAATTACAAAATTTTCCAACAAAAAGAATGCCAATCAAATTCTTAAGACCTGAATGTAATCTAATTGAATTAAAAACATAGTAATCATATTCAGTTCATAATACTTGACCTAATTAAACAATAAACGACCACGGATCTATAAGAATTTCCAACAAAAACAAATAACCCTATCGAAAAAACGCAATCTTTGAGCTCCGATCGAGCATACTCGCAAGCAATCAAAAACAACATTTACTGAAAATTTTGACTAAAAATTCGCGATTTAACAATTCAATGAAGAAGAATGAAAATCAAAGAGGAAGAGCGACTCACAGAATAATGTAGAAGAGAATAGGTGAAATGTTACCTTGTGGAAATGGTGAAACCCTAGGCTATGAGTAAGCTGGCTGTGCGTCGAGAACTCGAGAATATTGAGGCTGGAGACTGGCGACGAGCAATTAAGGAACCCGGGACACATGTTGGGCTGGGCTTATTTTTAAGCCCAATAATTTTTTGTTTGGGCCTTGAATAGGTCAATTTATTTTATTTTATTTTATGCAATTGGTGAATTTTGTTTGAACTCTTTCTAATGTTTTATTTTCAACAAATTGAAAGGATAGGATGATGTCACAATCTACCACTATAATTTAGGGACCTCCAAATGTCCACATTTCAAGCAAATTGCAGGTAAAAAATTTACAAATTTATAAATAAACCCAATCCTAGACATGTATTTATAAAAAAATTCAAGCACTATTTAAACATAGAAACACACCCAAAATCAACAATTGTATATTTTTTGGGTGTTTATAAATGGGTTTTGAGTGTGTGTAATGATGGGTTTTGGGTGTGTTTATAAAGTGTTTTGGGTGTTGGGTTTTTTTATAATTTCAGCCCCTATTTTGGGTGTTTTAGTGAAACTCCCTAAAAAATTTCTACAATTCACTTGTGAATTTAAATTTAGAACATCTGAATTTATGATTTATCTCATACTCATACATGACAGTAGAGAAGTTAGGATTTCATGTGTGTGGGGGCTCTTACAAATTATAAAGAATCAAAAGTTCAAACTCACAATACATACGAAAAATAGTATATATATATCACATATGTGAATAATTATATTGCTTATTGGTTTCAATTATAATTGTCCTCGACAAAGGGATAGACAAATACATTAGCAAGAAAAATTGTAAGAGATAGACAAAGAGTAGCAATTTAGCAAATATCGTTAAAGCTTTTTCCCCCATTAAACCCAATAGAAAGAAAAAATCAAAATTTCACAAACTAAAAAAAACCTTAGGTCCTTTCATGCATTCATATCATACATGAAAAAAATGTTTTATATAAAAATATTGACTAAGTATGAAAAATGGTTTTTCAAAATAATCATTTTCTCAAGATAATTTTTGGCGGCTTTCATTCCTTACACATCAAATAAGAAAACTTGATTTTATGGGATTTTTGTATAAAGTATATATTGACTTAATGAGCCATCATTTTTAGCCTAAATCGTATTTTGCACTAAAATCGATTTTTCATATTTTGATTTGGTGGGAATTTGATTTTCTAGTATTTTTATTTGAATCCAAATAAGGGGTAATTTCTTATTTACATTGTAAACTTAAGTAAATTGAGTAATATAAAAATAAATAAAAGTAAAATGACAAATACAAAATAAGGTAATCTGTACACCTGGAGTGCACCACCACCAACTGAACAAAGGGGCAATTTGAAGCACATCATTGTGCCTTAATAGATCCGCCATAACACATGTGGATACATATCTAAACGTAAAATATTTAAAATAATATACATATTAAAATACATAACAGTATATTACTTTTAAAATATTAAAAAACTTAAGTGGGGGCCCGGGACCACATTGGTCCTAGTGTGGCTCCACCCCTGATACATGAAGTGAATTTAAATTTAGAACGTCTGAATTTATAGTTTATCTCATACTCGTACATGATTTGCTTCGACTGCTTCCACTGGACCTCATTCAGCTCAAATTCTTTCTGCTTATGGACATGGTTTAATAACAAATTTGCTACTGTGCTTAGACTTGAGATTTATTAATTCTCTCGTACGTCAAACTTTAGCCTAACCATCAAGTGTGGTCATCCACTCCTCCCCTGGTCAAGTGGAAGTATTGAAGTTGGGTTGCCACGCTTTGTAGGTGTGACCTTTGAATTGAATATTCAGAAGGCTCAAAGAAATTTCCCTTTTTGTCAAACTATTTGCTTGACGTGTTAATTAGAATCAAGTCACTATCATAATTAATGGGAAAAATGTAATTCACCAGATGCCATTGTTTTTGTCAATTGATGAATACATGCCCATTATGAGAGGCAAATAGGCAACCGTCATCCTTATTATTGTTTGTACAAACTTGAATCAAACAATAACTTGAACCAAAAAGTGTATTATATGTGTATTATATGCTTAACTTCGTAAACGATTGTAATAAATGCCCAAGGAAAGTAATAGAATTGAGTTTCGAGTTTATCTTTTCTGAATTCTTAAACTCAAAACGCAAATGGGATAAAATGATCTTTTACCTATTTCTACGACTAATGTAATCACAAACAAATTATCACAATGAAAAATCGTAACTATGATGATTGAGAGTTAGGTAAAGAGGAAATGCGCTCACCAGATTGAATAATTCCTCCACCCACGATGAAGGCATAGAAATCACCAAATGTAGCCGTGGAAATGTGAGGAATAGCAAAGCCATCAATCTATGCATAGGTGTTGACATCTCAATTTAAAATAACATGTAGCTGTTGTTGGCAATTTAGCTTTGACTATATGACACAACTATTAGCATATTGTTAATTGGAGAGGGCACATGCTTCATATCTCTGTATTTTGGCCTTAAAAACATGCTACACAACACTTGTTCCATTATAGAAAGTTAGACTAATAATTGCGTCATGCTCATTGTATTACATTCAGCCGCATTTTTGAATATGGCACTGCTTTTCTAGAAAGTCATTATATTTGTAAGTGCTTTCAGCAAAATCACTTTTATTATATAAAAAATTAAAATAAAAAATATTCACGTGCTTGCTAAAGAAGCACATAGGAGGTGCTCTTCAAAAAAACCTTCTATAACCCAGAAGAAATACTTCTATATTTTTATGCTAAACAATATCAGAAGCGTTTTTAATTGTTTGAAAATATTTTTAACTCCTCCAATGTAAGCTTGGTCCGTTCATTTGAAATTCTCATGTTTCAAAGCAGCCAAAAAACGGGTCGGGTTTGAAACTGGAGGGAAGTGGAGGTAACGCATCCGAATCCAAGAAAACGGATCTTGACGAGTGGCGTAACTGGCGTGGAGACGACGACTTTAAACGAACGCCATGGCCAACGAGGAGACATAAAGTCGCATACAAAGTTACAAGACTCCTCCATGCCTAACCTTTCTTTCTTTCTTTCTTTCTTATATTTTTTAACGGTCCAAAGTTCAACTGTACAAAAATGGACCCAACACGCCTAAAAGCAAAAGAAAATTCAAACCCAATTCCACTTATAAATTCACACCGTCTCTCTCATTCACAAGTCACAACCAGCTTCGTCACCACTTCTCTCTCTCTTCCTCTCTCTTCCCCTCTCTCTGTGTCACAGAGAAACGAAGAGAGAATGAAGAACCGAAGCTCCAGAAAGATATCCGCAACATGGATTCCCATTTTTTGCATACCAGCTTTCCTCCTCGGCATGCTCATCACAAGCAGGTTCCATTTTCAGCTTTCGGATTTTAGTTTTGTTTGAATCCGTGTTATGGGTTTCTCTCTCTTTTGCTTTTAGTACTGAAACGAATTTTGGGTTTTGATGGTAGCAGAATGTGGGTAGCACCTGAATCCAATGGTCAGCTCATTTCGACTCGTCGCCAGGAGCAAGAGCTTCAAATCGTCTCAGAAGATTGCGCAACTAAGAAGGTAACAATTAATTGCTCAGAAATTCCAAACCCTTTTGTTTAAATTTGAATATTCTTTAAAAAGAATTTTGTTGCTATTTACAGAAGCCTGGACAAGAAAAGGATGTAATGGACGAAATTTACAAAACCCATGCATCAATTCAGTGAGTGCAAACACTTGAGTTCTTGTTGTGATTTTGTTGGACTTGGGTTGCTTTCTTTTTGTTGCAATTGCATGGATTTGTACTATGCACTAACTATCTTGCTAACTTATTGTGAATTTTGCGGAGGCTTGCCAGATCTCTAGACAAGCAGATGGCATCAATTCAGATGGAGTTGGCAGCAGCTCGGAGTTCCCAGGAGATGGGCACCTCGAGTGGCGCCGGCGGCAACTCGCAGTTGTCTAAGGACAGTCCAACGAGAAAGAAAGCATTCATTGTTATTGGAATTAACACAGCTTTTAGTAGTAGGAAAAGGCGAGATTCAGTTAGAGAGACTTGGATGCCTCAAGGTACCATAGCTCCGTTATTCTTCTGCGTGTAAATAAGATCTATTAATTCTATGGGACTGCTTGTTGAAAATGCCTGAATTGTTTTGGCCAGGGGAAAAGCTACTACAATTGGAGCGCGAGAAGGGGATTGTAATCCGTTTTATGATTGGCCACAGGTATGGAACAATTCTATTAAAGTCGTATAACTGCAGCCTATGGAATTGAAATTTGATGTGGCAATTTTGACATACGCATGTGCTCTTCTCCCATGACATTTGGATACTCGTACTTTACAGAGTAGAATATTTTTTGAGAAATCAGCACTTCTCCAAGAGAGCTAAGAAATTAAGAAATGAATTAGTATAGTCGTTCAGTGGTAAAATTTCCTGGTGGCAATAGATTGCTCATGTTGTGAGAACAAGTTCAGAATCACATGTTGCCCTTACTTTAGATTTAAGTCAACATTTTAGATATTGAGACTTGCAGTTTAGTTAAAAAGTTTCTTTTGCTAATTTAAAAACATTATACTGTGCAGTATGATCTACTTGTTGCTTATTTTGTGGGTACAAGTTCTGGATCACATGCTTCTCTTACTTTAGATTTTATCAATATTTTAGATATTAAGACTTGCAATTTAGTTCTAAATTTTCTTTTGCTGAAGTAACCCTATACAACATGCTGTATGATCTACTGGTAAAGTTGGGCCTTATATCATCTCTCACCATTCTCGGGTAACTATGATATGAATATAGAGAATAGGAATATATACAGAACAGATTTATCTATAAAGAGAGGCCAGAGCATGGTTTTTGCTCATGTATAGCACACAGTGATAGAGGATAAGTTATTAAAATAGTGTTCTGTTTTGATTCTGAAACTAACCTGGGTGATATCTGCATAATTCATACAGTGCAACATCCAACAGCATTTTAGATCGAGCCATTGATTCGGAAGATGCTCAACATAATGATTTCCTCAGGCTGGTAAGAGTGTAGACATAAAACTTTGTACCTGTGGAACTATGAGGAATTTGGTCTCATTCATTTTTGCACTGTAGGAACATGTTGAAGGTTATCATGAATTGTCTGCCAAAACGAAAATTTTCTTCACCACTGCACTTGCAAATTGGGATGCTGATTTTTATGTCAAGGTGGATGATGATGTACATGTCAATTTAGGTATGCAATGCTCATATTTTCGACTACTATAAAGATATGAATATTGTTACCACGGATGAGTTTCTTACATGTCTTGCTTGTATAGGTATGCTAGCTACAACTCTTGCCCGTCACCGTTCAAAACCTAGAGTCTACATCGGGTGTATGAAATCTGGACCTGTTCTTGCTCAAAAGTAATTGTCCTGATGCATTTATAGATAAGTTACTCTTCAATTTACATGTTCCCTCAGGGAGGAGATATTAATCTTCTACTATTTTCTCTATTTTCTAGGAATGTTAAGTACCATGAACCAGAGTACTGGAAATTTGGAGAGGAGGGAAACAAATACTTCCGGCACGCAACTGGACAGATTTATGCACTCTCAAGGGATCTAGCTACATACATCTCCATCAACCAGTAAGAATACATTATATTATCGTTTCTTTTTCATCGAATAGAAGTAGTATTACTATTAACCTTGTGTGATACAGCATTGAGTGTCCTGTACTAGATTTTGAAATTTGGCATATTTGTGTTGGAGATAAGAAATACATTAAATTGTTCACCTGCATCAGCAAAAATACACTAAGACATTGAAGATTGCAACCATCTTTAATCTTAGCTTTGATAATACCAAAAAAAGGGGGGATTATTTGACCTTTCAAACTGTTGTTTTATCATTGGAAATTTGAGATTTGGGAATCGGATATGGGTCTAGATAAAAATGAATGGCCTGAAAGCACTGGTATTTTTGCCCACCTTGGCCTACAGTTATTAAAGAGATTAATTCACGTGTCCATAGTTAATAAAATCTCCAAGTGTTTATAGTGGTAACTAAGGTTTTAAAGTACATGTTACTTTCTGCAAGACATGATGAAGTTCTGAGTCATCCTGTTTTTTATTGCAGGCCAATATTGCATAAATATGCCAATGAAGATGTGTCGCTTGGTTCATGGTTTATTGGTTTGGAAGTCGAGCACATTGATGACCGCAATATGTGCTGTGGGACTCCACCAGGTACTGTTTTTAGAACAAATATGTGATTAGTGGATCTTGCATCCAAATCTGAAGAAACAATTGTAGCTTTTCGAATATTAATAATGGGATGTGGTGCATATTTGCTACCCGTTAGATGAGACAGGTTAAAATTGATCCCGCTCAACAGATTTACATTTCCTTTTTGGAACGTATAATTTGGTAAATCTGTCTGTTACTGGATTTATTTTAATTTAGTTGAATCCTCTGCAGATTGTGAGTGGAAGGCACAAGCAGGTAATGTGTGCATTGCATCATTTGATTGGAGCTGCAGTGGCATCTGCAAGTCAGTGGAGAAGATTAAACATGTTCATGAAAAGTGTGGTGAAGGGGATGCAGCTGTTTGGAGTTCATTATTCTAAATCAGTTCACGTTGTAGGGGCCTTTCTTGCCAAAAAAAGTGCGTAAAAATTGTTTAATTTCACTTCGAGTCCAGTTTTGAGAGTGTAGATGGAAATAGCATTGCAAATGGATATGATACACATTTCTAAGACATTGCTTCTTAAACTTTTGGGGAAGACGTGAGAGCTGGTGACCTGGTGCTTGAGTTATGCGGAAGCTGTTCAGTCGAAGTGTTGGCGATTGCATGGATGTGAATCTGAAAATACTGTTTGTGTTCAAAGATATCTTCCGATTGTAATTGCGTGTAGGAGGGTGTTTATACGAAATGACGGCTCTCGCGTGTATGAGGGTATTTATACGAAATGACAGTTCTTGTGATATAGTTTTACGTAGGATCAAATGTTTTCTTCTAATGTGGGTATTATTTGCACCAGGCCGAGTGTGTACCCCCGTAGCAGGAGCAACCTTTTTCATTTAATGTTGTATTCTTCCACTAATCCACAGGAATTACTTGTTGTAATACAAAACACAGAAAATACATTGCTTTCGCTTCTGCTTTCATGTTATGTGACGAGGGCTGGGGGTTATTTTTCACTTCATTGGTTTTATGATTTTTTTGCCTTCACTTCCAAAGCACTCTCAAACGTGCACTAACACGCTTAGAATAATTGATTATGCATATGGTACAATAAAATGAACTGTTTTAGATTTGGGATAACCTTTAGGTGAATGTTTCATTTGTGTCTGAAGCCAATATGGTCGGTAAAAGTCAATAGCTTCTTATGGCTTTTGACATCAGAACATGTAGGCTTGCATTCTAGTGATTTTTTAATTTTTGTTGTTGTTGTTGATACAAATACTCTATAAATGACATGGTTGAGCCTTAAAAAGCATAAAAAAGAGATTCATGGTTGTCAGAAAACGCTTTTATACTTATGTAAGGGTTAAAAGTGTTTCTAATTGCTTTTGGCAGAACAATTTAAAAGCGATTTCTGGAGAAATACCTAGTAAACACTTACTAGATTTTTAACAAAAAATATAATGTTTTGTCCATAAAAGTGCTTCTAACAAAAGCCGCTCATAAAGAGTCAACATCCAAGCCTGCCAGGTAAGCCCAACCCCAAGGCCCATAAACAACTGGCTGCAACCGCGATATCCATCATCATCCAGAATCCAGTTGGATCATCAATTTTCTTAAGTCGGGCCCCGAAAACTCAAAACTCAGCAATTTACCGAAGTGTTAATTAACTTTGGACTTTTGTCATCCGATAATCAAATACGTACATCCACTCCATCGCAGCTTAATTAGCAATTGGCTTTTGAACTTAAAAGTGGTCAGCTCTCAGCTCTCATCTCTCATCATCGCCGTAGAGCTGAGATTTTGGAGGAATCGGACGGTGGTGGAGAATGGAGAACGCCGATGTGTTCTTGGGCCTGCAGGACTTTCTTGAACGAATGCGTCAACCGACGGCCGCTGATTTCGTCAAGTCCATAAAAAGGTAAAGTGGATTTTGAGATCTTGGATTATTTGTTTCTGCAGTAAGAATCTCTTATCAGAATTGTGAATTGAGTGCGAGAAAGGTGTTTGATGTTTGTTTTGCATTGAATTGAACTGGGTTGGTTTGGATTGGATTGCAGTTTCATAGTATCGTTTTCGAACAATGCTCCTGATCCAGAGAGGGACAGTGCTGCGGTGCAGGACTTCTTTGCCCAAATGGAAATGGATTTTAGGGCTCATCCACTTTGGGCTGGTTGTTCAGAAGAGGAGCTCGACAGTGCTGGCGAAGTGAGTTTGAGTTTGATATTAACTAAATGCTTAGCATTTTAGTTTTGCTTGCATATATGAATGATCATGAATTAATTGTCAAGAGGGACTAAGTGAAAGGCTAAAGCATCATTGCTTAAGTGGGTGTTTGTTGTTGTAAGCACAGCAACTCATCTTCTTCTGCCCCCTTTTAGTTTTTACCGGGGTAGAAGAAACATGTCTTAATGACACTTATGAAATAAAAGAAAACCGAAATTGAAACTGAACACATCAAAGAGAACCTCACACTCCCTTCTGGCAGTGTAGAATGAAGATTTATGAAAATGTAAAAGATGTTGTACTTCATACCTTCTTGTATAATGTATATCATTCTTCTTTGAGGAACTCTGTAGTTTTTCTTTCATCTTCTAGGACATGTATTATTTTAGCATATCTCTTTTTTTTTTTTTTTTTTTTTTTTTTTTTTTTTTTTCCCTTTATTTAATAATTTATGTGATATGTCTTATTGATGTTGTTGGCATTTTGTTTTTTCTTGGATTCTGTTAAATACAGGGACTGGAGAAGTATGTCATGACAAAGTTATTTCCTCGTGTATTTGCTTCTGTTCCGGATGATGTAAAACTTGATGACCAACTGTATGAGAAGATGGCTTTAGTACAACAATTCATTCGACCAGAGAACTTAGATATTAAGCCCACATTTCAAAATGAAACATCATGGCTGGTGAGTAAAGGACTACTCATATCAAATATGTATAAATAAAGTATGTATACAGGAGAGAGAGAGAGAGAGAGAGAGAGAGAGAGAGAGAGAGATCCTTAAATAAAGACATGGACATAGCTCTCAATCGAGATGCATTGATTTGCATATGAGTTGTCTCTATTTGTTAACAGTTCCTTGTTTAAGGAGCTTTTTTGAGAAAAATTGGACCCACATGTTGACGGGTATTGAAAAGGAAATAGCAATCAGGATAGTGCGGGATTTCACAAAATAGAGATGAATTCCCCCTATTTCCTTCCTTCTTGTGGTGTGAACTAACTGTCTTTTCATGTTCAGGAATTAATGTGTCAACTTTTCTAACTTATGATTGAACTTTTTTTTTCTTGGTTGTTTTTTCTTTTCATGAGAATGCACATAGGATTGCAAATATTTTTTCTGACTTCTGTAATCTTGGACTTAATCATTGTTGGATACCTCTCATTAAATCCTTACCAATGCATTTTTTTTGTTGCTTTTATCTTTTCAGCTTGCTCAGAAAGAACTGCAAAAGATCAATATGTACAAGGCACCCAGGGATAAGCTTGTGTGTATCCTCAATTGTTGCAAGGTTATCAATAACTTGTTGCTGAATGCTTCTGTTGCTTCAAATGAGAATCCCCCAGGAGCTGATGAATTTCTTCCCGTCCTAATTTATGTTACTTTAAAGGTATGGCAAACTTTATATAATGTCCTGATTTATTTGATTAAAAATTTACTTCTGAAGCAATACATATCATCGTCTATTCTAAATAAACTATTCAATTAATTTACCACTGGAGGTGCGTTGCATTCTTCAATTGTAGAAGGGACCAGAGTATGTCATGTTTACAAAGTTGCTCTATTTAAATGATGATGCAGGCAAACCCTCCAAAACTGCACTCAAATTTATTGTATATACAAAGGTACAGGCGCCAATCTCGATTAGTTGGTGAAACAGCCTATTTTTTCACAAACATGCTCTCTGTGGAGTCCTTCATCTCAAATATTGATGCAAAATCCATTTCAATGGATGAAACTGAGTTTGAAAAGAACGTGGAAACTGCTCGAGCACTTCTTTCAGGACTTTCAACTGATTTGGACAGTCAGTATAATCAAAGCGGTCAATATGCAGGATATGTACATAGATCAGAATTGATGGAACCCAGACATCAACCTTTGAATGCCTACAAGGATTCTGCACAACCCAAATCTTCTGAAAAAAAATCCCGAGCGAAAAATATACCCTATGGTGCAAAAGATAATTTATCCTTTTCGAAAATTCCATCCCTTTCAGATTTGGAGGATAAGGGCGCGACAATCCTTGTAAATGATGATAAGGTGAGCCAGGTCTTCCGGGAGTATCCATACTTGTTTGCGCATGTTGGTGATCTAACACTCAATGATGTAGAAGACCTCCTTAATAATTACAAACAACTTGTTTTCAAGTATGTTTGTCTTTCCAAAGGGTTAGGCGTTGCTGCTCCATCTCTTCCTGTATCAAGTTCACAAACAGAGTTCCACCAGCATGCTGAAACGGAAAAGCAACAGGATCACTCTAGAGCTATAGAGCCTAGTGATGAAGTATCAAATGATATTAATAGGAATGATGGTTCTCTAGAGCCTAATGATGAAGCATCAAATGATACTAATAGGAAGGATGATGGTTCAAATAAAGAGCCTCTTATCGATTTGGATAATTTGCAATCCCTATTGTCACAGGATCAAGTAGTTGCACCACAGGGTGGTAAACACGAGGAGTCTTCTTAATAACAGCTCTCCTAGGACTTGTATTTGCAGGAGTATGTTGAATTTCCAACTCGATGGTCACCATCAGGGCTCTTCTTCTCCTTTTTTTTTTCCTGATGTAGATGGACTACCACGGTGACTACTTTTGGTTGGCAATGAGTACTAACATTTGCCTGTCCTTGTCACGTAATGGTGAAAACATGGGACAGAATTGAGGAGTTTAGCATCTGGGCAATGCATCAAATAGCAATTGTATGAACTATGAAGATGCGAAAATATACTCCTCTCAGCAAGCCAGCATGCTACAGTGTATGCTTGTGGGCACTTATAATTCGCATATGTAGCAATATAATGATCCCGGGACACATGGGAGCTTGCTGAGCCTCGAGAGGAATGCAATTTTCGCCAAAGTTGCACCTTGCTATCCTTCATTAAGGTGCAGAAGTTTGTGTTCTAAATCTATGTCATGTGTTCTCTTCTCTGTAGCGTCACTCCTGTACATATACAGAAGTCTTCTAACGTTACTGCGAGTTTCTTCATTTTTGCATTTTGACTAAATTGGCTGCTCTGGCAGTTTAGTATATGATATATCTCACTATGGCTTGAGTTTGTGGCTTGTCCACAATGACAAAGGACAAAAACAAATGCTTGTTCGGTTTTAAGTGAAACTCTTTTCTACTCAATACCTGTGGTTGGCTTCATGGCTAATCTTAGTGCAGGAGATAGTTTGTCCAAGCTGAGCTGTGGGCTCTGTGTCATGTGTCTTAAGCTTGCCCGACATAACCAAATTTCCATTCTTTTGGTTAAGGTGGATTCAGCTATTATCTCAACTCTTCTTGTTAAGGGGAGATTTCAGCTCTTCTCCACCCTCTCCTTTTCTGGGGGAATGTAGCTGCTGATCGTTTAGCCAATTTGGGCCTCTAGCTTCCGTGAGTTGATCAGGACACCTTAAACCCAAAAGTCACAAGTCAAAACTAATCCCTTGAAAATTGAAACCAATCTGTTATTGTATGCCACATACATATTCTCACATCATCAGGAAAGGAAGTTCAGAACATTGATTTTGATTGTGGGTTTTTGTTCTGATGTAATGTAGACCATATTTTCCACGTGCTGCTGGGTTTTTTTTTCCTTCTTCTAAGCTTTGTAGATAAAAAAGGCCGTACATATTGACTTTCACATACCAAAACCATCTTCAAGGAAAGAAGCAATTGGAAAAGAGCTGCGGCAGCTGAATTATGAAATCACATTATTATATGCTTACATTCTCTGTATTGATAAGATTTTGAATAGTTGTCCCGAATTCAAGTTGATATCTCAATTATGACGGCGATTTCAACGTAAAATATAAGCACAAAATCCGAATTCCCGGAGAAATAAAACCTACTACATCCTCTACGTGTTATGTATCTGAAAACAAAATGGTTTGTAATTAAAATTTTATTTATTTTTTTACAGCATATTTGTATAAAGAAGATGTGTGTTATTTGATCATCAGTCTTTTCTTGGGACGTTATTGGGGATTACACTACTACTACCTTGTTTCTTTGCTTTTGTTGTTATATTATCCGATGGATTCATGTCTCCCTTCCAAATTCCAATAATGTAGCAAACCATACTGTACATATTCAGATAGGAGATTTGATATTTGATGATGTCGATGTCGATGTCGATTTTTCTGAAGAAAAATAAATAGAAAAATACAATTAAGTTTGTGAAATGTAGGACAGCCTGCAAACACAACAAAACAAAACAAAAGCTTGTGTGGATCTTGGGATCTGACAGGCAGGCAGGCAGGCCAACTGGCAGCAGATCACACCTCTCTTCTTGTGCTTCACACCCACACTCACTGTATAAGTATTAGGGTTAATTACATACAACCCTTAAATTTTAGGGTTGATTTGGAAATGATATCCGATCTTTAAAGACTTTACAAATTCATACACAACATGTTACCTATACCGCTAGTGAGTATCTTAAATGCTTACGTGACAAGTCCGGAAGTCAGGTGCCAATTTGAAATGAACACAGAAATTTAGAGAATTTTATGTAATTAACCTTAAATATTACATATATTTTCAGAGAATTATTATACTGAACGTATTTCAATTGGAGGGGTCCAAAGAATCTTCATATTACAAAATATTAAACAACAAATAATTTGGGGGTCACAGATAAGGATATGTTGTTCGTGCAAACATTATCTCAACTGTTACAAGTCCTGCTTTGCCACTGCACTTGGTCATTAACTTTTTTTTTTATTTTTTATTTTTGTGTATTCCACGTAGACAACGATATATTTTGAGACCAAATTGCAATTCTCTTCTTCTTATGATTAGAGGTTGTTAGGACAATTACCAGTTAATTGTACTTCAAGCAAAAACATCATTCATAACCCTATATATCCCTATGGAGGATAAATGAAAAAAAGTAGAAGCAAAAATCCCCTATCTAAGACAGTTTAGCACATATTATTACTAATCTATATCAATCCAAGTTATTAATCAAGTGAACGTTAAATCAAATATGCGGTTTTTAGATTGATCATTGAACAACATAATACGTCATCCACATGAACCAGTACAAATCTTTAACAGACTAAGTGGAATAAAAATCAAATGTAGATTTTCTTAAAGCAAATCATTGGTGATATTGATAATTGATGCGATGAGCCCCTTTCAAACAGAATTGGATGGCCCCAGCCTACACCAAACACATTATAATGTGAATGTCATCTTACTAGGGCAAAGTGCTGCCATTGCCAACCAAGGGGAGCTTGTTTGTTAAGATATGATAGATTTAGTGTACCAAATTCACCTTTCATGTGCCTCCCACGTTGTGTGGTGCATGGCTTGTCGGCTGAGATGTATGCATCTTCTGCTTCCTTCACAATTTTTCCCTGCACTTGGTGTGCATGTGCTTCAATTTTAAATCAAAATGTTCTGCTAATCAACCCAAACTCTCATCTCATGCACAAAATACAAAATTATTTATTTATTTAATAAATAAACCAAAGAAACAATTTCATTATACCGTACCCGTTAAAATTAAGTTTACGATATAAAAATCGGGTTAATCAACACTAATCAAACTTGTTTCGTATATATTTCGAATTTTTTTTAAAAAAATTATAAGCTAGTGAGTTAGTGTCAGATTCTTCTTGTTTCGAGTATGGCTTACCCTAATTGCTTGCACTGTCTTTACGTAGCAGCTGGAGTTCTGACAGGTTTAATTTTTAAGCTGAAAGCTCCAAATTTCTTTCTGATTTCTATTGGTACTTTACTTGATCGATGCTAATAATGGTTTCTTGAGTTTAACAACAGCAGAAATAAAATAAGAAAAAGGTTTTGGCTTCTCTAGATTAATCTTTTTTTTTGTTTGTCGAAACATTGCTAAGAAGCTAAGCTTACTCTATATATATAATTAAAAAAATAATATATATAATTAAAAAAATAATATATATATATAATTTTTGTATATTTGACTTGACTTCAAACTGAAAAATATAATTTGACAAGGTAAAAATTGTTTGCTATAAAAAATATTAAACTTATTTCAATATCAAAAGACTATCGAACATTTGTAAATTATTATAGTTTGATTTTCCAAATGCAAATGTGGTCAAATGTGTACACACAAAGAGAAACTAGACCCAGCTTAGCAGGGGGCTTTGGAAGATTACTGTAAAGTGAAAGTCATTTACTTTTTAAATGTTTTTTCTTGAAGATAAATACTTTTTTTTTATCTAATTTATTTAGGAAAATACGAAAGTCATATAATTGTTGCCACTAAAGGAATGCATGCATTATAATTTATAGAAAAGAGGCTGCGGATTAATTACTTGTGGGCTTCCTTCTGGGTAAACGTGGTTCCACCTAATAATATGTGTTCAACATTTATTTATGTTGATTTGTTTGACCTTTGACTGCTCCAAGCATGTCCCAATCGATCAAGTATTTGTGCGGCAAAACTAAAGCAGAAGCATTTACAAGAAGAAGCTCAAAAGCAGGAACAGATACAATTATGAACTTATATACAATGATGTGGGAAGGGAGGAGCAGAAAATTTTGAATTGGCATAAATAAGTTCAAATTTCAAAAGGTTGTTCTCTTTCAGTTAAACAAGATTAGATGCAGAACTAATCCAACCCTAGAACCACAATTGAGTTAATTAGATTCTTGAGTACTTGTTTTGAGCAAATAGTTTGTTGGGTTATTATCTGTTTTGGATTTTGTTATGTTATACTAGCGTTTTGATACACGCTGTTTGTGTCGTTAGACGGTGAATTTAACCGATTAGATCGAAAGGAGACAAGAGGGAGGTCAACCTATGATTTACCATGAATAGCGTCTAGACTTGGCATGAACTGGTTGGATTGGATGGAAGATTTATCCTTTTTCATCTTTTAAGCCGGACCCTTAATAATAATAATTAAAGAAAAGGAGCTTTCCTTTCACACCTTCACTTATTAAGCATACTACTACTACATATATTACCCCAAAGAAAGGCAACATAATGGTCCTGACATACTTCTGTCTTGGTCTCTCCTTCCCACAAGTCATTGCTAAAGAATGAGTAAACACAAAAATTGAATCAAATCAAATTATATTAAATTAAAAGGATGGTCTTGTTATATTAAAATACACATCACTTTGTTCATGTTTGACAAACTCAACACCCTCTCTCTCTCTCTCTCTCTCTCTCTCTCTCTCTCTCTCTCTCTCTCCTTGCCTCTCTCCTTGCTTGGAATACCATAAAGACAATAGCAACCTCATAATAAATAACATTGCTCTCTTCTCATTAAACCCCCAACCCTTCTCTCTCTCTCTCTCTCTCTCTCTCTCTCTCTCTCTCTCTCTGTTCTGTGTTCTGTGTTCTGTGTGCTGAAAACACCAAGAATTTGACTGTACAAAACAAAAGCAAATCTTATCTCATTCTCTGTTTCAGAAACTAAAAAAAGTTGAAAGAAGGAGAAGAAAGATCAAATGGGAAATGAATACAATCGCTTCCACCACCACCACCATCATCATCATCAACATCGCAATCTGCAAATGCATCACAGAAGCACATTCTTACCCATGTTGTGTTCAAGGCCATCCATCAAAGATGTAAGCCTCCCCAACTGCTCTGCTTCCTTCAAAAAAGACCCTTTGTCCCCAAGAATCAGCTGCATGGGCCAAGTCAAGAGAGGCAACAAAGTTAATGGCTTTCCAACCTCTCACAGGCTCACCATCACCAATTCCAGGCATAACAGCAGCCCCAACAACCACCACAACAACAATTTCAAGTATTCAAAGCTCAAAAAACTCTTCTCTAGCAAAAGCCTCACTCCTACCACTACAACAACTATCACCACAACCACCAATACCAACACCAGATGTAGAAGCCAACAAGTGGTTGTGAATGCTTCAAGTGGGCCCAGGATCAATGGTCAAGATCATCATCATCTTTGTGTTCCAGATATTAACATAGTGGATTTGGATCCTCCTCTGCCTGTGATCAAGAGGGTGCACAAGAAGCCTGAGGCCCAAGAAGAAGAGGTGGGCAGCCTTTGGAAGAGGAGATCTGGTGGGGCTGCATTGGAAGGTTTGCAGCTTAAACTAACCCACCATCCAAGACATCAAAATCAACCCACTACTGTCTGATGATGGGTAAAAGAAAAGAAAAACCAAAAAGGGAGTGAAGAAAGTAGCTGTACATGTTTTGCTTTTGGATCCCAATTTTGGATATTGTTTGATTCACGTTCACTTTGCCAAATGACAGAATTGAGACTGGTAGCTTGTTGTTGTTATGTGTTGTTGGGATTGTAGTTCATAGATTTTAATGTTTAGTTATTTGAATTAGTGACAAATCCCACCAGGTGCTCTTCTTAATTGGGAAGATCTCATGGGTTTTTTCTGTCTTTTTTTTCCTTTTCTTTTTTGCATTCAATTTGCAAATTTGACTTTTCTCATTGCCAATATTTTCATTAGCTTTCTGTGAGCTTTAGATTTGCCAATAAATTGGCTTGTTTCAGAGTTGGAGGCAAGTGGAGAGAAGCTAAATCCCACAAGCATATGATAGGGGAAGTGAATTGGTACATTTCATAGGATGAGTGAGGAGTTGCAGTTTTCAACTACTTCATGAGTGACCAACTAGTTATTGATCTCACCAGTACTTCTTTTATTAGTGTTAGAAAAAAATATTCTAAAGTCCAAATTATTTCTCCATTTTTACTGCTATCAAAATTAGGCAGATGCATACTGTTGTTAGATTATGGATTAGTCAAGATGTAGTTAACCACTAAGATTTAAGATTATACATGAAGTTTTTAGCTTATATAATCACCGTAAAATATTTTTATAATAAAAAGCTAGGATTGGGATGCTGCTTCCACGTCGCCATGGGTTGCTGTGCCCCTAAGTAATGTGCGTTTGCATAGTTGGCAACGCCATTAGGTTGGGGCGGCTACACCGACAAGCAATGGTCTCCAGATGGAACAATCGCGCTTCTCACAGGATTGACTCTCATATCATATCCTCATCAAAAGTTTATTTTATTTAATACATCTTCTCTCTCATACCTTAAAAATTAAAATGAACTTAAAACTACATGGCCAATGGTCAGATAAATGGCCATGTCCATGAGATGAGAAGAACTTACATGTAACGGAGATGTCGTCGTGGTAATATCTTCAATTTATCACAAATTGTCATATCGGAAAGTTAAAACACACGGTAATAGATGATCGGCAACGCCACGTGGTATTCATGGTATGGGTAAATTTTTCTCTCATGAGACAATGAAGGAAAGATAGGAGGAAGGAACGGAGTAGTCCAAGGAGTCATTTTATAAATACAAGCGATATCAAGGAAGGGGGAAATCGAATCTAGCACCTTTTGTTGCATTTTGCCATCTTAGTGTCTAGGTGGCACTGCTATAAGTTCCCCGACGTTAGAACTCAAAAGCTAAAAAATAATTACTTACAGTAAAATTATATCTTACTGAGGTCGCAATCTCTTAATATATCAAGAAGATTATTTCTCGTTGCTCATAAAATTTAGGCTATCTACGCATCTAACTTAACCTAAACCTAGGCTCCACCTTCCATGTTGAAATTGTTGAGTGAAAATGCGTGGACAACCAGCAAAATAGCTTCTTTCAGTCACGACAAGTCTTGGTAGTTGGTAACCCACCGACAAGACTCAAAAATTACAATTGTTCTTTGCACGTGCCGGAAAGTTAACCACGCAGAAGCTTCGGAAAATAAATATTACAATATATAAGGAAAAAAATATCGGCTCTGGCTGCATCCATTACTAAACTAGTGCAATTTTGTCAATACAAATTGTTACAAGTGACAATTGGAGAATGTCAAGTTCATCATCTCACATAACATTACCCTGAGCGAGTTGCACACGAGCCTAGTGTTCGATTTCAATTACTGGTTCGATGCCTAGGTCTACATTTATACAAGCAGCAGCAAGTTACAGCATTGAGTGAACTGTACTATCATCACCCTTGATCTTTATATGGCGTCCAGATCAATTTGCTAACATCAACATCCAGGCCCCCACGACCGGCTGCTTTTAGGTGACGATCCAGGACCTTTGGGTCTGCACAAATTACATGCTGCCCTTTCCTGTACTGAATTAATTCTAGACTCTGAAGGGTGGTCAATATATCATCTGCCTTGATGGCTGTCATGTCACTTAGCTCCTGCAAGACCAAACATCATCAAGTATGATCATATACATCACCTGAATATCCTCTAAGAAACTCAGCAAAAACCATATGGCATTCAGATACTGATCTGAAATATATTTTCTCCTTTTACTTTCCAGCCATATGATGATGTTATACTTTTTTTTGTGCGGATGGAATAGAACAATAAATTTCAAGAATCAATGCACATGCATGGAGGTGAACACAGGAGCAGCACTATTAGGTATCTATTAGTTGAAAGAACGCTTTACTACTAGGGAGAGGAGTAAATAGAAATGCACACCCCCGCTAAAGGGTGATTATCCTACGACAAATCCAGTATGCAATTCTAAGTATTTGAACAACTTCGATAGCATGAGCAAAAGCACTTGAAACACGATCGGCAAAAAGTTGAAGCAGCAATTATGTCACGGGTGAACCACATTGATTTAACTAAAAATTTAGAAACGCTCACCTTGATTGAAATATTTCCCTTGTGCTTTTTCAAGATGTCCAGAAGCACCCGAGTCCAGTATCCTCTGTAGCTTAGCAATCCTAGGTCAGAGAGGGGTCTTTCAGGCGTTCCAACTTTACCTTCTTTCTTTGAAAGTTCATAAGCTGCTCCATATTTGAAAAGGCATTAATAACTGCTTCTGGAAAGAGATATATAATTAAGGCAAAATGATGCAACCAAAGAATAAAAGGTGACATCAGTCCAACAATTAACTTTGATTAATGACACAGGGAAAAACTTAGTTTCCTGAGCCCTAATGCACAGCAGAGTCAGCACCAGTCCATCAGATTATGCCATCATACTTAGTGCAGTGCAGTTACTGCATAAGCATGTGTCCCCCTATTGGCTCAATTCTACATGACACTAGAAAATTCTTAGGAAGTGAAAAGACAGCCGACCATGTCATGTGGGAATAAGGGCTTATGCCTTAGCATGACCAAAGTGCTCCATGTCATATAGATGAAGAGTTTGAAGATTAAAAATAGGGAACAGTTGGATAGTAGGTATTCATAGAGTCCAACATTATAACTATATCCCTCTGAATTTCTTTGCACAACAAGGCTTAAATGGAAAAGAAACTGCACACATACTAGATAAGAAGGAATTTTAAGATTAGTTCTTCTAGTCAGCCAATTTCCTATTGCCTCAACAGTTGTGTAATCAGAGAGCTTTAAATAATAACAAGATGTGTTAAATGAATTTGGCTTAATAGTCTCCCACAATCCGCAACTGCAACTTATTGGAGGACTATAGAAGAATATTCTAGAAATCTTACTGGACATGTACCCATTAATAAATTTGTATTTAGAGTGGCCCCCCACAAATTACAAATATTGAAAGGACTATCAATATAAAGTTAGAACTCAATCGGAGAGGAAGGAGAGGGGGGGGGGAGGGAAGGGGGAAGAGAGACAGAGAGATTTGAAATAAGCCAAAATACAATAAGAAACTAAGTGCCAGGGCTTACAGAAGGCAATCAAAAATTTGCCATAGCCTTTTCTTTGATATGGAGGAAGGGTGAGGATACATGCCAAATTATAGGATTCCTCCGAATGCTTTTCCTGCATTATGAGAAATCACATAATTAGTTATGCTGAAATTTCGCATTAACAAAGAGGTGACCAGGGGAAAATAATCTAACAAAAAACTGGAAATACAGAGAACTCTACAGTCACTTCAATATCTGCAAAGAAATCACCATGGAAGCAAATAAATTACCTTGGAAAAATATCCAACCATGTGGCATCCTCGATCATCGCATTCACATAAAATGTAAAACAGAAAGAGGTCAACATCATAATACAGGGTCTTGTGATCAAGAAACAATTTCGCCAAATAGCAAAGATTCTGCCCATAAACCTTGTTCTTTTTGCCATCAACCTGATTCAATACATTTAAGCCAAGAAAATTCACATCAGCCACAAACTTAAGATCTGAAAATACACGGCAAATAGACCCCAAACTTGTCAACAAAAAAAACAGAGCATTTAGAATGTGATGGTGCTTTCAATTTTCAAAGCAGAGTAAATTACAGATTGCAACTTTTGAAACCACATAATACCTTCCCAGATTAACCGAAGGAAACTAACATAAGGGTTTCTTTCAAAACCCATCAATGAGATGTTATGCAGAAACAATGCAACTAACCTCAAACATAGAAAGTGTACCACTTCGGTATATCTCATCACCAGGGGGATGCTTGAGATCACATTTCCTCTACATATGCAGACAGAAAAATATATAAATAAATATGATAATAACAACATCAGTCAACTACAGTTTTTGAACTTAATCATTAATGAAATAAACTGCAGGTCCATTACTACATCAACTATCCACAAACAAGCTACTGTAAGCAAGGAAAAATAATAATATTCGAGGCACAGCTCACCATATGCCTTTGAAGTTGTTCTTTGCGCTTCATGAAATTGAGGCAAAACTCACAAAAGTACAGCTTCAAAGAGTCATTATATTCTGGTGGAAATGGGGAGAAGTACCATGTCTCAATTTCGTATCTTCCAAGTTCTATTGTCGCTATATTTTTCACTTTTGTAAATTCTTCATGTTCACGCAAGCTGGCAGCATCAAGTTCCTCATGGCCCTATAAAATTTCAAGAACATCTTCAGATCAAAAAGTTTACAAAATCTGAAACACGCAATTCGAGAAGCTCACTAATGCCCTTCCTCGCATAAAATCCATTGTCAGCACATAGTAATGTAAATTACTTTTACACAACCTTCAAAGTAGGTTGTTAAAGCATATTTTGTGTACGAGCGCGCGCGTGTGTGTGTGTGTGTGAGAGAGAGACAGACAGACAGACAGAGACAGAGACAGACAGAAGGTGATGACGAATCAATTTCCCAAACAACAGGAATATTGATCAACAATAATAAGAATGAAACGATGTGCATACCTCTACATGTGTCTCATCAATCTTCCGCTTCTGATGGCGAGTCATTTTCAAGCTTGTAACCTAAGAACCCGCATATGTGAAAAGTTATCAAATGGATATTTTGAAAATAAAAAGGTATAGGAAAAGCAACTGACAAGGGAAAGTTAAGGTTATCTTCATAAACAGCAGGATTTTCTTGGTACAACCCAAACATTATAACAAGTTACACTTAAAGAAAGTTCATCTTTGGCATGCTAAACAAACCGCAATGACACCTATGAACAAGAATCAAGAGGGACATTTGAAGAAGGGTTGATAACAAAGAGGGCAGAGTTACCTTATCCTCCACTTTCTCATCAACTACAGCCTCTACTGAATCAAGATCAAGTTGGTCAAGTTTCACCCACTCATCAAGCCTCCTATTGACTGACAAATTGAAGAAACATAAATATATCAGAATAAGTAAGATATCATTGGAACTGTAACAGATTAATTTAATTACATCCCACCAGTATAAGATCTCAGCCTATTCTATTAATTATATGATATTAAAAGATAACATGTTTTACAATAATCAAACAAATGAACACCACAGATAATCGAATGAAATGATGTTTATGTGCATACCAGTGAGAGCAAGGTTTTATTCATGATTCATCAGATTCATACCTCATAAAATCCATTCCACATATAAAATACTCATTCATCCAATCCCAAAACGAGCCTAACACCTCTAGGTTCCAGGCAATACCTTTTCCCCATCATATAAAATCTGTATTCATATTACTCCTCAAAAACCTTACCAGACATATTATATGCTGTCATTGTAACTCACTCTATATTGTAATGTAACGGTTCGTTAAATTCTCTACTAGACTCCTGCCCCAATGAGATTTTAAGAGATTACCCCCGCAACAGAAGGTAAGTTACTAATTTCACCAACACATCAACTCTACGAAACCTGGGTCCCCAATTAGACTATTAGCCCAGCTGAAAAATCACCAAATTGGCAAATTGAACAAATCTGTCCACATACACAGCTAACCAGAAAAACTGGAACCCTAAAAAACATAGAACAAACTAAAAACTCGAACCCTAACCCAAAATTGCAAAATTGAGCAAGAAATGAGGAATTGGATCTTACACTCAGTGTAGTGGACGTAGTACTCGTAGTCGTTGGGCCCACCGCAGTGCGTTCTGCGGCGTTCGATGACCTTGACGGGGTGGTACTTGGAGTCCCTCCAACGACACATGACGCGCGTACCAACCTCCAGAGGAAGGATCGACGACTTTCGCTTCTTCGATACGTCAGACTCCAGCGCCCTTTCGTTGGACGAAGCATGGTAGCCATCGACGGACTGGTCGCACGCAGCAGTGGCGGGGTTGGGGTTAGCAGAGCCGTTCTCTGCACTCGGCGGTGTTCCTATCGAACCCATTGTCGGTTGACCAGAGGGCCCTTGTGGTACCAGATGATTACAGCGGGGATTAAGCGAGAAGATCTATGGGCCGAGTCCATGGGTTGGGCCATAAATCATGGGCGATAATGAAATAAGAACCGGTTACTTAGGCCTGTTTGTGTGCTTTATGGAAGGATTAAAAGTGCTTTTGACAATGTTTGACATAAAAGTTTAGAGGCGCATATGGGTCATAAAAGCGCTTTCTAGAGAAGCACCTATCATATGCTTCTTCAGGAAGCCATCTTAAGTACTTTTTCAAGAAGCACTTCGATTTCTTATGAAATTTTCAACATCTTCATAATAAAAGCGCTTATAAGCAAAAGTATTTCATAAAGATGCAGTCCCAAAAGAGCCCTTTACCCAAGAACAATCTCTGTCTCAGTTTACTCCTTGAAACTGAAATTTTCTCACTTAACCCCCAAAATCTCTAAAAATTGTTGAAATTTTCTCCCTTTATCTCTTCAATCCATTTCCGTCCACAAGTGCTCACGTAGCATCCAAATTAAATATTAAAAAATACATGCCTAAATTATTTTTACGGTTAACAAAACCCCATATTCCCTTTCTTCCCCTCGCGTCAGGTCACTAGCTCTCACCCCCATCCCCAAGGTACCCAACCCTGCCACCCCACTCCCCTTCCCACCATCGTTGCCCCACTTCCCACTTCCCACTTATCTTTCCTTCAATATCATTAAAAACAAACTCACTTGAATCTGGTCGAGGGTTGCGTCTAATGATGATGATGCAGTTGACCTGAGTGGATTGCTTGGCGAAAGTTGATGAGGGTAGTGGTTTGGGTGGCTAGGTAAGTTGGGTGTGTTGAGTAATTCCATGGAGGGTGGGTCTGGGGTGGGCGTTGGGTCGGAGAGAGAAGAGAAAGGTATAGAGAAAATAGGAGAGAGATGAGAGAGAAGGGGGTGGGGTGCGATGGGGTTGGGTCGGGAAGGGGAGAGGAGAGGGGCCGCATAGGGAGTGAGACTGAGAGAGGCAAATAAAGAGGAGCTAAAATTATTAAAATGCCAATATCACATCAGCACATTTAACAATTTTGTGGAAGTGGTAAAGGGGGAAAATTTCAGCAATTTTTAGAGATTGTGGGAATGAAAGAAATTCAATTTCAGAGGGTAAATTGAGATTGAGCTTCCAGTCCATGGGTAAAAGTAAAACAATAATTAAGCCAATTAAAAATAGGTTACACTTGCACCAAATGTTAAATTGAAATTCATAGAACCAATTTTACCTCTCTTCAAAATCTTTTAATATTTTAATCTTTTTCCTACAGAAGATATTTTTATTTTAAAATGTACATTACTTGCCTCTTTTTTGGAAGGAAACATTGATCCTTCTAGCAAATCGCATTTAGACACATGCAAAAACATAAAAACAAATACACAAGTCAAACTGTAATTGACACCAAGGGAAGGAGGCAAATATTTTCCATTCAAAATTCTACTGATTGCTTTCACTTGTGTTACACAAGCAAACGACACAAGAGTAGCTCCTTATAAGAAGGGAAGACGAGCCAAAAAAAAAAGAAGGAAAAAACTGAGATACATACTGAACTTAAAATCAGGGATCAGAACACCACCACAAAACATAGCGACTCTTTATTCTTACCAAATGATACAGTACAACATTTCAAACCAATCAATATGCACCAGCATTGCCCACAAACCCAGCAAAATCAAGTGATAACCATCAACCTAAAAACTTGAGTCAGGCTGAGAAAACTTAGAGGCATCAAGAACAACGTTGTGGATCGTGGATCGTTCGAATATTAAACAATGGATTAATCTGATGCATTTGAGGGTTGGTATTTGAGGATTGGTATTGTAAGGATATATACAATAACTTTACAGGGCAAGGGCAGTGGGTGATACGCTTTAATTTCTTGTACGCGGTTTACAAGCAGGAGATTCTCTTTACTCCAAGAACCAAAAGGCAGGCATCAAGATATAAAATCCATATGCCTTCTAAAACACGTAAAAGGAATAAACCCTCACCCACTGTACAGTCGGAACTCTCACAAGAATATACAACGACACCAAAACTTCACATCCCTACCCAAAATGTGGCTTCCTTACTATGAATACATCGGCGAGAACCTAGCCTCCATCTTTCACTCGGCCATTTCCCTTTGAAACTGATAAACGTGGCGGTTTCCAGGGACGGCGGTGATGTCTGGGATGGTGGGCAGAGAATACTCGCATTGTGGTCCTTTTGTGTTCCGAAAGGACAGATCAAACACAAACCAAAAGTTGCGCCACACTACCCATCTCCTTCTGGGGGTTCACCAGAACAAGCATCCTGGTTGATCTGCTTTTCATTTGGGATGCAATCCGCAGGGACATATGCATATCCTTTGGGTAATAACATATTTTTCATCGACGCTTGATCTGAAGTCATTACCAGTTCTTTCTCAAATGTCTCAGCATGCTGTGAGTTGAAGATTTACAGTTGGCATAAATCTCTCAACTATGGTTGTAATTACCATATATATACAAGTATAATAAAGAAGACTAGTCAAGGATGCAATGTAAAATACCTTTCTAGATTTTGACCTCCATCCCCCGTCTTCAGAAATATTACAATTTGCAGCAGTAGAAGGTCTACAAGGAATCTGTTTCTCAGAAAATTGTGCCCTCTCTGTGAGCTTTGGAGTAAAATGATCTTGGGATGTTGAGCTGTCATCATCTGTCCTTTGATCATTGTCGATAGTTATCAGAACTCTGGTCCGTCGCTTTTCTGAAATTGTACTATCCACAGTCACATCATCTGATTTTTGAAATGCCTCACTGCATGATTTGTAACCATCTGTATGTCCTTTAAGAGATGTTGTAGCTGATTCAGAACTAACATCAGGTAGCAAGAAAGGACTATGAACCAGCACGGATCGAGCAACATGATCTCTCCTCACAGCAAGAAGATCATGTGAACAAATGAGCAGTTCCCGCTGCATTTAAAATTAAAACCAAAAACTTACTTAGCATGAATTCCTTCAACAGATAAGTACCATCACAGAATTACATGAAGATTATGCAACAGAAGACCATCGAAGACATCGACATCCAAAACCATAGATTTTTTCACACTACATCCACCAGAGTAAGACATAAGGTAACACATAAACTTATAACCACATACACATCAGCAAAGAATCTGTTGGAGGAAAAGCATGACCACAGACAAAAGGGGAGACCGGGTAGATTATATGAGAATACAACTTGGTCCAACATGCATGTAGCAATGAGAGGCAACATGAAGCCCTTTCAGCAAGAGGCATTGAACCAAAGCTATAGACAGTTCCGGTAGAAATTATGTGCACAAAAAGGAAACACGCAAAAATCATGAACCGAGAGTGGAAAAGGTTGCAAACCCCATTCAGAACACCTGCAAAGAAGAATCACAAAACCAAACCCCACATAGAAGAGAAGCAGCACACTTCTACGAGACAACACCATTCCAATTGAAAACACTTCCACAATAATTTCCTTCTTAAAAAGTGAAGTAGGTCCTGAGTTCTTAGCCACGGGCCATGGGCCATCAGCCATGGGCCATAGATTTTAAAGATGCACCATATAACAAATTCATGAGGTAAGCAGGTCATCCTAGCCCATATGCAGCAAAGAGCTAGAAAGGCCAACAAAGCAGCAACCATGAAAATGCCTCACCTTTACTTTTTCTCGTTTGATGATTCTTTCGCAAAGAAGGCGTACCCTCTCTAGTTCAACCTGCACAGGACCATTCATGTAACAACTCAATCACGCAATTCAGTTCTATAAACAATCAAAATATCACGTGTCAAAGACACAATCATGGCCAACAGAAAATAGATCACTCAGTACATGATATGAGAATAAGAAGAAAATTGTGTTGATGCCACTGAGGTAAAAATTGCGAACATTGACCACACGCCTAAAGACCATAATTATACATCAAAACTCCTTTCTATTTTAGAAGCATGAAATTGAAAACTCCACATTTTCAATACGTGAACTGTCTGCCTTACAACAGTTCCAATTCCTAACTATTCATATCTTGAATCATTTTTAGCATTCAGGTATTTGCATCGAGTCAAGCCCCAAAGAAACTTCATATCAATAACTTGGAGATCGAAGGGCACTGTAAAACCTAATGGCAGGTAGTTGACTAATTAAAAGATACAAGTTCAATCTCTGATATAAGAATATACCAAGAGTAAACTAACACCTAAGAACTTCTTGTGTCCCTGCTAAGTGAATGTGGAGATACTCCATGTGGATCTCCAAACCAGCTTATCATGAGAATAACTCAAGCCAAAAGGGTGCTGCATTTTTTTGAGTAGAAGGAAGTATTTTTGCTTAGCATAATAGCAAGATATAAAGACCTTGAACCCACGTTTTCACGCAAGTGCACACAAGCAAAGCTCAATCTATACACTGGTATATGCTTTGCGCTTCAATCTTCTGTTTGATATTTTCATGTAGTTGTGGACATAGAAAAGTATATGAGCAGCAGTAATTACTGTAAGAATCGCCCTTACCCTAATTTTCCTGAGATTCTCCAAGTCCTCAGTTCCATGTTTTTGTGTTTCAGCCTGCATAAATTCAACATCCAAGAAAATAAACATAAAATATCATAAGCCATCAAAAGGATGGGAGACTTTTAAGTAAATAAAAATATTGACCTTCGCCCTCTGCTCAACGCTGTGCTTTTCACAGTACCCCTTGTGTTGAATCTTTCCGCCCAAAGTTTTCACATGCATGTAAAAACCAGAACTTCTAGCACATGAAGGGTGAAATGTTGCCTGACAGTTACCATAGTTGCACTGCAAAAAAAAATTAATAATAATACAGATGCCTAACTGTCAGTGATCCTAATTGTAAGATAATAAAAAGGTGAATATAAAAAGCCCTTGCCAGTCAAAGCATAAGATCGCAACCTAAAAAGATGTTAAACTCTTACCTTTATGCAAACACCACATTTGCGTCGGCAGATATAACAAATATCAATCCCCTTAGAAATCGTCTCCTGGCACCATAACAGATTAACATTAAGCGTTAGCTTGCTGGAATATTAAGTTCAATGCTCATGGCAAAGAAAAGATCTTCAGAGAAAACAAAAGTAATCTAAATTGTTCAAAATTGTGATTGCCACAGCATTTGATATTACACATACCATTCCCTCAACGGGAGATACTTGTCCCCTTTTGAATGTTGATTCAAAGATCCACTACCAGATGAAACAGCAAATAATATCAATTTCTTCTCTCAAAAAACATTTAAAACCATCAAAAAAACCTAATTGACATTGTTCAAGTGCACAACAAGAGAAAATTTTACCTCAGCACAGAAGGCATGCACCCACTGACCATCAGAAGATTTTCTAAAAGCCCCAGTTTTGCCACCACATAAACCACATTCTGCAGCAAAATGATCTTTCTCCCAAAAATTGACAGGAGCTCCAGAGCTTCTAGATGATGATAGTTCTTCACATAATTCACAGTACCACGGACCTGTAGATTCTCTAACAAATCCAAGAATGGAAAAAAAGTTATAAGTTATAACCCAAGCAAAGTAGCAAGTTTCATGAAATTAAGCCCAAAAGAAAGAGAAGATAACCTTGCAACTGGAACAGACTAAGATCGGGTTTAGCAATGTCTCAGAACGTCTGCAGATGTCACAAGATCTAGGATGTTCCTTAGAAAAATCCGCAACAGAATGAACAAAACCAGTATGTTTTTCCACAGAAATCCTAGGGACAGCCACCCTCGGAAATGTCTCTTTCGCCCGATGCATCAGCTGTGAGGAAAAGCCAGACCTCACACTAGAAGTATTCAACTTCAATCACATTCTGCAGAGAAAAAATGACCACATAAATAAATGACACAATAAAGGGCCAAAGTCTTAATGACAAAATTAAAAAATCATTAACCTCCTGATGGGAAGATTCATCAAGGACATCTTTCCTAAACGATGAAATCCTAGAAGAGGCTGCAGCAGCAGCAGTTGCAGCTGCAAGCACAGCCTGTGCTTCTTTGTGCCGTCTCTCCTTCCTACCCTGCTTCTTGGCCTCTCTAAGCTCACAAAGATACTGATTAACAAGCACAGCATCCCATTTTTGCCTCCGTACAGCATCAAGTTCCCATGGAAGTGTCTTAACAACATTATATATTAAAATATCTGCAAGAGAATGCATATACAATAGATGTTAATAAGTTATATCAATATCAAACATCAATATACAAACTTTTGAAGGCCCCTAACAGAGGCAGGGAACACTGAAAATAAAAGTAACAGAGGATTGAAGGGCAACACATATACCAGTAAAATGCTTTCTCGCAACTACATTGCTGAGCAACCTATTCTGGTAATAAATGAGTTCTCCTTCCACTTCATCTTCTGGAGATGGTTCTCGAGCTCCCATTTTTCGAGCCTTAACCAACTCTTCTAAATTAACCTCATCAGATTTACAAATATTATCACAGCATTTCGGATGCTTATATTGGTGATTACAGCAAACACTGGCATGGGAAGATGCCTCCAGACGAGAAATTTCTCCCTCGCTTGAACCTGCCAAATAAATTACCTGTCAAAACTCACCCATAGCAACAAAAGGGAAACAAAACAAAAAAATCATTACCATCATTACCATATATTGGATTTTCTCCGTTCTGCATCTCAAACAATTTCTTTTCAATATACGGATGGACATAACAACTAAGAACTTCTGGCTCAGATTTTCTGCAATCGTGCATTTGCAAGATTAAGAGAGTTCTCATGAAATCACAAAACAAAAACAAAAAAAACAAAAAAACTTCACTGGTTTTGCAACTGAAAACGACTGATCTTCATTTACGATCACTGAGGTACTCTGCAAAGGAATAGTAGCCAGCTGTTCTTGACCCTTTTGCAGAACGCTGCAATTTAAGGGTTTAGCTGAATTACCTGTCCATCAAACCATTTTTGCATGTCAAAAGAGACGCCAAGAACTACTTCAATGATGCAAAGGTATCTATGTATGCAACACAGAATGAACCCAGATACAACAAAAAATTTCTAGAAAAGCAGAGCAGATAGAACATAGAACAAAAATTAATGGAAGAAAAACAACTAGCAATAGCAACACAATTCATATCCAAATTCCTGTACAGGAATGCAACTGGAATTTCCTGTACTCAAATCCCAAATAATTCAGCAGTGGAATAACCCTCTTTAGCTATAAGCTGCAACTACAACGATTGTAGGCCTCACCACTTCCCGAGTCCTATTCAAATTCACTCCAAGACTCCACCTATTTACTGAATCTATAAATTTTAAGTTGGAGGTCACTATTATGAAAGAGATTCGCCATGTGAACCTAATCTGGAATCTCCCCAGAACCAGGAATTTAAAGTCTGACCTAGTCAATCAACATGCACATGGACAACAAAAATCTTCAATCTTTCATTTACTTGATAAGATAGTATGAAGACATCTAACCAGCAGAAACAGAGAAGAGTACCTTCTGATTTAGGTGTAAGTGTCGGCAAAGAATGCTGAAACCCATCAACCTCTGTCAAATTCTGCAAAAACATGAAAATTGTTAGAAACAAAGGTCTGAATAACTGAGGCATAACATAGGAGAGAGGAATGAAGGGGCAGAGGAGAGGGGGGTAGGGAGGGTGGGTGGAAAGAAAGCAAGAAAGAGAGGGCAAGCAGTGTTTCATTCAGAGCCACACTCAAGTGAATCAGAGTTCCACAATCACTGACAAATTCCATTTTAAACCTCCAAATAAATAATTCTTATAATCCTTATTACTGCAGCAGGACTTCATAACTGATGCAGGAGAACATTTATAACGTTCAATCCCCATGTAACCTTAAGCATGCTCACTTCAACTAAACCTACAAGTAGACAACAAACATCCCCAGACCATTTCGAAAATAAACTGCACCATGTGTTATAACGGAGAAAGCCCTTCCTCATGGAAGCCTTGAAGGCTGGGCCATTTCCTAATTTATTACAAAATTCTTGGAACATTGTAGATGACAAACTAAAACCAAACTGAAGTTGGTGAAACACTTAACCACATCACACCCAATATTTACATATAATGCCTTTCCATCATCCGACCGAACAAGGAATCGGATTACACTAGTAGTCACAAGCAATAGTCAGAAGGCTTGCATAACCAACTTCTCTCAAATAATTAATTACCTTCTCAACAGGATCAGGGATGGAGACTTTACTGGAATTTTCTTGTTCATCAGTGATCATTTGATCTACCTTAATCTTGTTCAACGTGCCATTGTCACAAAAGATCCCCTCAGATGAGCTTATTACTTTGTTGTCCTTCAAAATCCTAAAACTACTTTTGGTTCTTCTCCGTGGGGGTACTGACTTAACAGCTACATCTGTCATATCAGACTCTGATAAAGATGCAGCATCAGAACCATCAGAACCCCCAAATTCAGCCTTGGATGGAATTGCAGATCTTAATTTCATTTTCCCATTTTTCTGCCTTAAGTCCAAGTTAGAATGGTCTTTAAGCCATTTAACTATTCTGCATTGCACATCAGGGAACATGCTATCATCCTGCAGGAAAAGGCCACAAGAAAATTTTGAGAAAAAAAACATTTATCTGCTTAAACTATTTGAGAAACTAATTAAGAAAATAAAAAATTAATTATCTAGTTTGCATTACAGCAAGTGATGCAGCTAAAGAATCAGATGAAAGGCCAATGTCTGATGCCACATCCTTCACATTAACTTTTCCACAATCAATCAGCTGCAGGAGAAAAAAATGTAAGAATTAAAACAAGCTGCTGAATTCCAAATGTGTTGAGAAGGGAGTGAACCTCAAGTATACATTACCTTCTTTAAAATCAGAGAAAAATTATGGGAGCCGGATGCATTAACATCCTCGCTGCTCCTCTCAAATGACCCTGCACCAATAATTGGCTGTGCATCACTACAATCCGACTGAAGTCTAGCATTTAATCTTGAACTAGGAAACGCTATCTCCTGTGATTCACAATCACCCGATTTCTCAGAAATAATATCTGGAGCCTCAATAGCGACTGCAATTTTATCACCATTTCTACGGCCAACCCTTAACTTGTTTAATTTGCTCTCCGACAATGCCACGGGTAAATGGTTGGAGACATTTGAATTCCCGTCAGTAGAGACAGGGGGATCTACTAATTGAATGTTTCTGATATCAGGTACTTCTGAGTGCTTTGGACAGAAGGCCCTCAATTCAACCTACATGTTCATCAAAAGTTAGATCTTCAGTCAGAAAGCCTGATCACAGTCATAAGCTGTCACTTAAGACAAAAAAAACATAGCAATACTAGACACCAGTCACAACAACAATTATAAGATTACGATTCTCAAACACATACATAGAACTCTTACATTATCACACCCATATTTTCCCCAAATTTCCATTCTTTGTTTTGCCTCTCTCGCACATAATGGATGGAATGACGTTCTGCAGGTTCCTGAACAACAAGCCAAAAAAAAAAACATCATCAGAGCGAATGTAATCCAAAAGTCAATTCAACAATATTTTAATAGTTGAACAGCTACCTGGTTAAAAATAAATGTGCAATTTTTTAAGAACTAAACCTTGATCCCCCACAATATAAGAAAATATTAAGATTTTTAAGCCCGCAAATGATCACTAACCCAAAACCAGAGACAGGACATCTATCTCACATAAAAGTAGCATGGCAAAGACCACCCATGTAAGTATCATGCCAAAAAAGTGCTTCAATCGAAAGAAACAAAACGTTCCTCAGACACTTCCAGAAAATGAAATTGCAAGAAGCATGTTTAGACCATTCAGTCCAACTTATCTCACAGACAACTATTAAGTTACATTGCCAATTGAAGTTAAGTTCGGTTAAGAGAGAGTTTTACCCAGCAAGTGGGGCGAGGAGAGAGACTACATCTTATAAACAATATGATTCTCCTATGAAGTAACAAAGAAATATTATTGCTAACATTTTCCATAACACAGAGATCCAAAAAGGCAAGGGAGCATAAAATTACTTTGCGACGAAACTTAGAGCAGGCTCGCTTATTCAATTCTTTCACTGAACGGAAACTTGTAATTCAAGGACAAGAAAATAGTAATAATATTTTGGTAGAACTGCACATAAATACAAAGTACATCTAAAATCCATACTAATATATAAAAGCAAATTTTAGCAATTGGTGCAACATCCTATATTTTCATGATGTTTATTTTTTGCAGAATATTTTAAATAAAACTAACTATAATTCAAATATATTATAAAGTTAAAAAAGATAAAATCATTTCCCAGTTTGAACATAGATTACTAGCTCCGCACTTCCTGTGGATTTATCGTATGTGGGGGGCAAACCTTACAGCACAAAGTACATGTGGGGTGTTAACAGAACAATGCAGCACCATATTTGTATCTTCTAAATTCCAGGAAAACTCTCAAGTAAGTCTAATAGATTGAGAACTAAGCACTTATACCAATAACCGGAGCATTCCATTGGCATGCCAGCCAAAACAGATATGATAATTGTATAAGACAGTAAAGCAACAAAGAATACCATGACTGCATCGAACACATGCGCCCCACTTCACCTTGCATACATTACATATTAACTTTCTGCGGGTTTCATTCACTCCTTCAACATTTAGTATGGGCTCCATCTTCACTAAGTCCTCTATATAAACCTCAGGCATCCACTGACAACAAAACAAGTGAGCAAACTCCACAGATCCACCATTTTCAATACTCTTAAGAACTGGCTTTAAAGCCCCACCCTGCTTTGGACAAAGCGCACAAGGCTTTACTGAATTACTAGTATCAGTCTTCTGCTTACACCATGAGCATACCCATGATGCATCTACATCCTCTACCACTCCATAGCACTTCCGATGAACTCCAACCTTACAAGAACGACAAACAATCAATCTGTTTGATTCTTTACCTGCATCGCCCATGCAGCAGAAATGGCATAAAGATGAATTCCCATCACAAGGGGAACCAATTAAGACTTTCTCCAACCCTGCATCAACACCCAGAACCTTCCGTTTCTTTGAAGGGCGCTCTGATGTTAACGCAATCTTATTCCTATATCCTAAAAGCCACTCAAGACCATAAGGAGAATCTGAAACAGAACAACCCTTTTCCCCCTCAGGCAACCCAGAAGCTCCCACACTATCAATTTCCATGGAATGCTCATCCTTCACCTTCTTTACCTCATCTTCAACAACTCCATTTTCATTTCCACTATTCTCATTCACGTTTCTAACTGCAACAGAAATGGCATTCCCATCAGTTGCACTTTCAGCCTTGACGACAACCTCATTAGCATTCCCAACATTTGCATTGTCCTCCTTGACAACAGCATCATTAGCATTCCCACCATTTATACTCTCATCCTTGACAGCAACACTATTTGAATTACCAGCATTTGCATTCTCCTCACTTACAAAAACCCCATTTGCTTTGACGTTTTCATTAGTATTCACCCTCGGACCATTTCCCAAAACCGGAATCAAAAAGCACTTGCGAGCAGCTAAATTACTAAGCTCAGACACATGACACAAGGTGTCAATATCAGGCAATGTCAAGGGTCTAAAGTAGTCCTCAGTCTCCGCCCATACGTTTGAACCCCGCGACCTCTCGCTCTGCCGAGAACTCTTCTTTTCAGCACTGGCATGCGACTTCTTGTGCCGTTTCCGATTATCAGACTGCCTCGACAAGAAGCTAGCCAAGCTCCTAGGCAAGGTGGTGGGCACACTCGAAGCTGAACCATCCTCGGTAACATCATACGGAGAGCGCTCACACAAAGCCTTCTTGGCCTGCGAGTAAAAATCAATTCTCAAAGAGCTAGAATTCTCGGGAATTTCCGGTTGGGTCGCCGGAATTTTAGGCGGAACCCTAGAAATTGGGCATGGCCTCTCCTCCGTGCCGCAACCTCCGTCCGCACCCCTACCCATCATCTTCTTCTCCTCGTGACATCGGCCTCCGGTCATCACCGACAATCCCGCAACCCACAACCAACCATATATCCCATCACCGAAATCCTAGCCCTAGCCCTAACCCTAACCCTAAAATTATAAATTTCAATCCTAATCGACCCCTGGTGGACGAAGCCCTGACATGCAGCTAACAGAAAACCCAAACCCTAATTCGAAAACTCGTATTAGAGTGAGCGACGAAGAGAGAGAGAGAGAGAGAGCGGGTGGGTAAGGTAAGTCGCGGCTGGGCTAGGGCTAGGGTTTACGGTTATATTCTGGTTTGTATTCTTTTGGATCCGTTTTTTTGAGTGGGTTTCCTTCTATTTTTGTTTTTTTTTCTTCGCAAATGAGAGAGAGAGAGAGAGAGAGAGAGAGAGAGAGAGATTCGCGTTTTTTGCAGGCAGTGAGTGAGGACGGTACGTTTTAGGAGATATTTTTTATACGTGGGGCTTTCTAGCATAGAGTGACGCAACACATTTGAACTCGTGCAGTGCCAAAGCTTTACGCGTGGCATTCATTTATAGGATCAAGTGATGGGAATCGTTCACCGAGTCAATTGTCTAATTTGGCAATTGCTTTTCACTCCCTTTTTTCTCAGTGCTTAAGCACTTTCTGTACTTGTGATTATTCAACTTTATGATATTAAAATTAATTAATTGGAAATTTCGATCAAATAATGCAATATTATATTTACACAATTTCATTCACTTATCTATTTTATCAAGAAAATGGCAATGGTTTGGAGCATACAAGACTCACAAATATTAAAAATTACGTCTATATGCTGATATGGTATTGTCTCCACTTAGAGAAGAATTACTTAATGATTTATCGGAAAATATAAGAGAAATTAAAACTAAAAATAATTTTGAGTATCATTCTTTTTCAAGAAAATTTAAATAGTAATTAATACAACCATTAAACGAAAAACATACAACAACCTTTAATAGAAATTAATCTAAAATGTTTTAAAGTCCTTAAGAACTCGAAAACGAAAATTAAGTTATGATAAAAGGCAAATGTGAACACGCACAATATCTCAAATTAATCTAAAATGTTTTAAAGCCCTTACTATATATGAACTAGAAAAAGAAAATCAAGTCTTTACCAAATAATAATAATAATAATAATAAAGTTATGATAAAACACAAACGCAATATGTCAAATTAATCTAAAACTTTTTAAAGTCGTTACTATATAAGAACTTGAAAATGAACATCAAGTTATGATAAAAGGCAAATGCAAACAAACGCAATATCTCAACTTTTCAACACGTTCTAAATTGGAAACAAATAAAAGATAATAATAAGAAAAGTAATAGTTGCACACACAAGATGAACTTAATTAAAATCAGAAACAGACGGGTCAAAATTTGATTGTTAGTGAGTTGAATTTGTTTGAGCTCATATGCAATGTAAATTAACTAAATAAGGCTACAATAGACTTTATCGATCAATATATAATTATTAGCATCGATGAGTTTTAGTCCAAGTCAAAGGAATGAAAGAGATGAAAATCTATGAATTCATATTCAAATTCTTATTATGTTACATATTGATATTGATTTTTTGTTGGTCAATAAATATTGAAATGATTATAATTCACACTTTATTATTCGTGTATTAAGACATATTAAAAAAACACGTGAATTTTATATTATAATTTGTAATTTAAGAGAAGCAAAATCAGGAATTAAATTGATGACGAGGAGTAATTTCCATTGTTGAATGATCTAGTTTGGATGCACATGGTTCGAGTAGTATGGGGAGATTTGGATTGGGGGGAGGGAGGGAGCTCTTTGGCTTTCTCATTTGCTGCAAGCTGATGTAGTTTAGTAAAAGATTTTTATTCGATATACTTCGCTTTTTGTAAAAAAAATTTGTGGCACATGCACGTGCGTGACACTTATGTTTGGTAGAACATGTGCGCGGCCATTCGTTGATTTATAAAAAAAAAAAAAAAAAAAAAAAAAAAAAAAAATTTTTTTAAAAAATTTATCCAAAATTATTTATACAGTCATGAAGTAAAAATGAATTAATTCCACTAAATACAAGGATTAAAAACAAAAAAGAAAAACAAAAGACAAAACGGAAGACAAAACGGAAGCTTCAAGCATCGACTAGAAACAGAGTAGAGCAATTCACAGTTGACGAAAAGCAAAAAAGAAAGCAGACATCGGGTTTTTCCAACAGTCCGGTAGACGGCACCCGATCCGGTTTGTATTCGCGAACCAATAACCACCGAAGCAAGTTCAAGCGGCGTCGTTTCATATGGATGTGTCGGAGCTTTGGGCGATCTTCGGGCCAGGCGTAGCCGGCGCCGTGTTCGGAGCCGGTTGGTGGTTCTGGGTCGACGCCGTCGTTTGCAGCTCCGTCAAGGTCTCCTTCGTCCACTACCTCCCTGGTCCGACCCGACCCGAACCAATTTGATCAATCTTTTTGCATGTTTTCGGTTTCTAGGGTTTTTGATTTGTGTGTGTGATTGGTGGTTTTTGCAGGCATATTTGCATCTTTGGCGGCGTTGATGTTCAATTGCGTTAAAAAGGAAGACATTGATTACTCCCCTTACGAAGAGGGCGAGTGGAGGTGAGCAATTGTAGTTTTGCTCTTTTTGCACAGCTTCAAATTGAACATGGGTCCTTCTTATTTAGTTTCAATGTGACTGTTTTCTGCCATTTTGATTTGTGTATGCAATTCGCTTAATTTAGTTTGCTTGGATGATTTAACCATTGCAAATCAAGCAATAAGATAATGATATGATTAGTTAGATGATTTAATATTTGGCCATTGAATGTAAAGCTGTAAACACATTGTTATGCAATTCGCTTAATTTAGTTTGCTTAGATGATTTAACCATTGCAAATCAAGCAATAAGATAATGATATGATTAGTTAGATGATTTAATATTTGGCCATTGAATGTAAAGCTGTAAACACATTGTTATGCATATCTGTGAGCTTGATATTGAGCTCAGGATTGTAAGATCTGTCTCATTTGATCATTTGAAGCTATGGATTATGAGAATTTGATGTTCTTTCCGTTTGACTGTTCCTGAAATTGGTTATAAACTAATCCTTCTCTGAATTGCAACAGGTTGAAGCTTTGGCTGTTCATTGCCTATGTTGTAGCCTTTGTGTCTCTAGCGGCATCGGTGGGTTTGCTAATACAGGATTCACTTGTGACAACTGGTCCTCCAGTGTGGACAGGAGTTGCTGGTGTCTTGCAATCTGTTTTTGTGTTGATCAGGTAAAGTTGCTTTTATGGAGCCCCGCCCCCACCCCTTATGTATTTGAGATTATAAATGGGGCCACTCCTTGTTGATAAGCCTGCTGTTGTACATTTACTCTATTTGTGTGTATGTGTCTCATGGATATATTTATAAGTCATTTCTCATTGAATTCCTTTGCTTTCATGCATCTCAATAGCTTTGCTTTCACCTGTTGAATTGTTGGGCTATCTGGTTTGCTTTGTTATAATAAAATAAATTTTCGACGAATATATGTCAGTCTCAAAATATAAGTAATGTGATTTGTTTCTGTCTTAAAACATGTAAAATAATGATATTTTCTGGCACCCTACTCTTGGCTGTCTAGGTGGCACCCTAATCGATGAGCGACATCACTGTAATGGAATGCACATACATGCATGAACATGAATGTGCATAAGTACATGCAGGCAGTACAATGCTTTCAATGCTTTAGAATGTATTTTTATGTAACCCATACCGCTCTGCATATCATATCGTTACCAAGCCAGTTTAATTCATCTTCTGTTTCCTGCAGTGGGCTAATTTATTGGACTGCTCACCCGGAGTAAGTAGCGATGTATGAGCGGTACCTTTTCCTTTGGAACCTGAATTTCACAACTGAGGGAATTGGCTGTGTATGTGTGTCATTTAACTTTCTCAAACAGTTGGACCAAGGAGACAGAAAGATGAATGGTAGATAGGGTTCGAATTCCATTTCCATAGTTAATATGGAAGGTATTGTTCACCGTTGTAAATGTTTATATTGTCCCACCAGTCTTGTTTAAAACTAAGGCAATGCCTTTACAAAATCTGAGTTTGTTTGCCTTATATTTCTTACGTTATTTCACAACCCCACATGATGTGAGGGCTTATGATAATACATTGATTATATCAAATTACTTGGTCATGATGATTCGTTCAGTTATGTCTCTCTGCAAGTATGGACCATGCGTTGGAATCAGTTCATAAATTTTGTGCTTAATATTTTGAATCGAACTATAGATACAGGGAGCACAACTGTGCATCGGTGCATGCAAGAACATACTTCCAAGTTGCAATTTGTTCAAAACTGGGCGAGTCAAGCAAAAGAACGGATGTCAGATTACGTTTTGACGGGAATGTGGTCAACAAGAGTCAGGTAAGCAATCGGGTGGTTGTCATCTTGATAGGAAAGAGGAGAGAGGTGAGAAAGAGAGGAGGAAGACCTTATAGAACTACACTTAAAAACTGTTTTGATTTGCCTTCATAATATTCTATGTATTTTCTGCTCTCCTTCTCCCCACTTTTTTAATTAAAAAGCAAGAGGAAAATGATGTAGTACCTAACGCCTTTTTTTATGATATAATAAGCCTAAAGTGTTGCGTTTCCCGCCAGACCTTGTAGGCCAACAAAAAATAATTAGTCCTATGATTGCATCTTGTTTTTGGTCACTGTTTTTTATAAAAGCATAAGTGCTTCTTAGAGAAGCACGTCCAAACGAGTCTTTAAACTAATTTTGAACTGCTTTTGTATAAAACACTTGCGCTTAATGGTATTTTTGTTGAACATAAAACATAACTCAAGTTATATGGAACGAGCGGAGTTTTAAGGTTTAAGCTTGCCACCAAAACTTTGTTAGAAGCGATCTAATTCTCCAAAAAAGCACTGAAAGTACCTTCTACCTAATTCACCTGTGTAAACACACCCAAATTCTTCTACTTTGAATATCCAAATTTCAAACATTCTTGTTTCTGGTTTTACCAATTGTAGGCTTTGTTTTTTTCCCTCCCTTTTTTTTTTTGGCAGTCGTTTAGTTTGATTTGTTTTAGTTTTTAAAGTGGATTTGCGTTGGCAAGTGCAACACTTGTTGATTATATATCTAACCTCGCTCGAGTTTATTTGCTCACTTTTGTAATTACGACCTCAGATTGGAAAATAAAATCTTGAATACATTTCTTCTATTTCCATTATTCATACGTAATTAGGGCCATCAAATAATAACATGAACTGATCTAACAAAAATATTAACGAATGACTGCAAAAACATTCATACCAAGATGAACTAAAACTAAAAATAAACCTTTTTGATTTCTTCTTTTCCGTAAAATTGACCAAAAACATCATAAGCTTTTTTCTTGTAGAATGAAAACCCTCCTGAAGAAAAGAAAAAAAAAAGAAAAAAAAAGAAAAAAAGGGGAAGAAAAAGGGACCAAAATACACCAAAATATCAATTTCTCATTCTTCTTCCACTGCAGACAAAATAGCCCCTACTCTACCCCTCCCCCATAAAATTTTAAACCTAAACAAAAACCATTTTAGGCAGACAGGATCGGGGGCACCTGTAACTTATTGCACTATTTGCAGAATGCAGAGTTGTAACCGAAACTCAGTCTCTTCTTTCATACCAAACTCATCAGCTTCTTTCTTTTTTTTCCAAAACAAAAGAGAAAAGAGACTAACCATCTGCCATCAAAAAAATTGAAAATTCTTGGATCTATGTGTGAGGAAAAAGAAAATCAAGCTTCAGACCCAGAGTCAGATGAGCTCAAGTCAGAGCGAGCCCCGCCCAAATTAGTTGCACGAGATTCAGACAGCGTAGAAAGCTTTGGCTGCATGCCTCGGCAAAGTTTCAGAGATGGCCTTGATTTCAGGACCTGCATACAAAAGAGCACACACAAAGAGTTAATAAAAATGCATTAGCAAATTGTTAAACAGAATATGTTCAACTGCAGAAACCTATTTGGCATATAGCAAATAGTGACATTAATAACCAACTCCAAAAGCACCAACAAATATAGATCCATACTAAGAGTTCAAAACAAGACTAAATTATATTTTTCTTTTATCAAGGAATTTAATACAGAAATAATAACCAACTACAAAGCATTGCACCTATTTTGTTCCTTGGACACAATTATTTAAATTTAGTTCTGCCCAATTATATTAGCTTGAGTGGTCCCATTCATGGAGCAAGCTAGATCAAAACCCTTAGTGGAGCGAAGAACGAGTTCTGTACCTGGTCATAAAATGCACTTATCTCTTCTTCTGTAAGACCGCCATCATCACAAGGGTTATCATCCCATCCAAGAGATCGAAGGAAACGAGCCTCTTCCTCATCAGGATAAACTGCCACACTAGGACCAGTATCAGAAAACCTCTGAACCTCTTCAGAGCTATCACCATTCACAGTCACCTCACCACCATTTTCAATAGCGTGAGGGCTCGCAGGATCACTGAATACTTCCCCAGTTAGTTCACCTGATTTCTCCATAGTGGGAGATGAAATGATAGGGCTTGAATCTGGGAGAGTAATTGAACTGTTCATTGAGGTTTTCTTCTTCAAGAGATTGAAAAAATCATTCCGGCTCTGGACTTGAGACAGAGAAGGTCTCTTTTCCAATGTGGATCCAGATTTCAGATCCAAGGCAGCTACCTTGCGCTCCACAGGCGAAAGCTTTGGGTTGTTGGGGCTCCTTAGAGGAGCAGATGCAACGGCAGGAGCAACAACAAGTGGGCTATTTGCTGCTCTGCTGGCATTATTTGTGGGGCTAGTAACATCCTTCGGAGAAGAGGAGACACCATTTTCCCATACTGGTTTAAGAACCAGGAACTTCCCATGAGATGTCTTTGGAGGATCGGACTTGACAGGACCACCACGAAGAGATTGATTGGCGTGGTGCAATTGAGAGGGTTGCTGCTGTTGTCCACCCTTGGCAGGTACATTCATTTCACCAGTCCTGGCTGCTGTTTTGGGCTTTGATTTGTCAGAAGAATTCAGAACCTGAAAAGATGTTAGAAAATTGTTACCAGAACTCAAAAACATAGAGGCTTTGTCTGTGTATGTATGAATATACATTTATTGAAAAATGAACGGCATACAAGTCACTTTTCAATCTTGACCATTTATATATGTACTTACTCATCAAACTTGACCAATGAGATTAACTTAAAAAGCAGCATGAAAGAGTCATAACCCAATTACAGTGTAAACAACAAAACTTCAGACAACAATTACAAAACACTTTTCACTAGTTTCAAACCAATGATGTGAACAATGAGGAAACACGATGCATGCTTCTAACAAAGACAGAAACACAACAATCCTCTTCATTGCATAACTGGAGCAAAAGGGTGTAGGTTTTCCTTATAAGGAAAATTGTTAATCTCCATACGACAGAAGAAGGTTCATTTCTCTCCAGAGGGAACACCCAAGTAAATAGGACACTCTTCAAGCTGTGTATCTTACAATGAAAATCAAAACAAGTATTCCATCTTTTATTCAGTGCCTAAGAAATAGCATGAAGGAAACAGCAGAGTCCTGATCAGAAGACAGCCAGTAAATAACGAGTTTTGCAACAAACTATCTTCTCTATCTACTCCCAAGGATCCCCACCATACATGGACCAATGACAAGAGAGGGAGAGAGGGAGAGAGGGAGAGGAGGGAGGAAAACATGAGGAAGAGAGGGAGGGTTCTTGAGCATCAGAAGAACTTAAATAATCTACACCAATGGCTGTCTCTCATTTATATCACTGAATATCACCCTAACAATCTATACAGATAATGAGAAAGAGCGTAAATAGGTCCAAAATCAACTAAAAAACTCATTGCTTACATAGTTTTGAAATCAAATTAGACTGCTCAACAAGAAACTGTCAACTAATCTGAAGTATATCAACCCTATTACTTAAGTTGAGTCTAAGAAGAGAAACTCCAGCAAAGAGTTATTCGAATTTGTTAGTACGCCAAACACACAGCTCTAAACATGAATGACTTCTAACTTGTAAGGTTGGCTCGATAATCACAAGTTACTTGTCCCAAATAGAGCATCAATCATACAAAATTCAGTTTAACATCCTCCAAACACCTTTGCACAACAGGTGAGATCATGAAGTTTGATATCAACAAAAGTGAAAGCAAAACTAGTCACAACAAGCAACCTAAATTATTGAAATAAGGGAGATGAAAAACCTATGAGAATTAAAACAATCCACAAATTACTAAAAGCACCTGCTAGCCAAACATCAAAGAAAATGTATAAAAGGGAAAGGATAAAAAACACTATCTAGCTTGCATCATTAACTAAGTTCCTTATTTTCTTGATGGTAAACTATACAAACACTTAAAACAAGCATGACCCACGAAATATTATTGCTAACACCTGTCTGATTAATTAGAAGTCATAAGTTTAACAGCACTAAAACAAGCTCATGCAAACATCAGTCTAAGTTCACTTACTGAAGCTTTGGGCATCGAAGGGGTTACTGGTATTAATTGCCTCGATTGCTTGATAGCCAACTCCTCAAGCCTCTGGGTCTTGATAGATAACTAAACAAGAAAATGCAATGTCAGATCAGCCAGAAGTACATACTGTTCAAATAGCATGAGGCAAGTAAAACCTCAGTTACCTGAGGAGCAGTGCGAGCTCGTGCTGGAGCTTGCGCTAATGCTTCAGCCATGTTAAGACCAGCCATTGCAGTTGAAGTACCAGAACCCGAAGTAGCAGCAACCGTTGGTTGAACAGGAAAGGATCCTGAGCTACTGCTTGCAATGATAGTAGAAGGCACCTCTGCCAGAGCTGACGTCCATCCCTCCCCACCAATTAAAGCTGAACTACCAACAGGCAGACTCTGAACCGTTGTGCTAAATCCAGGGGATGGAACTCTTCCAATATCAGGCACAGCTGGCCTTTCTTCAGTTCCGAGTGAGGGAAAATCCTTATCAAACACAACCTTCTGAATACCAACTCCAACCCCAGAAAGCAAACCATTGCCATTGTTATGATTGCTGTTACTACTTTTTGAGTCAATAACAGCTCTTCGGGGCAAAAGCTCACTTTGTTTCCTGGCCACCATAGACTGAGAACGCCGCAAAGTATCCTTTTCAACTCTACTGGTAAAAATATTTCCCAAAGGGTCAGAGCAGTCACGGTCCCAATGGTCTCCATAGTTTAATCTCTCTTTTTCCTTATCACGGTCCTTATCACGGTGGCTTCTGTTAAAACTACTGTAAGCATGCTTTGCAGAACCATTACTAGAACTCCTCCGTGAATTGGAAGAGGAAGATCGGTCCAGCAGAAAAGCAGAACGTGGTGTATCAAAATCACTTATGCTCTTTGAGGTTCTATTTCTCAGGTGATGAGCCAAAGAAGTAACATCTACACATGAGTTAAAAAAATAATCTCGGTCAAAAGATGTTCCCATAAGATTCATCTAAATAGATGCCTCCACAATATGTATGTGTGTGCAAATTGCAGTATATGTGTAAAAAACAAAGGAAAACATTGGGTCCATGAAACTTAAAAAGCGAAAAATACCTGAGTGAGAAGAAGATGATGCAAAATGGTGGGCTGAATTGCCACCCCCAGTAACACTTCCTGTACTTCTCAACCATTCTGGAACTAAAGTGGGTTCACTTCTTTCCATAAGGAGCAGTGAACATGATCAGGTACAACAACAGAAACACTTCTCACCTTCTTCACCGCCTCTTCCCTTTCCCCAAATTTATTATATTTTGGCAAAGATACTCAGTTCCAACTATAATATTTTTTTCTTCTAAACAACCAATATTGCTTCACAATCAACCCGACAAGCAAGTCGCAGCCACTACTCCAAATGCACTCCCCACTACAATGAGAGTGGTTGATTTATCCTATATATGGCAACTATAATTTGCCTCTGTCAAACTTATCAAAATAATATCCACACAGTTCTGTACCGAAAAGGTACTCTTCTGTATAGAATAGCAAAGTCCAAGTTTCCTTTTCCCTAAATAACCAATCTTGTTTCAGAATCACTGCAATTAATCAAGTAAACAGGCTCCGATATTGTTACGCACTGAATAGCATATTATCTATATCTACCAACACTAGGGCTCAGAAAAACAAACAGATTTTCACCAAGGTGTGAACCCAGAGCACGAAAACAAAGGCAATGGCAAGGACAAGGTGCATGTCTCGAATTACAACACAATGGGATTGAAAAAACGGAAACAAGGAAGATAAAAGGAAAAATCTGTCTACGCATCCATCTTCAATCAAAAGATGGATTTGCAGAAGGAAATTGCAAACTCAGAAGACCCTCATCTTCAAGCCCAACAGACAGATAAGCAATAGGTGTGTTAACTATGGCAACAACGAATAACAACCCACGATTCTCGCACGAAAATTCACACCCATCAAACAGTTCAATCTCCAGAGAAAGAGACAAAAAAAACCCTAGGGCGATGCCAACATCTGGGAGTGAACGCCGAGTAAATGCGCTAAAATAGAAACCCTAGCAGATGTATATATTATTATCCCTCTCTGCGTCTATGTAACTCCAAAGACCTAGGATTTCCACAGCCCCAAAATTATTCGACCACAAACGATACGAAAAATTTCAGAGAGAAAAAGAGAGAGAGAGGACTAACCCTAGCCCAGCAGTGATTGACGATTAAGCCAAAACGTAACCGTTTTAATAACCGCCCCCAGTATATTCTCTCTCTATATTGAAAACAATGCGTTTCAGAGAGAAAAAGGAGAGAGGGAGAGAGAGAGTTTCAGAGTGAAAGCGGCGGAGAGCGAAACGCAGAGAAGGAAGAGGGATTTTGGGAACAAAACGCAGAATGGGGCTCAGAGTCTGAGTCTGGAAATAGGGTTTTGTTTGCGCGAGGAGAGAAAGATAGAATTGGGTTTGGGTGTGAGAGAGAGAGAGAGAGAGAGAGAGAGAGAGAGGGAGAGAGGGTGTGTGTAATTTTGTGTTAGTTTTAGCGACACTGGGGAACGAAACGTATGAAGAACAGCCTCTTCTTCTTTAGGTAAAAATCAGAAATTAAAATTTCCTATATATATTTTATCGAAATTTTATATTTTTGCACACTATTTTTGCTTTAATAAAAAACAAAACCCATGTATTTATTATTGAGATTATTATATACGGTATAACAACTGGGTTCTATGTTATGGACTGTCTGTAACCTTAACCTATCAGCCGTCTCTGGTATGCTGTGTGGAGGCTACACTGCTACACAGTGCCCATCTCTGTATTATAGACGGATGTGTGGGTCTATGAGCGTTTTTTATTTTAGATTTATCTTGAGATCATGGGCGGCATAAGCACAAAAATTAGGGTTATAATGACCAAACTGACCTTGGGTTATCCAATTATCGTTTTCATTAAGGAATCAAACTAAAGATTTCCATCAAGAAAAAGAATTAATAAAGATAACAAATTGCATTGCTGGGCAATGGGGACCACTAATTGATTTTCAATACATATGTAGCATCACCCCGTACATAATATTTGTACAATGCAATGGAAGTTGTGATTGGGAGGGACAATAGAAATTATGTAAATGAACCAATAATATGTCCCGTTTTCTAAGGATATTTATAAAAAATACTATATAACTTCAAATTTGAGGATTCAAATCGTTTATTTTTATTAAAGTGATATTGAGGGAGTTGGGAATCGAACCTATGACATTTGATGCAATTATGTACTTGTATACGCGCTTTATCTTCTTGCTTTTTGCTTTTACATTCCCAAACCAAACTATAAGTTTATATGCTGATCCCCCCACACCAAAAAAAACTAGTTTTTTTTTTCTTTTTCGTGAAAACAACTAGCAGATTGCCAAAAGAACCAATAACTTTATTCGGAAAGGTTGTCCATCTGGCTTTCTATAATTTAAATTGCTTTTTCTACAACAAATGAAGAAAGAAAGAGAGGAAACTTAAGGGTTAGGCTTTAGTTCGCCCGCCACCAAGAGCCCCATATATATACACAAAAAGGGAAATTATATTCATCATGAAAGAGAGGAAAATTATCCTTTTGAGAAATCGTATGGTTTCTTTATGTTTTATTCAAAATGTTTCCAATTATAATAAGATTTGGACGTAGAACCTACTATATTACTATTTTATCCCAGTTCCACTAAACATGGTGTTTAGGGTTCCAATCAAGGAAAACTTGTCCAGTTAATGTAGAAGTCACATAGCAAAATTTATAAACATAAGCATTTAGGGGTTAGGATATCCCTAAGAAATAATTTAATTACTTGGTCTACAAACATGTTTTTTTCTTGGTCTACGAACAATTATTGATGAAATAAAAGATCCCACATAAGTCAAGAGGATTATGCGAACAACTCTACTTATAAAAGGGTTTGATATTTGAATTTGACCGGTCACAAGTGGGGTGCTAATTAAAGCTCAAACCAACATATACTCCATGAATATGGGTTTTACTTTGGTTGCAAACAAACTCAACTTCAATTTTATTTGACAGACGATGATATTTTGCAAAGCTATTTTTACTGGATTGGTAACTCAGGTTGAGAAATTTAGGTGAATTTGGGTTGATTCTAGTGGTTGTTTCCAACTGCAGTTCAACCTAAATGTGACCAGTTTGTCATGTCAACCAAGCTCAAGATCAACACATTAGGTTAAGGTTTGGGATAAACCCGGCCTAACTAACACACCTAGCTCACACCAGCTATTATAGCCAAATCTCTAGGTAATCTTATTATCCAGTTTAAATTTCGAATTAGCAATTTATCTGTTGCTAATATTTCGTACTTTGTTAGTTTATCTTGTAACATACATCTATCAATTGTCTTTAAAAACTAAATTATAGCAACAACAAAAAAAAGAGCGAAATTGCGGGATGAGAAATTCAAACATAGGAGAGAAATTACCCATCAACCTTTATGAATGAGAAAAATCCTCAATTTGGCATATAAAACTAATGTAAATGTATGTCATGATAATGATATGTATAAACTTCGTTTTTATGTTAATTTGACACTTACTGACAATGGCCTTGTTCACATTTAAAGAAAGTCCGTCCTAATGCAAAGTCTTTTAGAGCCATGCCATACTAGTCAATATACTGAGTTTTAGCACTTGAGCTATTTATCTGATTATATTCAACGTAGCTTCGTCTTGAATTAAACAAATATTACATCTTTACACTATGTAAGCAAATATAATATCCTTACACCGTTTTTATTTATATGAGATAAGGGCGGAATCAGAAATTTAAACATAGAGTGTTCTTTATATGGGAAATGGGGTAAATTTGTGATTTTGGCAACATTACCCTAAATATCAGTCTACACACTTTGAAAGATGCTACAATTTTAGTGCTAAGCTTATCTTTACTTAAATGATGCATTGGGGTTCAATCTATTATCTATTTTTTTATTATTAATTTTTTTGTTTTTGTTTTTTCATCCAAAGCTAGAAAGGGGAGGGAGTACTAATGGTATGCAAATCAATACATTTTTTCACTAAGCTAGGTACTCCGACACTCCTCATTGACATAAGCCAGGTACTCCGACCCTCCCATTGACATAAACTAGGTACTCCGACACTCCTCTTTTAGTTGTGTGTACTCAGCATTAAATATTTTATAATTTTATAAGTGCATAAAGTTAAAAATGGAATATGAAAAGAGTTATTTACATTAACATCTAATGAGATTTTCAGTTTTTTCACAAAACTCCATGAGATTTCAGAAATTAAACAAACACCCCCTAAGATTTTAAAATGTTTTCACAAAACTCAATTTCATTAATTGTTGTTCAAAAATTAATGATTTTATACAAAATTTGCCTTTTAGATTAGATTGCATATACATTCATTGAGGTTAATTTTGTCATTTGCATAAGTGTTTTTTCAATGAAATCATCAATTTTTGAACGAACAATCAACAAATTTTGTTGTTGTGAAAACACTAAAAATCTCAAGAAATGATAATGTAAATAATTAAATACAAAAACTACTATCTATCCTATACGTCATCTTAATATGGGCTGCCTTGGGTGCTGATGGCCCACCTACGCAATCGGATGGTTAAAATATATTTTCTGGTTTGGATAATTTAGCATGAAATTCACATAATTTTTCATAAATTGAAATAATTATAATAATCATATCTTAGCGAAAATAGATCACTCGTCCAAGTATCATCTTAATTTGGGCTGCCTTGGGTGCATGATGGCGCGCACAATCAAATGGTTTATTTTTGTTCCTCATTGTCAGTACTGTAATAAATCTTTCTGCAACAACTTATGTACGGCCAGGCACATGGTGACGTGGCAATAGTGAAAAGATGATGATGATGATGATGATGCATTCTCATCTCCTCGACCTCTGTTTTGTTTTCACTGCATATAAATCATCTCTTTCTTTTGTCTCAGCAGATGCATGCCATTTTTTCCAATTTGATAACAGAGCCCATCCGGTTCCTCTTTCTCTTTCAGAGGTTTCACATCCACCAATTTAATCCAACTGAACTAATATTATTCGCTCTTTGTTGCTATGAAGCTAGAGAGTGCCTAGCTGCCATAGCCAACCTGTAAAAGTTTGATTCTGATTTGACTATACTTGGACGCTATTCACAATGTCACTTGGGCAACTGTTTCTTTTGTCATGCATGATTTTTGGTGCTACCTTAATTGCCCACACCCCACCATGTAGGTGGAATTTAACTCACTTTACGATCAATTGTTAATAATTGTCTAACCGTTGATGCAATTTCGGGATCTTTTATCCCGTGACGCGCATTTGATATGTTCAAGAAACAAAAACTAATCATTAAATTTTAACATATGTCACATTTATACTATTATAATGACGTATGATAGTTTAACTTTAATTATAAAATCTTTGTCGGCGCAGTCTGATGAGACACTCTCACTTTGACAAGAAAGTCTTTAGCTACGCACTCTAATCATGTCATCTGAGCAATCATTCCCACAAGCACATCAATAATGATGCTCTTATGAATTGCGAACATACAACAACATAGATTGTGAGTTGCTTTTTAAATTGAATGTTGAGTTTTGCTTAGGCAACTTACTTTTAAGATCGCTAAGTAATTTGTACTATGAAGAAGTTATAACTTTGTGTCGTCGCGATCATATATTTCTATAACCATGATCTCTCTTAGAAATTACAAAAATAGTAGAATTATGCCTAATTAACAATAGCCTTAGCAAATGGTAGAAATGCCTGCGTTATCTTTACTTCCAGCCGAGCTACCGAGTACGAAAAATATCTGATAATATTCATAAGGATCTTTTGCGCGGAGGCGTGGGGCGTACGCTTAAGAATCTGCGCGCCTCTTCAGACAAACCGAAAAGCCCCAGAGATGTCGTTGTCAAGTGGCCCCCAGTCCTTAAACCCAGCTGGACACTGTCTACGTGGCACCGCGTTTTCCCATCTCTGTACTCCTCCGACGGCGTTTACCAGTCTCCAAAATTCCCACCCTCTTTCCTTTGGTCAGCGTCTTTTCCCGAAACCCTGAAACACAACCCTCACAACTTCATCGCTCACTTTTCCGATTGAATTGCTCGCAGAGGTGGAAACATTTAGATGGATTTAGCTCCCTATGCATCACATACCTCGAATTTTCTCTAGCAAGCGAGCGAAAGCCATGGATCCGAAGAAGAACCGGAGGAAGCCGACGCTGGAGCGCCGGAATGCGGCGAAGCACATTGACTACGACGCCGCTTCCACGTCATCCTCGCTCGACGACTCGTCCTCTTCGCCTTCGCTCTACACGCGCTCCTTTTTTTTTTTTTTTTTTTTTTTTTTTTTTTTTTTTTTTTTTTTTTTTTTTTTTTTTTTTTTTTTTTTTTTTTTTTTTTTTTTTTTTTTTTTTTTTTTTTTTTTTTTTTTTTTTTTTTTTTTTTTTTTTTTTTTTTTTTTTTTTTTTTTTTTTTTTTTTTTTTTTTTTTTTTTTTTTTTTTTTTTTTTTTTTTTTTTTTTTTTTTTTTTTTTTTTTTTTTTTTTTTTTTTTTTTTTTTTTTTTTTTTTTTTTTTTTTTTTTTTTTTTTTTTTTTTTTTTTTTTTTTTTTTTTTTTTTTTTTTTTTTTTTTTTTTTTTTTTTTTTTTTTTTTTTTTTTTTTTTTTTTTTTTTTTTTTTTTTTTTTTTTTTTTTTTTTTTTTTTTTTTTTTTTTTTGGGACCCTTTTGAGGGACTTCGCGCCGGAAGGCGAGGGAGACTTGGTCCAGAAGAGGCTTGAGTCTTCTTCTTCTTCTGCTTCTTCTTGTTGTGGCGATGAAGAAGAAGGAGAGGTTGGAGAGGAGGGTGCCGTGGAGGCTGGGGTCAGAGAGACTGTGTTGCTCTCAGAAGGGTGTTCGTTTACGACGTCAAATGATGACGACTCTTCTAGCACTACCACTGTCTCTCCGAATGAGAGGTTTTCGCCCAATGGGAGGCTTAAGCTTAAAATCACTCACTGGGAAAAGGGTGAGCTTCTGGGTAGTGGGTCTTTCGGGTCTGTGTATGAAGCAATTTCTGAGTAAGTGCTTAAAACCCCTTACATTTCCATATGATTGTTTATTCTTATAGATATATTAAGATTGGAAACTTCAATATGTGAAAGATAATTTGGTGTTCTTGGGACTTGTGAAGTAGAATGATAGAGGTTGAGTTTAAAGTAATATAACGGTTAAGTGGTAAGCGGTGATGGCTAAAGAAAGGGTGCCAATTGGTTTCAAAATTCAAGGGATGGAAGAGAAGTTAGATGATCTCGGTCGACTTGGTGATATTAGTGATGGAAAGACAAGCTTTGCTTGATGTAGTGTTCTACAGATAAGAAGCTTGAAAGACAATTATATCTTGCAGTCCGGGTGGTTGGGTAATGTATGGACAACTGTGAATTATGCCCCGAGCCATGTTTCAACAGGTTACTTCTAGGTGGAAATGACAGATGAATTTGCTTTCTTACAATAAGAGGAAGGTGATTCATAGGAGAGAATGTTACTAGATTTAAGAGCAGAGGTTCTCATTGAGTTGCTTCTCCATTTTTCTTTGTGGTTTTTGCAAATTCTTATTCAAAACTTGGAAAGGTTCCTTATGATCCCCTTGGATCCATCCCTTCACTACCTAATTAAACAAAGCCTGCAGGCAGCACATCGGGCTGCAAATGAGCCAAGCTGGCCCTTGCTTTTGGTTGGTTAGGCTCAGCTGTTGAGATTTTTGCTGAGGTTAAGCCTGACATGAGCTTGAACCTCAGGCTCAGACTTGGCTTGTTAGCATAAGATTGAGGATTTGCGGTATCTTTTAATAGGGGAGTCAGGGGGTGCAAACATAAAATGTTTATTCATGAAGTATTTATAACTGTATATTCAAATGAATTAATTCATTCTTTTGCAGCAAAGCTGTCTAACTAACTGAAATACCTCAATTGACATTCATAAACAAATGTTTATTAAAAGACTGGCTCCATAATTCAACTTTCCATTGATTCTGATATTTTTTACAACTTTGTTGATTATGAGTTTTCTTTCCTGCAGTTGCGGATGCTTCATTGCTGTGAAGGAAGTTTCCTTGCTGGATAAAGGAAGTCAGGGGGTGCAAAGAGTTTATCAACTTGAACAGGTGAGAGGCTTGTGCTGTGTCTGGTCCTATGTCCTGGTTTTGCATGCCTGTACTAATTGATTCAGTAATAGTATGTGAGTAGAGCCTGGCTTTACTGTTGTTTCTGAGATCCTTTTCTTCTCATTCGGTGTTTGCTTGTTTGGTTTTTTTTAATTTTTTTATTTTCTTCTCTTCCAGGAGATTGCTCTTTTGAGTCAGTTTGAACATCAAAACATAGTTCAATACTACGGAACTGCTAAGGTACTACTTTTTATTTTCTTCTTGTTCTTGAGCTTGAATCTATGCCCCTTAAAATTGTTTGTCATGCTATTCCCTTATCTGCCATGATAAGTAATTATTCATATCAGAGTATATTCATCGTATTAATTTGCTACAGATTCTGGCCATTATACATAGAAACTTCATTTTTATGTTAGTTTGACACTTGGTGATGTGGCAACGAGAATCATTAATGACAATTACAGAAAAGTCCACCTTAATGTAAAAGTAAGGGGATGAGATATTCTCATACATTGGTGTATTTTGTCTATCTGAGGTGGAATTTGTTGTGTGTGTTATTGCTGTGACTATATTTGTTTAATTTTCTTATTTTCATTCACATACGAAATCACTGTAAATAAAAGTAAACGGGCTAGCTACAGTGTCATGCATATACTTGAGGGTTACCCTTTCTGCCACTTTGTCCGTACTATTTGATGCTCTAGTTTGACTCCAAAATTATTAAGGACTAGTAGTATCAACACTAGTAGAAATTTTGGTTGTAAAGAAGTTAGGACATTTATGACCCTTTTGGTTTATTCTTTTGTTGATTATGACCTACTGTAGTTTCCGGTTCAACATAGATTTTCCGGTAGCATACATTTACTAATTAAGCATTAAATCTTCGTAGCCTTTGTACTTATTATGTTACCAGTATCTGACATATATATTGCTCAATTTGCAGGATGAATCAAACCTTTATATCTTTCTGGAGCTTGTAGCGAAAGGCTCCCTCCAGAAACTCTATCAGACGTATCGTCTTACAGATTCTCATGTCTCTGAATACACAAGACAGATCCTGCAGGGTCTGAAGTATCTTCATGACCGAAGAGTGATTCACAGGTGATTCATATCACATGATGTATAATTTATACAAAAGTTGAATTCTTGAAATATGTTTTCCTTTGCCACCAATGAGCCACAACAAAAGAGAATGAAAATAAAATAAAAGTGGCTTAACCATCACAGTATCCATGCTCATGCTTTGCTTCTGTTGTCTTGTCTACATCTATTCTCATATCTTTGTTTCTTGCATTAAGGGACATCAAATGCGCAAATATTTTGGTGCATGCAAATGGTTCTGTGAAGCTCGCAGATTTTGGATTGGCAAAGGTTTGTCTTTGATTCCTCAAAATCTATTCTATTTAATTGTTTTCAATAACTTCAACTAATTGTGAAGTATTTTCCTCTCCTAATTTTCGCTCCCTTTTTTCAGACTATCCAGATGAACGACATCAAATCTAGCCAGGGGACTGCATACTGGATGGCCCCTGAGGTTTGCCTTTACACTTTTGTTTTAATATCATCAGTTATCAGAAGAAGTTATAAAATTTAGACTATTTTGGATGCTTGTGAGCTCTCTCTGTTATGGGAGGACATGTCTAAAATACTTCAATTTGATGCTGGTGCAGACTTGTTTTACATTGATGGATTTCTAAATTTAGCGGTGATTGCAGGATGACTTTCACAAATTATATTTTTTGCTTCTTGAACTGATAAAGATGTTAATGTATTTTGGTCAGATTGCTGTGTTATGTATAGCGTCTATAAGAAAGAGAACATTGGTAATCAAATATTGGACTAATAGCCTCAAGAATCAGTAAAGTGATTTTTTTTTAATAAAAAAATTATACCTTAATATAAAGACAATTGAAAAACAAGAAGATATGAATTTTTGAAAACTTAAAACTATTTTGAGATTTTATTTTATAAGCAATTCTATGTATTTGCTCTCCTCTATCACTCACCTCTATCATGCCTCTTCTCACTTTCACCGTCTTTGTTCTGTATCTTTATTGTCTATTTTAAGAGAAAAACTGTAAACAAATAACGAAAACGTTAACAATGAAACCAATATTTTCTGATTTCTATTGTGATAAATCTTTCTTAACGAACACATCCAGACATATAGCAATATTATAATCTTACATTGATTAAACTGAATCAACTTGTTCTAAAGTAAAAGAACCTTTGCAAAAAATAAGTTGTAAATAATAAATTCGAAATTTGGAAGTCTTAATTATTTTCAGCGAATTTCTAAATTAATAGTTCCTTTAATTCCTTATTTCATCTAGTGTATGATTGATCAGTAAGCCTTCTTGGGCACTGAATGAGTGATTATTGGTTTCTTAACAATTGTTCCTATAACATATATGTAAAGTTTTATATTCTCAATGATATTCCACATCTTTTCTCACCCTAAAAAATATCCCGTATCTTGTCTCAAGTCTAGATAATGTTATATTCTGATAAATGTTTATGGTTAATAATGGTTATTGTAGTTTGAGGAATATTGCCAGCTTCATTTTTCCCTGTATATTACATGGAGTATCATTTTCTACTATGTAGGCAGAATGGATCTAGTTCTGTTCTTTAATAGCATATTTAGCCTTAATAAAAATTTAAAAGTTGCAAGATATCCTATATTTTGCCAATATTTGCTGGAGAGGCTGCATATGTTGCTTCAGTCATGGAGTAAGGTGTGCCCGATTTGTTTTTTCTTTTTGAGTACTTATTCGTCAATCTATGCTTGTGCAGGTTGTTAATCGGAAACACCAGGGATATGGGCTTCCAGCGGATATATGGAGCCTTGGATGCACTGTATTGGAGATGTTAACCAGACGGATTCCTTACCCTAATCTTGAATGGGTTCGTGCCATTTTCGCGAGAAGTTTACTCTTTGTGGTCTATAATGGTGATGACAATGTGTTAGATTATGCATCTCTTTGACCTCTATTTTGTTTTTGACAGCATCATCTCTTCTTGTGTCTCAACAGATGCAGGCATTATTTAAGATTGGAAAGGGAGAGCCCCCTCCGGTTCCCGATTCTCTTTCGAAAGATGCACAAGATTTCATCCATCGATGCCTACAAGCTAATCCAGCGAATCGTCCTACTGCTGCTCAGCTCTTAAATCATCCATTTCTTAATAGACCCCTTACGACATCTTCTGGGTCAGGGTCTCCTTACCATCACCCTGGGCCGAGTTGAAAACATTTATTCAGCTATAAGTTGTGATGGTAATAAGGTAATGCTTTGTATTCCACAATTTCATATTGCTCTCTCCACCCTATAATTCCATGAAACTGAACTAAAAATAATTCCAAAATCAATACGTTGACTGATTAATATCTTTGCCTTTGAAAACAGCTCTGTCCAACTCTACAGTACAGATGCAGGACTATTTATCCCCGCTCTGTAACTTGCTCCGGTATATCCAGTGTTAAGCCATCAAATCTTTGGCTTACGCTTGTAGAGTAGAGTGCATGTGTGTTATAACTTCATCAATTTTCACAGGATCGGCTAACAGGATCCATGAGTTTCGAAGAACAATCAACGGTCCGCCACCTTCCCTGCCGTAGATCTTGCACCATGGAGCATTCGGGTATTGAATTATTCTAGTGTCAGTTTGTCTCTTGTAGGAATATGATTTTTCGTCCTCTGTTTTTTTGTTCTTTCCCCAGTTTGATAGGTGTTTGATATCTCATGTCTTTTCCCCTTTTAGTTTCAAATTAAGTTAATTAGTGGGTTAAAGATTTGTATTGGCAAGTTGTGGTAGGTAGTTTTGTAAGCATTGGAAAGGAATCACGATTTGTATATAGTTTGTTATTTGACTGTCACAATTGGCATGCATACGTAATGGGAGAAAATTAAAATATGCGGCAGTTTTATTTTAATAAATATTTTATGTTCACTGTTTTACCGTGGGTTGACACTATTAAAAATAGTGGACATTAAATTGAACGGGACTGATGGTAATGGTACGACAGTCCGCACGCGTATTAGATTAGTTAGAACAATTTCCAAGTAATCAAATCTAATGAAAAGTCTTATATGAGAGCATCCACAAAGGGTGGGTGTATTTTTGCGGGTGTAAAGTTACCTTTACATTTTCTTTACACATCAGGGGGTGTAAGTACGTTTTTTGTTTCAACGGGAAACGATGTAAATCTAAAATGTATAATTTTTCATCTCTTTTCTTGGGTGGGTTTCGCTTGCAAAAGATCTAAAAATAAATGTAAATGTATATTTTATTTTACATATCTATGGTGGTGATGTATATTTACATCCCTTTACATCTTCTTATTGGAGACGATTCCAGTGACAAAGTGTGTATATTTAACATACAACTCCATATATATCCTAATGCATTTCGACATAAACCATGTACTTTTGGAAGTTACAGTACGACTATTGATATCAACTAGAAAACATCAAAGTGCACACACAAATTACGCCCGAACTATAACCACCAAGATTAGGATATCCCACAACCCATATAAAATCAAGCATCCTCCAAATAGCAACCAAACATCTCCAAGAATGTTAGTGGGGTATAACTCTCAGTTATTTGAGCTATTCCACATTCATCCATGTGGGCAGAAGTTCGAAACTCCAAAACACTCGATCAATATTTGTGTAAACTCTCTTTCCCAATTTCAAAATGCAAGTTTAACTTTGAAGTGGGAAAAAAAAGGCACCTTACTTCTATGGTGATTTTATATTTTATTAGACAATGCGATATTCTAAATTATCTAATGTATGAAAAGAGGGATCAAACTTAAGTGCAAGGAAGCGGTCACACTGCTCTTTCCCAACAGCATACGCTACATGAGAGACTTATACAAGAGAGAATGCTAGTGTCAGTCAATTAGCGAAAGTGTGCGATGATTGTGATGTGGGCATCATAGCAGGATCCATAATCATGACTTCTACGCGATTGACCCTAGCACTTGTAATTGTGCAATTTATTCTTTGCATTTGGGTCTGGACTGGGACCAGTACACAATAAAAATGGGCTCTCTGGAGTTGCAGTTTCTGGTGGCCCAAAGTCAATTTAATTTCAACCCAACCCAACCTTTGGCCTTGCTTCTTCCATTCCCACCGGCTTCATTCATGAGCACCATCATCTGTGATGCAGATGATAACACAATGGCGCCATCCTCCATCGGATAAAATGAGAGAATAAACCGCACCTTTTATAAGCTCCCGCACGCTACGCATCCCTCCCTCCCCACGTGACCGCCAAGATCGGAAACTTACTCTCCTCCTCCCTTCAATCACACTCACACCCACACCCACACTCTCTCTCTCTCGCTGCAATCGCCGTCGCATAATCTTCTCTCCGGCACTTCCCAGGTACTGGCGATTCTCCCCTTCCCCATCGATCTCAATTTTCGCGCCTTTCTGCGATTCATTTTCCTAGGGTTTGTTCTTCTCGCCTTCCCATTTGCTTTGTGTGATTATTCCTCTGTTTGTTCCTTAGGGATTTTATGATTGATATCCGATTGCATTCGCTCTACACGCTCCTTCGACTTGGACCGGACGAGCTTCCGGGTCGAGGGAAACGAGGGGGATATGGAGCGGATATACCAGACCTTGGGCCTCGGCCCCGACAACTTCTCCATATCAGAGGAGGACTGGGTGGCGCGGAAGATCCAGTCGTCTTCGGATCTGCTCCCCATGTCCAGATTGTACCAGTTGGATAGTCTGGATAGCCCGAAACCCGACGAATTGAGGGAAGTGGTGGCCGAGTTGTGCGATAGAGTTGGGGATGTTACTGTTACGGTGACTGAGTTGACTCGGGCTGACTCGGCCGGTCCAAGCGGATTATGTAATGCTGCTGCTACTTCTACCACAGGCGGTGGTGTTTGTATTGGGATTAAGGGTGTACGGCCGCCGGTGCTTAAGCCTCCGCCGCCGATGAGGGTTCCGGTGGTCGACAATGGATGCTCAACTTGGGACCTTTTGAGGGACTTCGCGCCGGAATGCGAGGGATACTCGGTCCAGAAGAGGCTTGAGTCTTCTTCTTCTTCTGCTTCTTGTTGTGGCGATGAAGAAGAAGGAGAGGTTGGGGAGGAGGGTGCTGTGGAGGCTTGGGTCAGAGAGACTGTGCCCCTCTCAGAAGGGTGTTCGTTTACGACGTCGACGTCGAATGACGACGACTCTTCTGGCACTACCACAGTCGCTCTGAATGAGAGGTTTTTGCCCAATGGGAGGCTTAAGCTTAAAATCACTCACTGGGAAAAGGGTGAGCTTCTGGGTAGTGGGTCTTTCGGGTCTGTGTATGAAGCAATTTCTGAGTAAGTGCTTAAAACCCCTTACATTTCCATATGATTGCTTATTCTTATAGATATATTAAGATTGGAAACTTCAATATGTGAAAGATAATTTGGTGTTCTTGGGACTTGTGAAGTAGAATGATAGAGATTGAGTTTAAAGTAATATAACGGTTAGGTGTTCAGCGGTGATGGCTAAAGAAAGGGTGCCAATTGGTTTCAAAATTCAAGGGATGGAAGAGACGTTAGATGACCTCGTTCGACTTGGTGATATTAGTGATGGAAAGACAAGCTTTGCTTGATGTAATGTTCTACAGATAAGAAGCTTGAAAGACAATAATATCTTACAGTCCTGGTGGTTGGGTAATGTATGGACAACTGTGAATTATGCCCTGAGCCGTTTTTCAACAGGTTACTTCTAGGTGGTAAATGACAGATGAATTTGCTTTCTTACAATAAGAGGAAGGTGATTCATAGGAGAGAATGTTACTAGATTTAAGAGCAGAGGTTCTCATTTAGTTGCTTCTCCATTTTTCTTTGTGGTTTTTGCAAATTCTTATTCAAAATTTGGAAGGGTTCCTTATGATCTCTTTGGATCCATCCCTTCACTACCCAAGTAAACAAAGCCTGCAGGCAGCACATCGGGCTGCAAATGAGCCAAGCTGGCCCTTGCTTTTGGTTGGTTAGGCTCAGCTGTTGAGATTTTTGCTGAGGTTAAGCCTGACATGAGCTTGAACCTCACGCTCAGACTTGGCTTGTTAGCAAAAGATTGAGGATTTGCGGTATCTTTCAATAAGGGAGTCAGGGGTGGAAACATAAAATGTTTATTCATGAAGTATTTATAACTGTATATTCAAATGAATTAATTCATTCTTTTGCAGCAAAGCTGTCTAACTAACTGAAATACCTCAATTGACATTCATAAACAAATGTTTATTAAAAGACTGGCTCCATAATTCAACTTTCCATTGATTCTGATATTTTTTACAACTTTGTTGATTATGAGTTTTCTTTCCTGCAGTTGCGGATGCTTCATTGCTGTGAAGGAAGTTTCCTTGCTGGATAAAGGAAGTCAGGGGGTGCAAAGAGTTTATCAACTTGAACAGGTGAGAGGCTTGTGTTGTGTCTGGTCCTATGTCCTGGTTTTGCATGCCTGTACTAATTGATTCAGTAATAGTATGTGAGTAGAGCCTGGCTTTACTGTTGTTTCTGAGATCCTTTTCTTCTCATTCTGTTTGCTTGTTGCTTGTTTTTGGTTTTTTTTTTTTTTTTTTTTTTTTTTTTTTTTTTCTTCTTTTTCATGATTGCTCTTTGTGGAGATTGTTGCAGTTTGAACATTCAAAACATAGTTCATATACTACGGAACCGCTAAGGTACTACTTTTTATTTTCTTCTTGTTCTTGACCTTGGATTTATGCCCCCTAAAATTGTTTGTCATGCTATTCCCTTATCTGCCATGATAGGTAATTATGCATATCAGAGTCATTTATTCATCGTATTAACTTGCTACAGATTCTGGCCATTATACATAGAAACTTCATTTTTATGTTAGTTTGACACTTGGTGATGTGGCAACGAGAATCATTAATGACAATTACAGGAAAGTCCACCTTAATGTAAAAATGAGGGGATGAGATATTCTCATACATTGGTGTATTTTGTCTATCTGAGGTGGAATTTGTTGTATGCGTTGTTGCTATGACTATATTTGTTTTATTTTTTTATTTTCTTATTTTCATTCACATACGAAATCACTGTAAATAAAAGTAAACAGGCTAGCTACAGTGTCATGCATATACTTGAGGGTTACCCTTTCTGCCACTTTGTCCGTACTATTTGATGCTCTAGTTTGACTCCAAAATTATTAAGGACTTGTAGTATCAACACTAGTAGAAATTTAAGTTGTAAAGAAGTTAGGACATTTATGACCCTTTTGGTTTATTCTTTTGTTGATTATGACCTACTGTAGTTTCCGGTTCAACATAGATTTTCCGGTAGCATACATTTACTAATTAAGCATTAAATCTTCGTAGCCTTTGTACTTATCATGTTACCAGTATCTGACATATATATTGCTCAATTTGCAGGATGAATCAAACCTTTATATCTTTCTGGAGCTTGTAGCGAAAGGCTCCCTCCAGAAACTCTGTCAGAACTTTCGTCTTACAGATTCTCATGTCTCTGAATACACAAGACAGATGCTGCAGGGTCTGAAGTATCTTCATGACCGAAGAGTGATTCACAGGTGATTCATATCACATGATGTATAATTTATACAAAAGTTGAATTCTTGAAATATGTTTTCCTTTGCCACCAATGAGCCACAACAAAAGAGAATGAAAATAAAATAAAAGTGGCTTAACCATCACAGTATCCATGCTCATGCTTTGCTTCTGTTGTCTTGTCTACATCTATTCTCATATCTTTGTTTCTTGCATTAAGGGACATCAAATGCGCAAATATTTTGGTGCATGCAAATGGTTCTGTGAAGCTCGCAGATTTTGGATTGGCAAAGGTTTGTCTTTGATTCCTCAAAATCTATTCTATTTAATTGTTTTCAATAACTTCAACTAATTGTGAAGTATTTTCCTCTCCTAATTTTCGCTCCCTTTTTTCAGACTATCCAGATGAACGACATCAAATCTAGCCAGGGGACTGCATACTGGATGGCCCCTGAGGTTTGCCTTTACACTTTTGTTTTAATATCATCAGTTATCAGAAGAAGTTATAAATTTTAGACTATTTTGGATGCTTTTGAGCTCCCTCTGTTATGGCAGGACGTGTCTAAAATACTTCAATTTGATACTGGTGCAGACTTGTTTTACACTGATGGATTTCTAAATTTAGTGGTGATTGCAGGATGACTTTCACAAATTATATTTTTTGCTTCTTGAACTCTGATAAAGATGTTAATGTATTTTGGTAAGATTGCTGTGTTATATAGTGTAGCTTTTATAAGAAAGAGAATATTAGTAATCAAATATTGGACTAATAGCCTCAAGAATCAGTAAAGTGATTTTTTTAAAATAAATAAATTATACCTTAATATAAAGAAAAGTGAAAAACAAGAAGATATGAATTTTTGAAAACTTAAAACTATTTTGAGCTTTTATTTTGTAAGCAATTCTGTGTATTTGCTCTCCTCTATCCCTCACCTCTATCATGCCTCTTCTCACTTTCATCTTCTTTGTTCTGTATCTTTATTGTCTATTTTAAGAGAAAAACTGTAAACAAATAACGAAAACGTTAACAATGAACCCTATATTTTCTGATTTCTACTGTAATAAATCTTTCTTAACGAACACATCCAGACATATAGCAATATATAATCCTACGTTGATTAAACTGAATGAACTTGTTCTAAAGAACCTATTGCATCTAGTGTATGATTGATCAGTAAGCCTTCTTGGGAACTGAATGAGTGATTATTGGTTTCTTAACAATTGTTCCTATAACATATATGTGAAGTTTTATATTCTCAATGATATTCCACATCTTTTCTCACCCTGAAAAATATCCCGTATCTTGTCTCAAGTCTAGATAATGTTATATGCTGATAAATGTTTATGGTTAATAATGGTTATTGTAGTTTGAGGCATATTGCCAGCTTCATTTTTCCCTGTATATTACATGGAGTATCATTTTCTACTATGTAGGCAGAATGGATCTAGTTCTGTTCTTTAATAGCATATTTAGCCTTAATAAAATTTAAAAGTTGCAAGATATCCTATATATTTTGTCAATATTTGCTGGGGAGGCTGCATATGTTGCTTCAGTCATGGAGTAAGGTGTGCCCGATTTGTTTTTTCTTTTTGAGTACTTATTCGTCAATCTATGCTTGTGCAGGTTGTTAATCGGAAACACCAGGGATATGGGCTTCCAGCGGATATATGGAGCCTTGGATGCACTGTATTGGAGATGTTAACCAGACGGATTCCATACCCTAATCTTGAATGGGTTCGTGCCATTTTCGCGAGAAGTTTACTCTTTGTGGTCTATAATGGTGATGACAATGTGTTAGATTATGCATCTCTTTGACCTATATTTTGTTTTTGACAGCATCATCTCTTCTTGTGTCTCAACAGATGCAGGCATTATTTAAGATTGGAAAGGGAGAGCCCCCTCCGGTTCCTGATTCTCTTTCAAAAGATGCACAAGATTTCATCCATCGATGCCTACAAGTTAATCCAGCGAATCGTCCTACTGCTGCTCAGCTCTTAAATCATCCATTTCTTAATAGACCCCTTACGACATCTTCTGGGTCAGGGTCTCCTTACCATCACCCTGGGCCGAGTTGAAAACATTTATTCAGCTATAAGTTGTGATGGTAATAAGGTAATGCTTTGTATTCCACAATTTCATATTGCTCTCTCCACCCTATAATTCCATGAAACTGAACTAAAAATAATTCCAAAATCAATACGTTGACTGATTAATATCTTTGCCTTTGAAAACAGCTCTGTCCAACTCTACAGTACAGATGCAGGACTATTTATCCCCGCTCTGTAACTTGCTCCGGTATATCCAGTGTTAAGCCATCAAATCTTTGGCTTACGCTTGTAGAGTAGAGTGCATGTGTGTTATAACTTCATCAATTTTCACAGGATCGGCTAACAGGATCCATGAGTTTCGAAGAACAATCAACGGTCCGCCACCTTCCCTGCCGTAGATCTTGCACCATGGAGCATTCGGGTATTGAATTATTCTATTGTCAGTTTGTCTCTTGTAGGAATATGATTTTTCGTCCTCTGTTTTTTTGTTCTTTCCCCAGTTTGATAGGTGTTTGATATCTCATGTCTTTTCCCCTTGTAGTTTCAAATTAAGTTAATTAGTGGGTTAAAGATTTGTATTGGCAAGTTGTGGTAGGTAGTTTTGTAAGCATTGGAAAGGAATCACGATTTGTATATAGTTTGTTATTTGACTGTCACAATTGGCATGCATACGTAATGGGAGAAAATTAAAATATGCGACAGTTTTATTTTAATAAATATTTTATGTTCACTGTTTTACCGTGGGTTGACACTATTAAAAATAGTGGACATTAAATTGAGCGGGACTGATGGTAATGGTACGACAGTCCGTACGCGTATTAGATTAGTTAGAACAATTTCCAAGTAATCAAATCTAATGAAAAGTCTTATATGAGAGCATCCACAAAGGGTGGGTGTATTTTTGCGGGTGTAAAGTTACCTTTACATTTTCTTTACACATCAGGGGGTGTAAGTACGTTTTTTGCTTCAACGGGAAACGATGTAAATCTAAAATGTATAATTTTTCATCTCTTTTCTTGGGTGGGTTTCGCTTGCAAAAGATCTAAAAATAAATGTAAATGTATATTTTATTTTACATATCTATGGTGGTGATGTATATTTACATCCCTTTACATCTTCTTATTGGAGACGATTCCAGTGACAAAGGGTGTATATTTAATATACAACTCCATATATATCCTAATGCATTTCGACATAAACCATGTACTTTTGGAAGTTACAGTACGACTACTGATATCAACTAGAAAACATCAAAGTGCACACACAAATTACGCCCGAACTATAACCACCAAGATTAGGATATCCCACAACCCATATAAAATCAAGCATCCTCCAAATAGCAACCAAACATCTCCAAGAATGTTAGTGGGGTATAACTCTCAGTTAGTTGAGCTATTCCACATTCATCCATGTGGGCAGAAGTTCGAAACTCCAAAACACTCGATCAATATTTGTGTAAACTCTCTTTCCCAATTTCAAAATGCAAGTTTAACTTTGAAGTGGGAAAAAAAAAGGCACCTTACTTCTATGGTGATTTTATATTTTTTTAGACAATACGATATTCTAAATTATCTAATGTGTGAAAAGAGGGATCAAACTTAAGTGCAAGAAAGCGGTCACACTGCTCTTTCCCAACAGCATACGCTACATGAGAGACTTATACAAGAGAGAATACTAGCGTCAGTCAATTAGCGAAAGTGTGCGATGATTGTGATGTGGGCATCATAGCAGGATCCATAATCATGACTTCTACGCGATTGACCCTAGCACTTGTAATTGTGCAATTTATTCTTTGCATTTGGGTCTGGACTGGGACCAGTACAAGATAAAAATGGGCTCTCTGGAGTTGCAGTTTCTGGTGGCCCAAAGTCAATTTAATTTCAACCCAACCCAACCTTTGGCCTTGCTTCTTCCATTCCCACCGGCTTCATTCATGAGCACCATCATCTGTGATGCAGATGATAACACAATGGCGCCATCCTCCATCGGATAAAATGAGAGAATAAACCGCACCTTTTATAAGCTCCCGCACGCTACGCATCCCTCCCTCCCCACGTGACCGCCAAGATCGGAAACTTACTCTCTCCTCCTCCCTCCAATCACACCCACACCCACACCCACACACTCTCTCTCTCGCTGCAATCGCCGTCGCATAATCTTCTCTCCGGCACTTCCCAGGTACTGGCGATTCTCCCCTTCCCCATCGATCTCAATTTTCGCGCCTTTCTGCGATTCATTTTCCTAGGGTTTGTTCTTCTCGCCTTCCTATTTGCTTTGTGTGATTATTCCTCTGTTTGTTCCTTAGGGATTTTATGACTGATCTCCGATTGCATTTCTGTCTATTTTTATTTTCAAATTTTCACTGTTCGATCAACATCTGCCCGTACAATTGTATTCGGAAGGATCATTTTTTGCTCAGGATCGTTCCGTATAATTGATCTCGCAGATTGCATAAACTGTGAAGTTCATGTTTCGTCCGGTCAAATTAGGCTTATAGTTTTTGTTTGTCAAAGTAAATATACATGCTCATTTACTTATGCTTTAAAAAAAAAGAAAAAAAAGAAATTCTTTTATGGGTAGATGCATGCATGAGTTTTTTGTATTTTTTCCCACATTTTTGCTATAAGGTTGAAATCCTTGAGTGTAGTACTTTTCTCTTTCTAAAACACGGTTGCTCCTTCCAATAATAGACAAAAGTTTGTTCCTTTGGAAGTCTTTATCAGAATTTAGTGAAAAGATATAATCTATTTAGTTTGTCTACCACTAAGATTTAAATCTGTGTGATGTGCTCCTTGTTATGCACCAATTCCTTGTTCTTGCATTTCTTGATTGCTAACAATGATATGCTGGTATATATTCACTTTAAACTTAAAAGAAGGCTATAAATTGTAAAACAGAAATCTTAGGAAATTTTTGTAATTTATGTAGTGCCTAATATCTGAATAGGATTTCTTTTTGTAATTAATTTTTTTAATCAGTTACCACTTACAACTATAAACTGGCGCCCATCAGTTAGATTATCTATAATTTACTGTATCTTACTTTTAGAATTGTTTCATTGTTTTATCAGCCAATGCATGTGATGATCATTCTCCCTTGTACCCCCCTAAAAAAATGATTGTGCTCAAATTGGTGACTAGTCCATGCCTTTTTATCATATTCTGATATATTTTCTAGAAGGATAAGCACAAGCTATGCATATGCAACTTGATGACGATAGAATAGGAATAGGCTGTATGGGATGAGAGTGGATTGGTTGGAAGAAGGAACCAATTAAACATGGAATATTCTGTAATTAAAGTGCTATCCTTGGCTATTAAATTTATAGTTAAATTGTTTTATATGGAGTAGTGGTTCCTATGCAGAGGCAATTTCGTATGCGTTTTTATTTTTTATTTTATTTTTATAATTTCATGTTGAGTGTTCTGTAGTTAGAAGGATCCATATAGAAACTTTACAATTTTTTATTAGATACATTCCAAAATTTCATTTGCTTGAAATACCCTTTGCTTAAATTGGATTTGTTGTGTAGTAATTATCTGGGGCATTTTTCTAGTGTTCTTTGCAGGTAGTATTGTCTGCAAACAGAAAATTGTGCTTATTTGATCTCAGAATCCCATGGTGTTGTTCATTTGCACTACTTTTGTAATATGGTTCTTATTGACTGACATGACTTATGTTTCTTTAACTGTTTTCTGTCTTATGTTCTTTTAATTGCTGAATAAATAAACAATTTTGTTTTTCAAATGGTCATGTGAATACATTGTGTGTCAAAACTGGAAAATTGGTAATGCTTGAATTGTGCAATTTATAAATGTTATATAACAACAGTAAGTGAAAAAAATTATCCCTTGTCATCACAGTGTTCTTTCCTAAGATTTTCCTTTTAAAATTCATTTCGCTTATAAGTCAAAAGATGTTTGATTGGCTACGTTAAATGGACTTCGGTTTCAAATTCGGCATGTAAAGCTTTTTAGTTCCAAATAGTAGTAGAAAATGACACCACTCAGATAGCATGTTGGACGTACAACTACATAGGAAATATTGAGAGAACTGGTGGTGCAAATTTTTTTTTCATTTTCTATATGTGTGGACACAACTGTTGGATTTGTCTTTTAAAATGAAATCATGAGAGAGATCTTAAGCATTAATTTACATGTTTGTTATGTATGAAATACATTGTTTAGCAACCTAGTTTGTACTGCTCATCTGTTATTGTTACAATCATTTTCTATGTGCTCAAGCAAATGGAAGAATAATATTCTCTCTCCTTTGTCTTGATGAATTTCAGGTTCTCTTTGTAGATGGCTAAAGTCAACAAGTTGCGACGTGGATCTGACTCCCAAGCTTTAAGGATGTCCCGGTACCCATTAAAGGTTCTTAAAGGCGTCCATTCAAAAAAGAAATCTCACAAAGCAGTGGAAAAGAAAGATTGGGAAGATGCGACCTGTTCAGTCTGTATGGAGTTCCCTCACAATGCTGTTCTCCTTCTTTGTTCCTCTTATAATAAGGGTTGTCGCCCTTATATGTGTGCTACTGGCCATCGGTATTCCAACTGTCTTGAACAATACAAGAAAGCATACACAAAAGTATGTTCAATTCAAAGTCCGCAACCATGGACTGGATCAATGGATAGTTTAGGTTTGAATTTAACTGAAGGTGAGCGCAATGAAAAGACGGAATTACCGGAGCTTTTGTGCCCGCTTTGTCGGGGGCAAGTGAAGGGTTGGACAGTGGTGGAACGAGCACGGAAATATCTCAATGCCAAGAAGAGAACTTGCATGCAGGATAACTGTTCATTTGCTGGAAGTTATAAAGAGCTCAGGAAACATGTTAAGTCAAAGCACCCATTGGCACGGCCTCGAGCAGTGGATCCGCTACTTCAAGAAAAATGGAAGAGGCTTGAGTGTGAAAGAGAGCGGAGTGATGTTATTAGCACAATAATGTCATCTACGCCAAGGGCAGTGATCGTGGGGGATTATGTGCTGGAGCCAAACAACGGTGGCATTTATAGTGATTCTGATTCTGATTCTGATCTAGATGATTACATGGATGATTTAAGGTTAGGGTCATTTGATTTTGGAATCATCCCACGGAGTAGGTATCAAAGGGACTACGACTCATTGGATGAGGATGATTTTTCGCATGCTGCAGCTTCTAATTCTGCTGCTGCACCACGACGTAATTATCGAAGAGGCTATATAAGGGTTCGAAGGGCTGGAAGGGTTAGGGGGCAGGCGCATCGTGGAAATAGAGAAGCCGGGCGATTTTTATGATTAAAACGGCCTAAAACTTGGGGAAGACTGCATTCTACTTTCACAATTGGTTTTTTTTTACTGTATTCACCGCATTGCTGCACCTTGTTGTTATGGGTACCAGTCAGAACTATTATCATTTCATTGGAAAGTGAGGCAGTTGACCCCGCTGTTTGGTTTAGTAATAGCATTTGCTTCTGTGGCCTGATTTGCACACTGTGATTAGTGACAGGTTACAGATTAACAGACTGTAGAAAAAGCAAATGGCAGCGCATTGCCCCCTGGATATTTTAGGGCATTTTCACACTCAATTTCCCTCGTAGTAGGTTGTATGGATCAGTTATCATAAGCCCTCGTTGTAGGTTGTATGGATCGGTTGTCGTTTGGTTATGATTGTTCGTTATTTGAACAGGGACAAAAATTGTGCTCTCATTTTTTGTTAAATTCTAAATTCAGTGCCTTACTGTGTTGATTCTTTTGCCAATTTATAGCTTGTGGAAGATGCCTGTTCTGATGTTCTTATTTTGGATGCTCCGGGCTTTGTTTATGTCGGCCACCTCTTGCTTTGCACTGCGCATATGGTATTTATTTTCAGGCCCATCCAAATACCTTTGAAGTTCATTTAGGGTCCCTATGTAATTTCCCATAGATAATTTTTCTATTTTTATAGTTGAAGTAAATTACTTTTTCTTTTGGTCAAACGGTAAAATGATAAAAATTGAGGGGCTCGATTACAATAATTACAAAGGCAACCAATCACTTGAACCCATATTCTGACCCAAACAAAGACCCATTGAAGCAAATTACTTGAAGAATTTGGTTCTGATATGCAGCTTCCTCCAGAGTAAATGGATTTGATATGATATTCTCGCATATATGGTATGAATTTTGTGCTGTATCTTGCTTGTTTCGAGTCTTTTTGACTTGGCAAGCTGTTTAATGCTATTTCTACACGTGCCCCTATTTGATGGATCTTAAGTAACAAACAGAGCAGGATAAATGGGTAAAACTGTAAAAGATAGAAGACCCATTCAAGCAAGTAAATAATATTTTCATCTGAATTAAGTACATGAACATCTCAGATCATAAAGTAATCGAACAACCCAGATCAAACAGCATGATTTTTCTCAGCCACTTTGGACCCTTTTTTGCAGTGCCATGACAATCCTCTCAATACACCCCTTAATTTCCTCTGCTCAAATACACCAAGAAAAATATATTAATTACCATACCCAATTTTGGCATATGAATTTTTTTTTCAAAAATGTGAAAGCAACAATTTGATTATTATGCAAGTGATTTACCAAAAAGTTAGCATTGGGTTCTGATCCAGTGGCCTTTTTGTTCCTGCAAATGATGGATTTGGGATTGCACGATATGTCTACTTGTGGGACTAAGTGCTGATATCTCCATTTGTTTTTTGTTCTTCTGAGTCTCACTGGAGTTGTGAACCTTTTGCCACCCACCTGCTATGTGCACATACATTTCAGTTTGATAATTTATACATTCATGTGCATTTTTACCATCGGGAGTGATTGTCTGGTACCGGATACCAATCTACATATTGTCGTATCAACAAAACATCGATAATGTAACAAGTACTGTAGATGGGTACCGCTACCAAACAATCTTTTCCCTTCTATTATATAGACATGAAAACTTACCCTCAGCTTAGGCTTTGAACCACTCTTAGGCCATTGCACCTGTTGGGAACCACCAGTTGTTCTTAGCTCTTGAGCATAAGCAAGGAGGTGAGCCCGGCGATCATAGCCGCCTGTTTTTGCCATCTGACGAGGCTTCCGGGAGTTTTGGTTGGGCTTAATCTTCTTAAACTGATCAGTTTTCTGATGGGAATGGGAAGCTGATGATGGTGATGGTGATTCAACATAGACGGTGATGATGACTTCCTTCTTGTTAGGCCTCTCTTTTGTGCCATTCTTCTTCTTCTCCTCCTGCTCTTTCTCCAACTCTTGTTTAGCCATGGTTTTGGGATGTGCTTTTGCTTGTGATTGAATCATATAAATTGTTCTTGAAAATAGAATTCCAACCTACTCATCGAAACACAGTTAGACAAGTGTAATACACTTGAAAGCAACAAAACATATATGAAAATAATCAACAGGCAAAAATATAATTCCTCCCTCTTATCATTTACCTACCTTTTTTTTTTACCCGTAAAAAATATACTAAAAAAGAATTACGTTACTTAATTCCCAAAAACCATATTCAGGAACTCTAACCTTAATCCTAATTTTTTGATCTCTAAAAAAAATATAACTAACAAATTAATTTGTTTCCATGGCAAACCAAGGCAGCCTCGAGTTTAATAACAAAGAGAGAGGCAAGCCACTAGCCTCATTACCAAGCCACGGCGGCCATGGCCTGTTCATTGTTTGTTATGGCAGCCAAATTCTAGAACTTTTAACAAATCTTTTTGTTATTTTAGGATAATTTTATAATAAAATCCAAAATGTGGGTGGAATAGAAAGAACTCAAGTTGTGTTTGGTTAATGGGTATGTGAAATTATTTGTTTTCCTATGTTTGGTAAGTCCAGGCTTTTGAAATGATTTTCTAGCTTATGGGAAAATATGGGGAAAATGTAACCCTCCATCTAGCTTGGGAAATGATTTCTCTCCTCATGGAAACCACGACAAGCATTAATTACAACTTTTTATGACCAATTTACCACTATTAACAATTAAAAATACCATGACAAACATGAATTACACTTTTTAATATGCCTTTTGATTTAGGGATATAATTGGAAAACTAAACAAAAGTATTTCCAATCCTTACACTAACCAAACATAGGAAAGGAAATAAAATGATGTTTCCTAGCAAATTATTTTCCCAACATTACCGATCATGAGAAAAGATTCGATTTCTCTTCCCATAAGAAACTACATGGGGATTAATTTCCCATCAATTCATTTCCGTAAACCAAATGACAATAGCACCACTTTATTTCAATATAAATAATTTTCATTTATCAAGAAAATAATATAAATCTTCTACATGGCTTAAAAATATATATATATATATATATATAAATGTTTTCAATAATGCAGTGGTGCAAATCAAATATTGGCCTTTCTATTTTCGGAGAAATTTATGTGCTCCAAATACAAAACGACCTGACATACAAAAATGAATTCCACATTTTTTCTGTTTAGCACGCATTCATTTATACTATTTTGCTGTCAAGCTACTAGCTAGTGCCATCTGACCAGGACAACTTTGGACTGGAAATTGAAATTGAGTTCAGCCAGACTCAAATCATTTGGGCAAAGTGCTCAAACCCATTTGCAGTCAGAAGTTTAGGTCCATTAACGTAGAAATTGGGCACTCACAAAAATGATATGGGCTTAAAACTCATCTGAGTTTAGAGCACAAGAGAACAAGTCTACCACCAAACTGACAATCTATAATGCATGAATGCTTTCTACCCAAATAAAAATTGCATGGGAATATTGCAGTAAAAATTACAAATGAACTGCCAGATAGGAATTAAAATTTTGCTTATAAGATTTCAAGCTGAAACCAACTCTTGAAAAGAGAAGAAGAAGGAAACCTCATACCATTAACAATGTCACTAAAGTTATAAAATCTCTTCGTTAAATTTGTTCGCCAAATGATGTGTCAGTATACGCATTAGTATCTCACTTATTATAATACAATCTCTAAAGTCTCCAAATTTTGTCAAATATTCTCAAACTGTTGACATTACCGAAATAAATATCTCCGAAATTTCCGAGAAATCCTGGAAATATATTGCTCCCCTTGCCCCCCATTATCAGCAGCCCCAGCTACGGATATTTTGAGAGATGTTTCGGTAATATCGGAGATATTTAAAACCTTACTCATGTCATAGTAAGTCTACGTAGTCCATTCGCTCTGGTTCGCCATATATAATATGGGGATAAATAGTCCACATGCACCTCTTATCCAATTGCCCTGCTCACAACAACAAAGTAAATCCAGCATTGCCTACGCAAGTTTGTGTTCTTTCATTGTTTTCATTTGGATTTTAGTTGATCTCATAAATCTTTGTAGGGTTTTGCAAAATATCTCTAGCCTAGTACAACTCATATTCTAATCCATTGGTTAATGACGTTTTACATAAAGTAGCTAGCCTTATCAACAAAATTTCCCCAATAAGACGAGAGAATCCTAGGGTTTAGACAAATTAGTACTTATTATGTTTTATAAAAGAAAACAATCAAAATTTTGTTTTTGTTTACCAACTATATCCATTTCATCTTTCAAGCCAATGGGTACTACACAAAATCTCATGCCACAAGAGCAAACTTGTGGCATTCTCTTTTTGAAACCGAAAAAATAAAATCCATTCAAGTTGAGTATCAGTGACATCAATAATTGTGAATAGTAGAATTGTATGTATACGAAATGTATATCAATGATGACAACTGTCATATGGTACAGTTGTTCACGAGCACGTAAGTGATTCTTTTAATAATCTTTTAACTAAAAAGGAAATATTTAAAGTAACGCTCTTTCAAGTATCAACCTATGGACCCTATTTATTTTTAACAATAATTTGGTCCAACACTGAACATAAATAGAAAGTGTGAGAGAGAGAGAGAGAGAGATCTTGAGGCACCACATAGCAAGGTTGCCCCCTTGCTTCACCAAAGGGCAGAAGCCAATTTTTTCCTTAACCCCATCAGTCATCTATGAGCCGCCCCAAGTTGTGATGCTATGGGTTGTGACCCTTTTCATTTTTGTTACTACACCTTGGAGTCTTGACCCATATCTCTCTCTCTTGGTTTATGCATAAAAACCATTTGCTTCATGCCCCTTGTTTTTGTCTATTGGCCATTGGGAGCCCCATGCGCCACTTCGCATTTCACATCCCTTGCTTACCTTTGAGTGCTTGACCTGTTCCGCCCTTTAACTTTTACCATATATTGATCGATCTGTCCATTTGGACTATTTTAATGGTACAAGATCCAATCAATCATTTCTAAATTTGTATATTTTATGGGATCTAATCTCTATTGAACAAGTTAATCAAGCAACGAAAACTAGTTTACAACTTTTCTCCACAAACATTGTTTGAATGCTTTAAGCTGCCCTTTCCATATATAGTACTGCAACACTGATTCCCAAAATTCAAAATTCTCCACTACTCATGGTTTTAATTTGTGCTCTTGGAAACATAAAATGATTTTAAAAAAATCATATATGAAATGTAAATTCTATCCTTTTACAGTTTTACTTTACTTATAATTTTACTCCAATCAAAGAATTAGTTTTATAGATTCCGATAATAATAATAATCCAGGAGATGGATTGAAATTGAGAACTACTATTTATATTTCTTTCTTGAAATTTTACAAACGAGAATGAATACATGATGACTTTTTTGAAGTACCAATAACAAGTACCTTGAAATCTTACAAAATATTAAGTTGTTAGCTCATGAATTATCTTGCACAATGCATGAGACGTCCACTCCTAAACTAACATATATTAATTCTTAGGGTAGTTTTCTAATCCCAACTCACCTATACCTAACCAACAACACAAACAAAAATGAAATGGATATTTTCTTTTAATATCTCTATCAAAGAACTTAATTTTATGAATTGCAATCATGATATAGTACCATTCTGTGATGGTAATTTAGTCATATATAATACTTCATATAGGAAACTAGTAATTACGAAACAATAATAATATAATATGATATGAAGGAAAAGAAGCTTTAGAGAACACCGTGAGATATGAGCTTTAGAAATTGTTCATCTAAAACCTCACCCTAAAATTGATACCATCATCAAATTAAAATTCATTGACGAAGACAATACGATTGTTGTTTCCTTGCTTGAGCATGGTTCATGAGTAAAATGCATTGAAGTTTTCATCTTATATCATGCTCGAGCATGGTATGTATATCATCTTCTTAAAATCACATTCTCCCATCCTCTATTTCTTTTATCTATGTAACACTACTTAAACGAAATTAATAGAATCGATTATATTGTATGAATAGAAAAATTGATGTGTGGTGTGTTATTTTTTAACTGAATTATTCTATCACTCAACACTGATACGTGACAAAAATGATGACTTCACTTGAACTTTTTCGTATGATGGGAGCTCATGGTTTACTCTCACTCTGTGTGATGTAGTGCCCATAGGCCCTTTAGGCCTCCAAAGGGACAAACAGTTTTGTACCCTAGGGCAACTGAGGACATAGTGAGAGAGGAAGCCCCCAACCACCACCCCTTTAGGCCTCCATATTATTGCATTCATAGGTTTTTGACATTGGTTTTTAAGTGAAAATAATTATATTCTATCTAAAAGGAAGTTAATTATTACATGCTATAGATATATACGTACTAAATTGAATAGATGTTGACCACACATTACATATATGGTCCCCTTCCTCTCTTCCTCCCTGCTACCTACTGCCCCCTTCCAGTCTATGAGCTTCCTTGATAAGCTTCCTCATCTCTTCAAAGACGTACGGGTAAGGCTTACTGGACCAACTTGTGATCATTCACAACTTTTCTTTCTTTTTTGATACAAGGAGTGGGAGGAATCGAATTTACAATAATTTCGGATGCAAGGATAAATGCTCTTAACTTAAGCTCCAAGCTCATTTTATCATTCGCAAGCTTTCTCAAACATGCTGTTTAAATAAATAAATAAATACATATATATATATATAATTAAAAAAAGGGCATTACATTACGGGACATAGCCTGAAAACAAAACAAAATTAAATTATGCAGGGAAAACCAAAAGCATGCATTTTGCAGAAAAATAAAACTAGATGGGTTTTTCACTAGCTAATTGATTTGTGAGATTTATGAAGTTTTAATACGAATAATAACAATAAAAAAAATTAAATCAAACCATCGAGGTTTTTTCAACACATTTCCTACAAAAACGACTACCACAAGACTGTCCACCCTCTTACAACCACAAATATATAAACAGCTTGCAATTTTCCCTCTACTTATATTTTACGAAACGATGCCGTTTAAAATTTAAGGGTTGAACACTTTGTAGATTTTAGTATTTTAGCATTTAAAAATTAGATGGAAAATGAATTAAATAAGCATGATACAAACATCAAACCACACAAGAAGAACCAAGTTTCCTATCAATTCCAAAAAAAAGACTTCATTCCATTAATGAATGGAATTGCGGCGACTGGGGAAGGTAGCATCTAGGCAGTGTTGCAATGAATTTAAATTACATGAAAATAATTTAAATTCATCAAATAAATAAGTAAAACATTTCCCCACAAATCTATGAGTAATGAGTGCATACGCCCACCTAATCAGATTGAATTTTTGGTGCCATTATCCTGGTAGGACTGAAATACATTAAAAGATTTCTCTTGATCATTATGTTGTTTGGCAGGGATTAAGTGGCAGCGTGACATTTGGCTTTGGATGTGAGGTACATAATACATTAATTGATCCCTCTCCATCACCAGGCTATTTACCAAGGATTAAATGGGAATGCGACACCTGGCTTTGGATGTAAGGTACATTAATTGATCCCTCTCCATCGCCAGGCTATCTATCAGGCGGAGGGAGTGACTAACTCGACAAGGGTTTGATCGTGCCTCTAAAATATCAATGCTCCTCTGGTGACACATGATATCCCAGTGATCGGGGTGGTGTTCACATGCCCAATCATTGATTCACATGTTCTCCCGTCAGGTTCAGCTAGGAGGCCCTTTATTAACACCCGGAGTAGTCCATCTGGTCGGGTCGATATATGGGGGACCTAGTCTCTTATGGCCACGTGGTGTTCTCTAATAAGCTCGACTTATAGTGATAGTATGAACCATTAATGAATGGAATTGTGTCAAATGGGGAAGATAGCATCTAGGCAGTGTTGCAATGAATTTAAATTATTTTCCTGTAATTTAAATTCATCAAATAAAAAAAAACATTTCCCTTCAAATCTATGAGTAATGAGTGCATACGCCCACCTAATCAGATTGAATTTTTGGTGCCATTATCCGAACAAACCTCTTCAAATTTTATTTTTATTTTTTATAAATGCAATTACTGCTTGATATTTTAGAGAATAATAAATTATTTTTGATTGGCGGCAGGAGACCGAATTATATACATGTGGCTCTCGACATGGCTGGCTCCAGCCATTAACCTCAGCCACAGCAGCAGCCAACTCGCGCCGACACCTCTACCCCCTCCTCAACCCAGTCCAACTGGCTCCTCTTGTTCAGGGCCCCACCCGTCCTAGCGTCATACGTGTCCAGTCCCTCCTCCATCAAACGCCTATATAAACTCCCTCCTCTCTCACTCTCTCCTCGGAAAATAAAATCCCATAGAAAAAGAAAAAGCACAGAACCCAAAAGAGAAAAAGAGTCTGATCGGGCCTTTTCTCTCTCTCACTCTCACACTGCACGACGCACGACGCACACGACAGTTCGTCATGACGGCCTCCGTCCAGAACCGCCAGTTCACCCGTCTCGACGCCCCCATAAACGGCCTCGTCCGCTCCTTCAACTTCTCGGATCTCACTCCCCCGAAAACCACGGCAAACTTCGTCCAAAACGATGACGCTTCTTACTTTTCTTCTTCCGACGACGACGACGAAAATGACAACCCCCTCGGCGAGTACATGGATTTAATCCGCAAGGGCAACAGCGAATTAGAGCCGTCGATCTTAGACCCCAGAGATGAGGCCACGTCTGACAACTGGGTGCACCGAAACCCATCCATGGTCCGCCTCACCGGAAAACACCCCTTCAACTGCGAAGCCCCGTTGGCCCGCCTCATGCACCACGGCTTCATCACACCGGTGCCGCTCCACTACGTCCGCAACCACGGCGTGGTCCCCAAGGGCACTTGGCAGGACTGGACAGTGGAGGTCACCGGCCTGGTCCGCCGCCCTGCCCGGTTCACCATGGAGCAGCTCGTCCGCGAGTTCAAGTCACGTGAGTTCCCCGTGACCCTGGTCTGCGCGGGAAACCGCCGGAAGGAGCAGAACATGGTGAAGAAGACCATCGGCTTCAACTGGGGCCCAGCCGGCGTCTCCAACTCGGTGTGGCGCGGCGTGCCGCTTTGCGACGTGCTCAAGCGGTGCGGGATCTACGGGCGCAAGAGCGGGGCCCTCAGCGTGTGCTTCGAGGGAGCCGAGGACCTGCCAGGTGGCGGCGGCAGCAAGTACGGCACGAGCGTGAAGAAAGAGGTGGCGATGGACCCGTCGAGGGATATAATTCTGGCATACATGCAGAATGGCGAGCAGCTGATGCCGGATCACGGGTTTCCGGTTCGGGTCATCATACCCGGGTTCATCGGCGGCCGGATGGTGAAGTGGCTGAAACGCATCATCGTAACGACGCGGGAATCGGATAATTATTATCATTACAAGGACAACAGGGTGCTGCCGTCGCATGTCAATGCGGAGCTTGCTAACGCTGAAGGTAACAGTTTTTATCGAACACGTTATCTGCGCCTTAACTCAATTTAAGCGTTTTGATTGGTCCGTGTTGATGTGTGTGTGTTTGTGTTTTTAACTTTTCACCGGAGCTGATGTTAGTTACTGTGGGTTTGTGCGCAGCGTGGTGGTACAAGCCGGAGTATATAATTAACGAGCTGAATATAAACTCGGTCATAACGACGCCGTGTCATGAGGAGATTCTGCCGATAAACTCGTGGACCAGTCAGAGGCCGTATACCATGAAAGGCTACGCATACTCAGGTACATGATTTGTGTTTATATTATTGGACCTGCAGGCATTTATGTTTATTTATTCATTTAGGGGGTTTTTTTTTATTTTTATTTTTAGGTGGGTGTCAAAAGTAGAGAATCTTTTACATGGAGATGAATGAAACACGTTAGATATTTGATAAATATAGTTGGGTTGGGTGCATCAAAAACCTCATTAACGTAAAAAAATGGACACTGATTATTTTTTACTTTCTGTAAATTACAATTTGACTTATCGCATAAATAATTCATAAAAAACTCAAAAGTATCGCAAAAATAATTCATAAAAAACTCATCAGTAAAAATTTCAACACACATGCTAAATTGTGATTAGAAGTAAAAAATAGGAGGCAAGTATAAAAATTACTATACGTTGGTTTTGTCAAAGCAGATATTTATGAAGTGTTTTGGAACTACTTGTATATTAGAATTATTGAAACGTCATAACTTTTTATTTTTTTTCAAAATTAAAAAAGGAAAAAAAGAGAGAGTTTCCACTTTTCGTAACTGAGCTGTCTTGTGTGTTTTACAGGGGGCGGGAAGAAAGTGACACGAGTAGAGGTGACAATGGACGGAGGGGACACGTGGCAAGTGTGCACACTAGACCACCAGGAAAAACCAAACAAGTATGGAAAGTACTGGTGCTGGTGCTTTTGGTCACTGGAGGTGGAGGTCCTCAGCCTGCTTGTAGCCAAAGAGATTGCGGTGAGGGCTTGGGACGAGACCCAAAACACCCAGCCTGAGAAACTCATTTGGAATGTCATGGTAAAATACCTTTTTTCTTTTTCTTCAATTTATACAGTTAACTTTTTTGACAAAGCGATATTCTAAATTAATATACATAGAGAGAAATCGAATTCGAGTGTGAACTCACTTAATCACCTAACTTAATCCACATATTTCAACCAAATAATAAATTTGGTAGGCCAAGTTTGGCATGGCTATTTGGTGTGGTCAAATCCAACTGTCACTATCTGCCTATACCATGATTTGGAATTTAGGCCAGTAATGTGATTCCATGTGGGCCATTGAATTTGTGCTAAACCTTGGACCCTTGAGCCTTGGAAGCCCGCAACCTTGGATCTCTGCTGTTGTTTGTATAAGAATATTTTGGACTGTGCGCGCACTTCCCTCTAGTGTTGTGTGGGTTGTCTGGTTTTTTTTGTTATTATATTTGGTCTTTGTTTGCATCACTGCCTCATTGAGAGGTGGACAAAGAGTTTAGGAGTTGAATATTCTATGGTTCTCATGACTGCAACTGATTACCACAATAAAATATGGGAGCTGGAACTGCTCCACCATTATTGGCCAATTTGATTAAGATTATATGAATTCTTTAAAATCAGTTTATAACTTGTTGATAGATTATAACTGCATTTTTTTATTGAGTAACGTTACATGTATCATATTTACTAATCACGTTTCTATTTATTTATAGAGATATGATTTTTTTCTTCTAATCAATAACTATGGTACAAATAATTTTAGGGGCTAATTGATATGTGCTTATGATTTTTTTTCTTTTCTTTTTCCAGGGAATGATGAACAATTGTTGGTTTCGAGTTAGAAGCAATGTGTGTAAGCGACACAAAGGAGAGATTGGGATCGTGTTCGAGCACCCAACTCAACCCGGAAACCAATCGGGTGGTTGGATGGCCAAAGAAAAACACTTGGATTCTGAATCCAACACAACCCTCAAGAAGAGTGTCTCCACACCTTTCATGAACACCACTTCATCCAAAACCTACTCACTGTCCGAAGTCGAGAAGCATAACTCTCCTCAGTCCGCTTGGATCATCATTCACGGCCACATCTATGACTGCACTCGCTTCCTCCATGACCATCCTGGTGGCGCTGACAGCATCCTCATCAACGCAGGAACAGATTGCACCGAAGAGTTTGATGCCATCCACTCGGACAAGGCCAAGAAAATGCTTGAGGAGTATAGAATAGGCGAGTTGGTAACCACAAATTACGCTCCCGACTCCACATCCAATTCCCCTAACATATCTGTGCATGGGCCACATAGAACATCATCAGAAGATATTTCATTTCTCGTAACCCCATTAGCCCCGATCAAAGAAATCACGCCGGTTAGAAGCGTCGCGCTTACTCCACGCGAGAAGATCCCATGCAAGCTTGTGGCCAAGACATCCATTTCTCATGACGTGAGGCTCTTCAGGTTTGCGTTGCCTTCAGAAGACCAAGTTCTGGGATTGCCGGTAGGCAAGCACATTTTTGTGTGTGCCACAATTGAGGGCAAGCTTTGCATGCGGGCTTACACACCAAGTAGCTCAATTGATGAAGTTGGCTACTTTGATTTGGTGGTCAAGATTTACTTCAAAAATGTGCACCCTAAATTCCCCAATGGGGGGCTCATGTCACAGCACTTGGACTCTCTTCCAATAGGTGCAGCCATAGACATAAAGGGTCCTCTAGGGCACATAGAGTACACTGGCCGTGGTCACTTTTTGGTCAACGGAAAGCCCAAGTTTGCAAAGAAGCTTGCCATGCTGGCAGGTGGGACCGGGATCACGCCCATTTACCAAGTGGCTCAAGCCATATTGAAGGACCCAGAAGACGAGACTGAAATGTATGTGGTCTATGCGAACCGTACAGAAGACGACATTTTGCTGAGAGAAGAGCTTGATGGTTGGGCTAAGAAGTATGAGAGGTTCAAGGTTTGGTATGTGGTGGAGAATGGCAGGGAAGGGTGGGAGTACAGCGTGGGCTTCATCACCGATACTATAATGAGGGAGCACCTTCCAGATGGATCGGACGGTTCTCTTGCATTGGCCTGTGGGCCCCCACCGATGATAAAGTTTGCTGTGCAGCCCAATTTGTTGAAGATGAACTATGATACCACAGATTCGTTGCTGGTGTTTTGAAGGGTATTTGTAGTGGTTGAACTTTACATGTGTACATATTTATATCAGTGTTCCTCCTCAATTATGTGTATCTGTTCAAATTTTTGTATTATTTTCCTTCTATTTTTCCCACTTGGTAAAAAAGGGGGACTTTTCTTTTGGTATTTCTCGTGTCGAGAAATATGTCAAGGCCATTCTATATATAGTTTTGTAGCCAAGTGTTTGGCTTCCCTTGCTCTATATAAAATATATATAACAACAAGCCATATGTGGTATGAATTTATTTCAAGACGAGTGATACAACCAGTTACGCGTAATTAATTATTGACCGTAGATTTATTGAACTTCACAACGCATCTATGATTAGTAATCATTAACACGTTCACCGCGACACTGAGTTGGGTACCCTTTGTATCTATTCTTCTTTGGTAAGTTGAAAGGTCAGCTAACCTAGTTTCCACATCCACCCAACATGTTACATGACCCCTCCTCCTCCAAGTATTCTGCATGCCATTTGTTTATCATGGAAAAAACAGCTAAGAGAATCTTCTTGCATATATTATATATATATATATATGTATGTAGTTGTCTTGTTTCCCACCTGAGGAGGTTGAGTGATGAAGTTTAGTTTCTTCATTCATCCAGGCATGAACCTTGCTCTCCAAACGCTAAACAATTCCCAGTTCTTGCATAAACGACAAAATTCTTCTATTTTAATATATATACTTTTATTGTATTAATATAAATAGAAAATGAGTCATTCTTGTGTAACCAGCTGTGAGATTAGGCTTGTGGGCAATTTGGCTTGAGCCGTTTTCGTCTCTCTCAAGTAATAATAAAATAGAAAAAACACATGTCATTCTTAATCAACTAGACATAATAAATAATTAGGGTAACCAATTAAATATTTGGTTCTTGTGTTGTGTTTGTTGGTGGGGTTTTCCCACTACACTAGGTAAATATAATATTATAGTAAAACTTTGAAACGCCTCCAAAGACATTGGATGTGATCATGGGAGGGTCAATTGTTCACAGGGCAAGCACCGCTGACTGACCTGTCATGGCAATCGATAGCTCGATCAAAGTGATGAAATCCTATGATATATACAAACCACTTGTAAATATGAAAATAGATTTGTCATCTACTTGCAAGAACTAGATTACAAGGATAGAAAGAGAAGTTTTAACTAAAAAAATCTAAGCAATCTTTCTTTAATAAGAAAATTTATATATTTTTAGCTACATCTATTAGACCCGAAAATCAAACCCAAAACTAATTCAAAATTAATTGGTAATGATTGAACAAGTTCTAGATCTTTTAACGACTGAGACAAAACTTTCATATCATTCGATGTGAGACACTCCCAACAAAATCAAATAACGATTGAGAAGACTAAATTAGAATAACCGAATGGTGTTAAACGAAATTGGTTGATTGATTTATATATTTTTAGCTACATCTAAGATGACGTTGTTATAGTACAATAATTTGGGCAATTGATTGATTTATAGCATCTATTCTATTTTATATTTGTGTTCAAAATATATACCTCAGTGAATGACGTGCACGTATCCGTCTTTGTTCAATTCATGCGTGAAACGACATGCTGTCCTGTAATTTCTTGGTTTGCTGTTTCTTTCGTTCCAAGTTTCAAGAGAGTTTTGGAAAGTTTGACATGTACTTGCAGAAGCCCTAATTTCAATAATAAGCTTCAAGAATTAAAGAATCATATTGAGATTTGATAGCCATCTATGACGATTGTTTTGTGTACGTCACCGTTTCATACGTAAGTAAGACTATATGTAAAAGCATATAAACCATGTTGTTCTAGGTTTGCAGTGATCTCTGCATGCATGCATTGTTGTTTGTCTTGCTGCCTTTTTATATTATATCTGGTTTCTTTGTGACATAATTTCTGGATCAAAGTACAATGTTGGTTTGCATATTTTGTATGAATCCGATCAGGTATGTTCTTTTGATAGGCAGAGAAAAAAAAAGCATTTTAGAGAAGGCCAAAGTCAAGTATTTGTTTACTACTCGATTCAGATTACCATTCGAATTTTGAGTCTCTTCCAATATTAGTAAGGAGTAACGAGTAGGTATATTTGTAAGAACATTTTATTTTATTTATGGGGGAGAAGGATTTTGATCGTAGAACTAGTTTCAATATTGAAAAAGAAAAGTACAATTAGACTAATAAATAGTTGGTCCATTGCTTACATTTTTTGTGTTGTGTCCTACTGGATCACAGTAGAACGATGGAAGAAACCTTGACTTCATCATCACTTGCAAAACAACTACATAGTCTCAAAACTTTGATGATACCCACCCCAATGTTTGGAAGTAATAAGGATAAATCTAACCCGATCGGGTCGATCGGTTTGATGGGTTTGTTTGCCCAACCTTAGTCAGGCACGACCAATATGATTACAACATGTAAGATTGTCCTATGCAAAGAACATATATATAGTTTTTTTTTGTTTTTTTGTTTTTGGTGACAATGGGGGTAAGTGGACATCACTTTCTTGACAGAATCAAACAGAGCAACTTGTGGAAAACAATTCCATGAGCACTCAAGTTACATTACAGAGGCTGGAATTTATGCAAATGTGAATCATAGATTCTCACACCCTATAATTTGTTAACTCTTCTCGAACCAAAATTACTAAGGTACACTTTTGAACAATTAGCTCAGAATTATGGAAATCAAGTTAACACCAGCAAATATTTTGTGTCACAATCAGCCAGAATAATCTTATCCCAGAAAAAAATGTCACAGCACTAAAATTATTCACAAGCATAAGAATCACCTTTTGTTCCTTTCCAACTTTTTATCAAAACCCCAATAAAAATCATAGGAATCCCTTTTTGCAGCATTTATATATAGTTGTGGATGTGCCAATAAAAATTTCAACAATCTGAATACAATTCACACACACCATCTTGATCATAAACCTAATTCCATGGCTCAGATAAGCTCTCTCTCTGCAGAAACTGAGACACTGAGCCAAGTCCTAGGCCTGGTGGAAGCATTCAAAGCCTTTGATGCAGACAATGATGGGAAGATCAATGCTGCAGAGCTTGGAGGGATTTTGGGGTCACTTGGGTACCAGGCAAGTGAGCAAGATGTGAGGGCAATGATCCAGCAAGGGGACACAAACAGAGATGGGTTCCTGAGCATAGAGGAGTTCTTGGGCATGAACACAAAGAACTTGGAATTTGGGGGGCTTGAAAATGTCCTCAAGAATGCTTTTGAAGCCTTGGATGTTAATGGGGACGAGGTTGTGACTGCTGAGGAGCTTTATGAGGTTGTGGGGGATGATTTGGGTTATGAGTTGTCTCTTGAAGACTGTCAGGGGATCATTGCTTCAATTGATATAGATGGAGATGGGGCTGTTAGCTTTGAGGACTTCAGACTAATAGTCAATTCCCTCTGATGAGATTAATCCTAGTGATGTGTTTGGTCAATATAATTATGCAGCTATATATGTGAACTTTTATACCAGTGTACCTCCAATCCTTCTGAAATAAATTATACTATTTCTCTACAAATGCTTTTTTTTTATTTTTTTATTTTTAATAAAGCACCTTTCCTTCAATATGTTCCACAGAATAAAAGAAAGCATGAGAATGCATCCATAAACAAAAAAAATTGGATTTTGTGGAGAGAGAAGAAGTGATAGAATTAAAAAAATTGTGATTACTTGAAACAGAGAGCTTAGAGTTGTACCTTCAAAAGTGAGTAAAATGACTTTCTAGCTAAAAATGAGGATGCCCTTTACTCATGATTTAGTTTAAATTTCCATAGCATCTTTATAATTTGTTTAGCAAAGTAGATGACATCTGCATAAAATTCCATATAAATTTTTGATAGTTAACAAAAACATGGTTAGAATTAATAACAATAAATTTTCTCAGCCGGTTGTAATAATTCTCAAACCGTATAAAACAAACATGGTCCACACCAAAGATAAAGCTAAACTGAAAAGCATAAAGGTTTCACTGACAATTAAAAAAAGTAAAAAGATGTTACACAATCAAAATACAACCACATGTTTGATGTTTCACAAAACAAAACAACCACCTCTGTAGACAAAGATTAAAAAACTAACCTGTATACTTTGGCTGTTTCCCCCATTCGAAACAACTCTTCGGACTCATCCTTCTACTCACTTTTGTAAGAAGAATCATGCGTATTTGGCTTTACGAACTCAGATATTCCTTTTGCAGTCAGCTTCATGAATCAAATACCCAAAAAACCCTAATTGCCCAATTGGAAGCCCCAAATAGAGAGAGAGACCGAGGACGAAATGGCGGTAAAGGGTTCAGTCGAAGGTTGGGTTGGGTTCTGAGGGTTGAGTGGAATGATAAAATTATCGTTTCAAAAAGCTGGCACGTGACTTTTTTATCGTCAATTTTGACGGAAACCATTTGAAAGGACCATTTTGATGAGTAGAGGATAACCAAAGAACTATTAGTGTCACAAAAAAACCCTAAAGGATGGTTCGTGATCATTTTGTAAATTTGAAGGTTTTTTTTTTTTTTTTTTTGGGGTTATCTGCTAGTGATGTCTCCTAACCTTTCACATGGGCTAAAAAGTTTCACCTATGAAAAGAAAAATGGACCCCTCAGGAAATGTTTCTTTCATTGTTGAATAATGGAATAAGAGGGCCATCCAATTTAATTTACAATAGATCTATTTATGTAGAACTGTAAGTAATGAGCTGATTACACAAGTATAAGCCTAGAATGATAATAGTGAATGCACTAGTCCCTTAGAGCAAGTCCAGCGGCAACACAAAACCGGGCAAAAGGCTGCCCTCGAGAGCCCAAACGTCCTCTAGCGCGCAACAATGAGCCTAGGCAAGCCCACAGGCTAATCTTGCCTAGGCTGTTGATGTCAGCAGCTGATTTTCAATTTTTTTTTACTGTTGGACCCACCAGCCCACATTGCCCAATGGTTACAAGCCATGTGGCATCTGCTGGAGCCTCCGATCAAAAAATCTTGCACAATCCAACGGTTGTCCAATTTTTGGCCAAAAAAATTTAAAAAAACTATCAAAATATTATGGAAATTTTTTCTATACATACCTACCAATATTATTCACTTTCCACACCAATTTAATTTCAAAATTTTATCCAAAAATGTTATCTTGATTTTTAGGTGAGGATTTTACGATAAATATTAACACTTGGAAATTGAAAATCTTATCCGAAAAGCCTATCAAAATCAATGGTTTAAGTATAAAAAATAAAAAATAAATTGAAGTGAATAGTAATTGCCTTAGACTTACCCTAGACTTAGCCCTCATGGGTGGAACCACAAATGGCAATGCTGACACTATTCACTTGAATAGTGGAGCCCTTGCCTTAGACTTAGCCCTTGTGGGTGGAAGTGCTCTTAGAATGGTAGGTGTAAGGCTCTAAAATGTAAGGCTGAAATAAGCCACGTGTAGTGATCCCAGAATAGCTAGATGTGTGGCTGAAATTCATTTTGTTGTGTGTGAATCCAGCTGAGGCTACCGAGTATATAGTACACGCTTTGTGTGCTCATTCTCATAGAAGAAAAATACAATCCTCTCTGCAATTTCAGCAAAAGAGAAGAAGAGCATTTCATCACTCTGTCTTTCTTCATTCTTCTATTTCTTCTCTTCAACATTTCATAGCCCAGCAAGAATACAAAAACACTAACAATTTAAACAGCAGCAGCACAATACAGGTAGATCGAGTTCTGTGTACAAAGAAAATGGAGAAAGCAAAACAAAGAGCAAATGGAACCCATATACTTGTGGTTCCTCTTCCTGCCCCAGGCCACATAAACCCAATGCTCCAATTCTCAAAACGCTTAGCATCCCAAGGTTTAAGGGTGACACTAGTCACCATCTCCTCTAAGACTCATGAGCCCATAGAAACCCGGTTGAGTATGGTAAATATTGAGCCAATTTATGCCACATACGAAGGAGCAGGCAAGATTGATTCAGAGAGCATGCTGCGGTGGCTCCTAACCATCTTGTCACAAAACTAACCAGATCTGATTTCAAAGCAAGAGAGGAATGGCTACCCAATTTGCTGCCTTGTCTATGAAGCAACCTTGACATGGGCTCTAGACATAGCCAAAGGGCTAGGCATTGCTGGGGCTTCATTTTTCACTCAGGCTTGTGCTGTTGGAACTGTGTACTATAATGTGCAACAAAAGTTGCTTAGGGTTCCTCTAGAAGAGGATCGAGTTTTGCTACCTGGGTTGCCTCTGCTTGAGCCTCATGATCTGCCCTCTTTCATCAATCATCCAGAGTCCTACCCATCCGTGTTTAAGATGGTAGTTGGCAGGTTTTCAAATATCACTGATGCTGATTGGATCTTCTGCAACACTTTTGATTGCTTGGAACCAGAGGTACTTATATATATTCACAAACATTTCTTCATCATATATACGGCTATAATCATATATTTGCAATGGTCTCCCTGGAGAAGAGCCACTTCTAGAAATACTAATATTGTCCCAAACTTAACCATCTATAAAGCTCAGTAAGTGTGAAATTTTATCATAAAAGTCTCGGTAATATTAGTAGTAGTTCCATTCATTATATGTTGTATTTCATTTAGTCAAGTTTTCAATGTGGGACTCATATTCTTTAACATAACCAACTTCTCTTAAAGAAACCATTTCAAAAAGACTGATTAAAGATGTTTGGGAAATTATAAGAAGTGAGAACTTGAATTTTAACCTGATTCATCATAGTCAAAAGACATTTTTGATAATGTAGTTTGAAGTGTTACTTCACGTTTCTTTTTAAGTATAGAGACGAAATTGGAAATTCAAAACTAACTACATGGATTACAATTGTCTTTTGGCCTAATTCACATAACATATGGAGCTTGAAGCTTGCTGCAATTCCCATTTAGCATTTAGTACTCTTTAAATAATTGAACTAGAAGAACCATTGGTTTCCCCTATGTGAACAATGGATGCCTCGGCGCTTTGCTCAATACTGTAAATATTTTTTTTCTCTGTGCATTATTGGTAGATAGTAGAATCTATTATTATGAAAGGTACTACTACTATTACCTATCTAGATCTTTATACTATAGCCCTACACCACATGTTAGCTTGAGGGACAACTAATGCCCCTTCACAACAGCCCTAGAAATTTGAGGACACATTTTGCCCACATGATATCGCTCACCTCATGGAAACTGACAGAAACCAACCATTCTTCTTATGTTGATTATACATGCTAGATTCTTTTTTTTTAAATGTTATAAGCCTACAGTACATGTTAGCTTGAGTGAAAATGCCCCTTTGGCAACTATAGCACATAGAATTTGAGGACATATTTGAATAATTCTTAAACCATACAAAACAAACATGGTTCACACCAAATATAAAGCTAAACTGAAAAGCATAAAGATTTCACTAACAATTAAAAAAAAGTAAAAAGACATTACACAATCAAAATACAACCGCATCTGTAGACAAAGATTAAAAAACTAACATGTATACTTTGGCTGTTTCCCCCCATTCGAAACAACTCTTCGGACTCATCCTTCTACTCACTTTCTACTCACTTTTGTAAGAAGAATAATGCGTATTTGGCTATACGAACTCAGATATTCCTTTTGCAGTCAGCTTCATGAATCAAATACTCAAAAAACCCTAATTGCCCAATTGGAAACCCCAAATAGAGAGAGAGACTGAGGACAAAATGGCGGGAAAGGGTTCTGAGGGTTGGGCTTGGGTTTAGTCGAAGGTTGGGTTGGGTTCTGAGGGTTGAGCGGAATGACAAAATTATCATTTCAAAAAGCAGGCACATGACTTTTTTAACGTCAGTTTTGACGGAAACTAATTGATGAGTAGAGGATAACCGAAGGACTATTAGTGTCACAAAAAAAACCTAAAGGATGATTCGTGATCATTTTGTAAACCTGAAGGACTATTTGTGACTATAAAGCAATGTTTTTTGTTTTTTATTTTTGGGGTTATCTGCTAGTGATGTCTCCTAACCTTTCACATGGGCTAAAAAGTTTCACCTATGAAAAGAAAAATGGACCCCTCAGGAAATGTTTCTTTCATTGTTGAATAATGGAATAAGAGAGCCATCCAATTTAATTTACAGTAGATCTATTTATGTAGAACTGTAAGTAATGAGCTGATTACATGAGTATAAGCCTAGAATGATAATAGTGAATGCACTAGTCTCTTAGAATGGTAGGTGTAAGGCTCTAAAATGTAAGGTTGAAATAAGCCATGTGTAGTGATCCCAGAATATTGGTCCAAAAAAGTGATCCCAGAATAGCTAGATGTGTGGCTGAGATTCATTTTGTTGTGTGTGAATCCAGCTAAGGCTACCAAGTATGTAGTACACGCTCATTCTGATAGAAGAAAAATACAATCCTCTCTGCAATTTCAGCAAAAGAGAAGAAGAGCATTTCATCACTCTGTCTTTCTTCATTCTTCTATTTCTTCTCTTCAACATTTCATAGCCCAGCAAGAATACAAAAACACCAACAATTTAAACAGCAGCAGCACAATACAGGTAGATCGAGTTCTGTGTACAAAGAAAATGGAGAAAGCAAAACAAAGAGCAAATGGAACCCATATACTTGTGGTTCCTCTCCCTGTCCCAGGCCACATAAATCCAATGCTCCAATTCTCAAAACGCTTAGCATCCAAAGGTTTAAGGGTGACACTAGTCACCATCTCCTCTAAGACTCATGAGCCCATAGAAACCCAGTTGAGTATGGTAAATATTGAGCCAATTTATGCCACATATGAAGGAGCAGGCAAGATTGATATAGAGAGCAAGCTGCAGTGGCTCCTAACCATCTTGTCACAAAACTTACCAGATCTGATTTCAAAGCAAGAGAGGAATGGCTACCCAATTTGCTGCCTTGTCTATGACGCAACCTTGACATGGGCTCTCGACATAGCCAAAGGGCTAGGCATTGCTGGGGCTTCATTTTTCACTCAGGCTTGTGCTGTTGGAACTGTGTACTATAATGTGCAACAAAAGTTGCTTAGGGTTCCTCTAGAAGAGGATCGAGTTTTGCTACCTGGGTTGCCTCTGCTTGAGCCTCATGATCTGCCCTCTTTCATCAATCATCCAGGGTCCTACCCATCCGTGTTTAAGATGGTAGTTGGCAGGTTTTCAAATATCACTGATGCTGATTGGATCTTCTGCAACACTTTTGATTGCTTGGAACCAGAGGTACTTATATATATTCACAAACATTTCTTCATCATATATACGGCTATAATCATATATTTGCAATGGTCTCCCCGGAGAAGAGCCACTACTAGCAACACTAATATTGTCCCAAACATAACCATCTATAAAGCCCAATAAGTGTGAGATTTTATCATAAAAGTCTCGGTAATAGTAGTAGTAGTTCCATTCATTATATGTTGTATTTTATTTAGTCAAGTTTTCAATGTGGGACTTATATTCTTTAACATAACCAACTTCTCTTAAAGGAACCATTTCAAAAAGACTGATTAAAGATGTTTGGGAAATTAGAAGAAGTGAGAACTTTAGGGCCCATCTGGTAATGTTTTCGAAGAATGTTTTTGAGAATATTTTCAGAGAATGAAAACAAAAAAACAAATTTACATTTTCACCTGAAAATGCGTCTGGTAGATAATTAGAAAACATCTTTAGAAAACAAAAACAATGAAAACGTGTCTGGTAGTATAATTGTTTTTCATGTGTATATTTGCTAATTTCAGTTCTAATTTTTTTTAAATTCTGATATTTTTAGAGGCTAAAATTATTATAAACAATGAACATATGTCTGGTAGTACAAATTGAGAATAATATTATGTGCATTATTTTTCAAGGGTATTTTGCTAATTTCTGTTTTAAAAAAATATTTTTAAAAATGTATAATTTAACAAATGAAAAATTCTATTGTTTTTTAAAAGATAAAACTATCTTTTATCTCCTTTCTCCTTTCTTCTTTCTTTTTTCTTTTCTCCTTTTCTTTCTTTCTTCCTCTTTTCTTCCTCTTTCCTTCCTAGACCCGTTCCTTTTTCTTTCCTACTTCATCTTCTCTACTTTCTCTTTTCTTCTTCCTTCCTTCTTTTTCACTCTCACTCCTTCCTTCCATTACATGAATCCCATCAACATGTTGACATGAGTCTCCTAATTAATCAAGGATATTTACTTCCTTGATTAATTGAGGGATTTACTTTCCTATTTTTATATAAATGATAAATTATTGTACAATTAGGAGATATTTTCCTAATTCTTTATTGTATCTAATTCCTTGGAAAACTCTCATATGTAAACTCTTATATATACCTCCTTATGGAGAATAATAAAATACAAGCTAATACATTAAAACCATATTCAGATTTTAGCATGGTATCAGAGCCAGGTTCTCTTATGATCTGTGCTTGCATTCTTCTTGAAATTTAAGTGTTCTTCTCCCCTCCTCTTCAAGGGGGGGATGGAGAGTGAAAATGATATGTTTATTGATGTATCCCCATTACCTTGACGTATTCCCATGAAGATGCTGCATATCTCTTTACTCTGACGACCCTTTCTCTTCAAGGGGAGAGAGGGAGTGAAGATAAGTTGTTTTGTTTCTAAACCCTTATCTCAAATTTCTCATATTCAAATCCAAAACCCTAAATCAAATTCCTCATATTTTTCCCCAAATCCAAATCCCTCAAATCTAAGTCCTCAAATCCTCTTATCCAAATCCCTAAACACATACCCTCAAATCTTATACACATACCTCTGAAATCCAATTCCTACATCAAATTCATACATCAAATTTCTCACATCACCTTCCTCACCTTATGATATCATATCTTACTTCCGCTTTGATGTCAGGAACCTATACGATTCTTTATCTTATTGTAGACTCACAGAAGCATGCGGTCAATCCTACTTACCTGGCTACCCAGACTCATACTTCTATCACCACCACCAAAGTATGTTTTCTTCACGACATCCCAGATTTCTTTGGCAGTACTTAAACAGATGAAACGGCTTATTAAGTCGGGAGACATGGGGTCAATGAGCCACCCCTTCACCCGAAAGTTCTCCGTACACCATTTTGAGTAGGTAGAGGAGAGCTTAGAAGGTTGCGAGGCGTCGCTAGTGCGGTACCCCAATTTTTCGCGGGCAGCAATACGCATCTCCATGACCTGAGACCATAAGGCATAATTGGTCTCAGTCAAGATGATGCCGGTCGGAAACGGAGTGTTGTCACTATGAATAGTAACAATTTGGGAGGATGGGGGAGTGGATTTGGTGGGTTCATAAGTCAAGATGATATCCGTGGCAACGGAAGGATAAAAAATATGTGTTTAGGAATTTGAAGGTATGAGGGATATGTATGTGTATGGAGATCTGAATTTGGGGAAGATAAAGGTGAGGAATATGATATAGGGTTTGTGTTTGAGGAAGTTTGATATGAGGAATTAGGGTTTGTGTTTGAAGAAATTTGATATGAGAAGTTAAAGACAACAACTTCCGCTGCGATGTCAGGAACTCATACGATTCTCCATCTAATTGTAGACTCAAAGAAGCATGCAGTCAATCCTGCTGACCTGGCTACCCATACTCCTACTTCTATCACCACCACCAAAGGTTCTACTTTTCATACGTCCTCCAAGACTAGATATTGGATATGTTGTAAGGGTGGTTAGTCAGTTTATGCATTCGCCCAGTGTTTCTCATAGGAATGCAGTTGATTGGATCTTAAGATACTGAAAGTCAACCCCTAGGAAAGGATTAATGTTCTAAAAAAAAAATTGAGATCTTAAAGTTGTTAGATACATATATGCTGATTAGGCTGGTTCCATTACAGATAAACGCTCTACTTCAAGTTACTTTACATTCGTGGGAGATAACCTAGTCACTTGGTGGAGTAAAAAGTAAAATGTGATTTCTCGATCTAGTGCAGAAGCAGAGTGACAATAAGTCAGCTATCGATATTGCCCATAATCCAGTTCAACATGATCGAACCAAACATGTTGAGGTGGATAGACATTTTATCAAAGAAAAAATTGAGAAAAAGATCATATGCCTACCATTCATAAAATCAGAAGATCAACTGGCAGATATCTTAACCAAAGCTGTTTATGAAAGAGTATTTCATGACTCGCTTACCAAGTTAGGCATTGATGACATTTATGCACCAACTTGAGGAGGAGTGTTGACGTGAGTCTCCTAATTAATCAAGGAGATTGACTTCCTTGATTAATTAAGGGATTTAATTTCTTTTTTTTATATAAGTGATAAATCATTGTACAATTATGAGATACTTTCCTAATTCTTTACTGTATCTAATTCCTTGTAAAACCCTCATATGTAAACTCTTATTTATACCTCCTTATGGAGAAGAATAAAATACAACCTAATACATTCAAACCATATTCAGATTTTAGCATAACCCACCTCTCCGGTTCCACTAATTAATGGTTGTGGTGGATAGATTGGGTGGTGATGGTGGTTGAGCTGGGTATGTGATGGCTGGTTTCTCTCATCTCTCCCTTTGCAATTCTCGCTCTCTCTCTCGCTTTTCCCTTTCCCTTCTTCTCCCTCTTTCTGATTCTTTCTTTTCTTCTTCTTCCCCTTTTTTTTCTTTTCTTATTCGTCTTTGTCTTTTTTTCTTAGTTGCAGATTTATGTGATTATGAGTTTTTTTTTTCTTGAAATTTTGGGGTTGATTATGGTTGGAAGGAGGAGATTTGATTGTTTTGGATATAATTTGATTGGATTGTTTGTTCAAGTGACGGAGGAGAGTTGGCTTTGATTCGAAGAGACTGAAAACAAAAACGCCGAAAATGAAAACGACTTTCTGGCGTTTTCAACATTTATTCATACTTTCATTTTCATTCTCAGAAAACAAGTTCAGCTTGTTTCTCAAAATAACCCACCGAACACGTTTTCAGGTGAAAATATAAAACAAAAACAGAAAATGGCCCTTGAAAATGATACCGAACAGGCCTTATATTCTTTAACATAACCAACTTCTCTTAAAGGAACCATTTCAAAAAGACTGATTAAAGATGTTTGGGAAATTATAAGAAGTGAGAACTTTAATTTTTACCTAATTCATCAAAGTCAAAAGACATTTTTGATAATGTAGTTTGAATTGTTACTTCACGTTTCTTTTAAAGTATAGAGACGAAATTGGAAATTCAAAACTAACTACATGGATTACACTTGTCTTTTGGCCTAATTCACATAACATATGGAGCTTGAAGCTTGCTGCAATTCCCATTTAGCATTTAGTACTCTTTAAATTGAACTAGAAGAACCATTGGTTTCCCCTATGTGAACAATGGATGCCTCGGCGCTTTGCTCAATACTGTAAATATTTTTTTTCTCTGTGCATTATTGGTAGATACTAGAATCTATTATTATGAAAGGTACTACTACTATTACCTATCTAGATCTTTATACTATAGCCCTACACCACATGTTAACTTGAGGGACAACTAATGCCCCTTGGCAACAGCCCTAGAAATTTGAGGACACATTTTGCCCACATGATATCGCTCACCTCATGGAAACTGACAGAAACCAACCATTCTTCTTGTGTTGATTATACATGCTAGATTCTTTTTCTAAAATGTTATAAGCCTACAGTACATGTTAGCTTGAGTGAAAATGCCCCTTTGGCAACTATAGCATACAGAATTTGAGGACAGATATTGCCCACTTCTTTTATTAATGTGAGGACCTACTTAGTGAAAAATAGTCTATAAATGTGGTACAAACAATTTTATTTGAATGTTATATACGTGACACCCTATAATTTCATTAGGTGGTGAGCTGGATGAGAACAAAATGGCCAATCAAGACAATAGGGCCAACCCTTCCATCAATGTACCTAGAAAAAAGGTTGGAAGATGACAGAGACTATGGTATCAACTTTTTCAAACCCAACAATGACACTTGCATCAAGTGGCTAGATTCGAAGGAAGCATGTACAGTTGTCTATGTATCATTTGGAAGCATTGCTAATATAGGAGAAAAGCAGATGGAGGAGCTAGCACTGGGCCTAAAAAGGAGCAAAACCAGCTTCCTGTGGGTAGTAAGAGAATCAGAAATTCAAAAGCTTCCAAGCAATTTTGAGGAGCAAACATCAGAGAAGGGTTTGGTTGTGAATTGGTGCCCTCAATTGCAAGTTTTGGCTCACAGGGCCATTGGTTGTTTCATGACACATTGTGGGTGGAACTCTACACTTGAGGCATTGAGCTTAGGGATCCCAATGGTGGCAATGCCACAGTGGGCTGACCAATTGACAAATGCCAAGTTTGTGGAAGATGAATGGAAAGTTGGAGTGAGGGTCAAGGTTGATCAGATGGGAATTGTCACTAAAGAAGAAATAGAAAGATGCATAGCACAAGTCATGGAAGGAGAGAGGGGGAATGAGTTTAAAAGGAATTCAATGAGATGGAGAGAATTGGCTAAGGAGGCTGTAGATGAAGGTGGAAGCTCTGATCAGAATATTGAGGAATTTGTAGCAGCTCTCTTATGCAAATAGAAATAGGTTTGTGTGAGTAATTAATGTTTATGTTTGTCAAACTAACTGCACATTTAAATAAGAGTCTACTATTTTACCTCACGATTAAGTTTGGTGCAAGTAATTAATGCTTATGTTCGTCAAACTATCAATTTAAACTACATATTCGTTCAAGAATCTTAGAGCATCCACAACGATGCTCTCTATTTCTTAGCTAAAATTTAGCTAAAAATATAAGAAAGCTATTTTAGGAGCTCTCTAAAAAAATTCAACTCTAACCATACTCCTTATTTTGAAGAGTCATAAATGATATAACTCTTTTTTTATTGGTCCATCTCTATTAAAAAATAAAATAAAAAATAATTAGCAGTAAATAAAAGTTTGAAATACTCATTAAATAAAGTAGCATTAAATTATAGAGAGTCACTAGGAGTCCTTTCTCTCTCCTCAGATTTAGGAGCTCCTAGAAGACTCCCTATTTTAGGAGGTGGATAGGGAGCGTGGTTGTAGTTACATTTTTACAATTCCTCCCTAAAATTTGTCTAAGAAGGTGGTTTAGGGAGTCCATTGTGGATGCTTTTAGTATTTCACGTCACCATTAAGTCGAACACTATCATCATCATCATTTTATCACAAAATAAATAAATAGTAAATTTGACTTCCCCCGGTCAAACTAGTTTTTTCTTACTTGCAATCCATAACCTTATTTTTTATGAATAATAATTTAATTATTACTGTATTTATTAATTTTCATGAATAATAATCTACCTATTATCGAATATGAATAAGAATTTACCTACATAGGTAAATAATTTTTATTTGAGTGGAAAATTTGTAAGTACATATAGTATATAAAAAAGAGATAGGTCAATTATTTTTATGAGAGATTCACTATTATACCTAATATAGGGGCCCAAATTATAAATTTTTTTTATAAAACATACATGAAATGGACTTAGAAACATAACCAAAGCTCATTTACAACATAACAAAGAGGCTTCGAACTTTCTATAAATTACAAAACTGTCATCGATTTCTTAAAACAAGTCCAACCCCAAAACCTCGTAAACAAAATCTAGAACACTAAATAGAGCATCAAAGTAATTTAAAAATCAAAATTAAATTCGATAAGGTCAGTTGTCATTTTTTGGGTTTGTTTATAGAAATTAAATGATATAGGTTATCACTAGTGCTAAGAATGGGTATATAACTAAATACAAGGTGGAAAATTGTAGATAAATTGTAGAAATTTTATGGAAAATACTAGGGAGACCATCTTTAGAGACCAATTTGTGTACCATCTCTCTAATAGAGGATGTGACCTATTGTATTAGTGGGCACCACCTCTATTAGAGAGATGGTACATCAGTTGATCTCTAAAGATAGTCTCCCTAGCATGACTCAAACTTTATACATGTACCTTGGGTGTATATTTATCAATATTGATAATTATTCCCTATAATAGCATTAATGTATGGATTGAGATGGTAGGTTATTAATGCGGGAGTGAAATGCACACCTACGGTTTGAAACTTTGAGGTTCCATTTGGTTCACGGAAAGGATTTGATGGGAAATTATTTCCTACGTCATTTCCAAAGAGATGGGAAATGGAAGATTCATTTCCCAATAGGAATTGGTGTAAGATGACTTATGTGAGTTAGCCTAATCATGTGTTATGATCATCATATTAGAATGAGATAATGGGATTTATGTTTATCAGTTATTGTTAGACTTTCAATTTTGATAGACTTTGGTTAGTTTATATTGACTAGGACTCAATCACTTAAGTATATTAGTTTTGTTTAAACTCTTACTCTATCTATAATAGGAGAGATAGTGTTAAGGTTTCTTCAATATAAAAGAAACTGTCCCTTCTCTCACAATACACAAGTTCTATGGCGTGCTTGACCTATTGATAGCAAGAACATTCTGGTGTTGCAGAGAGAAGAAGATCGTTCCCATAGTTGTCATGTCTTCTTCACTGAGTATGAATCAATCGATAAGTATTCTTTATTCATGTTGTAATTCATGTGTTTATTGTATTTAACTTCAGTTTTACTTACAATTGGAAGATTCATTTCCCATGTTTGGTTTGTGTAGGAATATAAAACAAAGTTTGTTTAATTTTCCTTTTATACCCATATAAAATCAAATAATAAAAGAATGCATTTAATGCTATATTGTAATTCTAAATTGTTAATAGGGACAAAATGGTTATGAAAAATGTGCATTTAATGTTGGCCCATTTCCCCGAACTTTCTTGTGGGAAGGGAAAATGAAATCGAAAAAAGGAGGGTTACATTTCCCCCTTATTTTCTTATGTGTCAGGTAACCATTTCCCATGCATGTACTTACCAAACATGAAAAAAAATGCTAGACGAAATTTGGGAAGTATTTCTCAAGGGAAAAAAAAAGAAAAAAAAGAAACTATATTCAATGTCCTGCAAATATGGGGTTGGTGGCATGGTTTGTAATTTAGTTATAATAGATGGACAACTGGTCTTACATGGCGTTCGATTCAAAAATTAGGTTTTACTTAGAAGTGGAAAAGTAGATAGGTTATTGTATAGAGTATTGTTTTTTTTTTGTTACAAAAAAAAGGTGGCAGAAGTGTCACCTCTCTGAGCCGGGCACGGGTTAAGGGAAAGCTCTTCCTAAAAGATTCGTTACACATGCGGAGAATCGAACTCGGGACCTCATTGAGAAGCTTGATCACGTTTGCCCAACATGTGTGGCCTAACCCGTTCAATTTTCCGCTAAACCAAACCCACTTGGGACCTCATAGAGTTTGTATTTCAATTGAAAGGGCCTATCACTTTAGTAACTCTGGCCCGCATTTGGACCATGTCCGTGTAAGCAACATCACCCTAATGCGAGAAAGACTTTTTATGGTTGCCTTTGTTCATGGGAGCTTCTACAATGAGGAGTTAAAGTGAGGAGGTTATTTGAGGAGACCGATCCGACCGTCAAAACATTTAAAATATTTAAGTCCCATGATTTCTTTACATTTGTTGATGGTAGACCTGGCAATATTGCACACGACCCGTTAACACGACACGAATTCGCACGAAATTATCAGTATTTGGGTTGAGCTTAATGGGTTGGGTTGAAAACGGGTGAACCCGTTAGCTACCCGTTAAGCTAACGGGTTGGGTTGGGTCAATTCGCGAATATTCGCATCCACCCGTTAAGGAGGGTAATTTGGTAGTTTTGCAAAATATTTTTTCTTTTCTTTTCTTCTTCCCCTTTTCCTCTTTAGTTTCCTTCTTTCCGTGTCTGTTTCTTCTTTCCCCTTTTCCTTTTCTTCTTCCTCCCGTTCTTCTCTTCTTCTCTTCTTCTTTGCTTCTCTGCTTCCTTGCTCTTTTTGGTCAAAATTCTCTTATGCTCTTCTTCTCTCCACTCAATAGACTCCGGCAGCCCATTCATCACGGATCAAGAAGGAGGTTGTTGGTTTTGGTTCTCTCAGTCAATTTTGAATTTTCTTTCTTCCTCAGTTTATGTAGTTGTTGAGTTTTTAATATATATGTGTGAGAGATATACTATTTTGGGGTGAGAAGACTGAAATAAAGAGGGAAGAAAAATTAGGGTTGGGGTTTGGGGGAAAAAAGACAGAGAAGGTGTGTCGGGTAGAGAAGCTGTGATTTTTTTTTTTTTTTTTTTTTTTTTTATTCTTAATGGGTCGTGTCGGATATTCGCGGAATTGTAACGGGTCGTGTTTGGGTCTAGTATTTGTCACCCGTTAACTTAACGGGTCGTGTCGTGTTAACCCGTTAACTTAATGGGTTGACACGAACACGACCCGAAACCCGTTAATACGACCCGTTTGCCAGGTCTAGTTGATGGTGAGATTTGACCTCCTCAAATAAGCTCCTCACTTTAAGCCCTCATTATAGCCTTTCCATTTGTTCATTGGCAGAAGACATGTTTACCGCGGTAGGTCTTGACTATCAATTCCCACTTATTCTATAATTTCATTCATATGTAATCATAGACAGAAATTTGAAAGTCATTTTGCTTAACAAAAACAGTGTTACAAAATCACCTAGAAAAGAGAAGAAAAAAAAAAACACTTAATAATAGCAAGAGCTTCACCTACGAAAGAAAGAAAAATGGACCACTCAGTCACAGAGAAAAATGGACCACTCATTCACAGGAGGAAACACTCAATTGTCAATTATGACAACTTTGACTGATCCGAATAAGAAAAGCCATCCAATTTAATTTTCAGCTCTATATAAACTGAAATAATTGAAAGAAAGAAAAAAGAGTATAGACAGATAACTCTGTACAAAGAAAATGGAGAAAAGAGAAAGAAAGAGCCAATGAAAGAAAATCCACATAAGGCTTGGTGATGCTGCTGTTTTCTTGGAACATGGCATCAATCAATGAAATTTTCGGATTACCCATATTGCCCTCCTTCAAAACAGAACAGAAGCTGCTCTGTACTCTCTCAATTACAGGTATCTTCTCATGCCTCTTTGGTTGAAGCTGTTCTGCACTCTCCTACTCGCATGTCATTTCAAGTTACGGCTCCTGTGTAAAACTTTGCCCTCTATTGCATCATTTAGGGATTTGGGTATTTTAATAATTGGAAAAAAAAAAAATTGGGTTAGGATGATTTTTTCCATTCTCTATTTTCATGGTCTAGGGCAATTTGATGATGAGAGAAATTGAGAAACAAGTCTGGATCTTGACTTTGAGGGAAAACAAGTTTGAGAAAGAAAAATAAAAGATAAATTTTGAGTCAAGTCTGGAAGTTCCCTTCAATTATTCACTTCTTATCCGCACAGCACAAAGTACAACAATACCAATGCTCCATATACTTGTGGTTCCTCTTCCTCTCCAAGGCCACATAAACCCAATGTTCCAATTCTCAAAACGCTTAGCATCCAAAGGTTTAAGGGTGACACTTGTCACCATCTCCTCTGACACTCATCATGAGCCCATAGAAACCCAATTGAGCTTGGTCAAGATTGAGTCAATTTATGCTGCATCTGAAGAAGCAGACAAGAGTAATGCAGAGAACAAGATGCAGTGGCTCCAAAACATTTTGTCAGAAAGATTACCAGAGCTGATTTCAAAGCAAGAGAGCATTGGGTACCCAATTAGCTGCATTGTCTATGACTCAGCCATGACATGGGCTCTGGACATGGCCAAAGGGCTAGGCATTGCTGGGGCTTCATTTTTCACTCACTCTTGTGCTGTTGGAACTGTGTACTGTAATGTGCACCAAGGGGTGCTTAGTGTTCCTCTGAAAGAGGGTCCAATTTTACTACCTGGCTTGCCACTACTTGAGCCTCATGACCTGCCCTCTTTCATCTATGATCCAGGCTCCTACCCCTCCTTTTTAAAGTTGGTGGTTGGCAGGTTTTCAAATATCACTGATGCTGATTGGATTTTCTGGAACAGTTTTGATTGCTTGGAACAAGAGGTACATATATATATGTGTGTGTGTATATCCACAAACATTTCTTGATCATATATCAGTCCATCAACATGTCTTTGCAATGTATTGAAGGAACAAGCTTAGGTAAAATTTCAAAAAGACTGATTAAAGATGATGTTTGGGAAATTAGAAGAAAAGAAAACTTGAATTGGATTCATAGGTCTAAAATACATTTTTGGTCCATGTAGTTTGCAACTTAGTGTAAACTACAAGGGTATATCTTTACGTTTCTTTTAACAGTAGAACAAAATTGGAAATTCTAGCAAACTACATGGATTAAAAGACATAACATATGGGGCTTGAGGCTTGTGTTAATTCCGAATTGAAATTTAGAGAGTACATTTTGAACTGAAGTATGAATATTATTTTCCCCCATTATTTGAACAATGGATGGCTTTACGCTTTGCTCAATATTTTAAACAATGTTTCTGTGTATTATTGGGAGAGACTAGGATCTATATTTGAAAGGACTAATATTACCTAGCTATGATTGAACTGATAGAAAACAACAATTCTTCATGTGTTGATTATACATGTTAGATTCTTTTTTGTTTTTGTTTTTTAAATGCTGTAAGCCTAGAGTACATGTTAGCTTGAGTTAAAATGCCCCTTTGGCAACTATAGCCATAGAATTTGAGGACACATATTGCCCACTTCTGTTATTAAAGTGAGACCTACTCAATGAAAAATAGTCGATAAATGTGGTACAAATAATTTTATTTGAATCTTAAATAGAAGACACCTTATAATTTCATCAGGTGGTGAGCTGGATGAGAACAAGATGGCCAATCAAGACAATAGGGCCAACCCTTCCATCAATGTACCTAGACAAAAGGTTAGAAGATGACAGAGACTATGATTTCAACCTTTTCACACCCAACGTTGACACTTGCATCAAGTGGTTAGAATCAAAAGATACAGGCACAGTGGTGTATGTATCGTTTGGAAGCATGGCTAACCTAGGAGAAAAGCAGATGGAGGAGCTAGCATTGGGCCTAAAAAGGAGCAAAACCAACTTCTTGTGGGTAGTCAGAGAATCAGAAATTCAAAAGCTTCCTAGCAATTTCGAAGAGCAAACATCAGAGAAGGGTTTGGTTGTGAATTGGTGCCCTCAACTGCAAGTTTTGGCTCACGAGGCCGTTGGTTGCTTCATGACACATTGTGGGTGGAACTCTACACTTGAGGCATTGAGCTCAGGGGTGCCAATGGTGGCAATGCCACAGTGGACTGACCAATTGACAAATGCTAAGTTTGTGGAAGATGAATGGAAAGTTGGAGTGAGGGTCAAGGTTGACCAAATGGGAATTGTCACTAAAGAAGAAATAGAAAGATGCATAGCACAAGTCATGGAAGGAGAGAGAGGGAAGGAGATTAAAAGGAATTCAATGAGATGGAGAGAATTGGCTAAGGAGGCTGCGGCGGAAGGTGGAAGCTCTGATAAGAACATTGAGGAATTTGTAGCAGCTCTCTTATGTAAATAAACTTTTAGGTTTGTGGGAGGAAGGATTAATGTTTATGTTGTGAAACTATCGACTTGAACTACACGTTTAAATAAGAATCTACTATTTGATTCCATATCAGCAATTTATCACAAAGTAGATATATTGGCCAACATTTAGACGACATCCATGTAAGCAACATCAGTCTAAAGCCAGCAAGACTCTACATTGATCGAGCAACTGCCTCATTACCAAGTGAAATTTGTATGCATCAATAGTCAGAAGAGAAATTTGTGAGATGTTCCATCACATCAATCACATGCTACTATTGATTAGTTGATTGCAAAAAGGAAGACTTTCTGGGTTGCCAGCAAGAGAGCCAAAGCAATTTGTCAAGATTGCCAAAATTTTCAACAACCAAGCGAATGTGTGGGTTTGTATAGGCAATTAATAAGCCTATCCCCGCAGGAAATGTCAGTTTTCATTTCATCAATCACATTGACAAAGAAAATTATCACAAGGAGGAGAAGCAAATGGGTGGTGGCACTCATGTTAGTGCTCACAATAACATACCCTTCTGCCACTCTCACCCTCTCTACTTCTAGCTCAAAAGACACACCCCAAAAGCACGCACCCATGGCAAACCAACACCCTCAAGGATGTGGGCCAAGTGGGTGGACCTTCTGGAGGCGCCACTTTCAGTTTTGAATCAGGTGCGGGTCAGAGCCCCGATGGTGCGGCGGGTTTGGATTTGGGTGGGGCAGCTCATCTTCAACTGGGGGTGGAAGCTCTTGGGCTAGTGGAAGTGGTTTTGGATATGGAGGTGGTGGGTTTGGCAATTCACATGGTTCCAATGGCTATGGAGGCAATAGCAATTACAACTACAATCAGGCTGTGCATGGACCTCTCGGAGGTCACTAGCTAGTAACTAATGTTATGTTACGTATACGACTTAAAAGTAAAATATAAAAAATCTATCATGTATTGTGTTACAGTCAATGTAGTATGTGAGAGTTGCTGGTAAATAAATAACAATTATCATATTGAATTTACCCTTCCTTAGCTGAATCGATCAAGAAATTGACCACGCACACAAAAAAAAAAAAAAAAAAAAAAAAAAAAAAACCCTTAAAGCTTTGTCCAAGTAGTGAGGATGGGTAGGTGGAGAAATATGTTATTAGTATTAGGCTAAGTTAAGAGTTCAATTCTCTTTCATGATAACAAATGAAATTTACTAGACTTGGACAACGAGACGGAGCATGATTTGATTTTTTAAAAATTTTTAGAAAATCTTTAATTTAGATGAGGTCTTTTCTCTTAACTGTTAAATTAGACTAACTAATTTAATTTAATGACTAACTAATTTGATCGAATGGTTAAGAAATAAAGTCTCACTTAAACACCATATATAAGAATCTCAGTGTAGAATTCTTGATTCATATGACCTCCAACTTCCAACCCATATGGAATCGGGCCAAGCCCGTATGAGTAATAGGCCGGCTTAGTATTTTACTAGACAGAAAATCAAAATCCCTAGGCTTTGCTTGATTGGAAGTTTTGCCTTTGGAACTTTGCAACTTTCTTTAGCATATCCAACAATCCAGATCCAATGTTTGGTTTACGTGGTACAGTCGCAATCGCTTCCGATGCGAGTCGTCGACTCCTTCAATCTGTATCGGTGAGTTCATAACCACAAAGCCCCCTTCTTTTTTTATGAAGCTAATTGCTTTTGTAATTGATTTCAAACACATTGGGTTTAGGGTTTAAGGATTTGGGGTTTATGACTGTAAGTTTGTTCTAAAATTTTCAAATTCAGTGCTTGCAGAAAGATTGGTGCTTTAGGGCTTTTTCTGGGTTTTGCATGAATGAATTGTTGGCTTTTCAATTACTTGTACGTTGTTTGGTTGCTGTGAAAAATTGTTGGGAGTAAATAAAACGTAGCATATACAACCAATGTAGATTGCTTGTAGGCATTGGTTGAAATGATTGACAATAATGATTTATATGAAATGGAAAATGCAAATGCCTAGTTTTGATTTTGAATTCTCTGCTTTCCATTGTACATTTCAATGAAACATCCAATGATCCAAAAATTGTGCCAAAAAGAAAAAGAGTGAGAAAAATTTATCATTCCCATATCCTAAGCTTTGAAATTTGAAAGGTTACAGATTTTATATGTTGGTATTTATCATGATCATCTTTTAGCCTCCTGTTTTGTATGCAGTTTCATGGGGTGGGTGCCCGATGCCTCAATATAAGAGCAGGGGTGGAGATTCCAGACCATAAGCCCCTCAAGTTTGCGCTTCAGTACATACACGGTATTGGCAGAGCCAGGGCTGCCCAAATCCTGTCTGAGCTCAACATGAGCAACAAACTTGCCATGGACTTGACCAGAAGAGAAGTTGTTGCTTTGGATGATGTACTCAGCAAGTACGTCATTGGAAGGGATTTGGTATAACTCTGTCTTCCTCTCCCACCCTCCTCCCTCTCTTTAAGTACTGCTTGTAATGCTTACATATCTGGTTTTTGTTTTTTCTTTTCGGGTTTTTTCAGGCGGGTCTTGTTGATAGAGACATAAAGAGAATGAAAGACATTCAGTGCTACAGAGGGATAAGACATGTTGATAACTTGCCGTGCCGAGGGCAGCGCACCAGCACCAATGCCAGGACCAGGAAAGGTAGTCAGCGGGTTGCTGTTGCAGCATCAAAGAAGTTGAAGAAGTAGTCACCGTACTACGGTTTTTTCTTGAACTCAGTTTGCATATAGAATTCATCTGCTTTTACAGTTTGTGGGGTTTTGAAGTCATGATTGTTGGTGGTTTTACTAATTGTGTTCAAGGAGAAAGCCTCCTGTTGCTGTTTATTTTCTACAATCTTGGTTTCGATGTCACATTTGATCTCTCAATAACCGCTAGAATTTTTGCTTCTGCTTCAAAGATGGTTAGCATTGGGCCTTTAATTTCCGTGTGTTGTGGTGTTTTCTGCTAGCCCAGAATACTAGGATTTCAAGAATCATCTGCGAGGTTGCTATATTTCCAAATCAAGCATGATATCTATACATCACCAAAAGCCCTCAAGGATGAAATTTCATGGGAATTCGATCGCGTCTGAATAAATAAGTAATTTAAGTTAACTAAGATGAAATTTTCAGTACACTTGAAACAGTATAGAATGAAACATATTAAACTTGTCAACATATCTCGATCAGTGAGTTAATCACCAACCAAACCCATAAACCCAGTAATCTACAACCCAAATCACAAAATGTCCATTTAAATATCAGCATATAGATCTTCAAAACATGTTTAAACCAAGGCAACCAATGCCTTCCTTGGATTAAAAATTATTAGAAGCAAAGCTGTGAAGACAGGTGAACATGGAACAAACAAAGACAAGGTGACAAGAGTCTGCCTTATCTTCCACATAGCTTGAAATTAATAATCACAGATGCAGTATTTTAAATTCTAAAAATGAGCATTGTGAGGGAAAAAAAAATTGTTTTTGGAGCTACAAATGATATTTTGGGCTTTGAGTGAAAGTTGGGATCTGACCCCAAAAAAAACCAAACATCCAAGTTGGGCTTTTATAGGAAATAGCTCTATGCATCAGAAAGGATAAGCCAGAGCTCGACCCCATCGTCTTCATCCACACACAAACTCATCGCTCTCACTAGTCACACGCAGTGTTGACAAAAATGGCGCAAACACTGGCAATGCCTCTGGCACCCTCGCTCTCTGTAATCTGCAATGGAAGAAACCCTAATCCCCTCTCCAACAGTCTCTCCTTCCCACTCAGAAACCCCAATAAGGTAAATTTCACTTCAAACCCACATTTTAAATTCTGGGTCGAGCTCAAAAATTCGTGGGTCTCATCGATTTTGCACAGGTTGGTGGCCTCAGCATCAAATGCGTGCGTGTTGGCGGAGTCGAAATTCCAAACAACAAAAGGGTCGAGTTCTCTCTTCAGTACGTTCATGGAATTGGGCGTACCAGAGCGCGCACAATCCTAATCGACCTCAACATGGAGAACAAAATCACCAAAGACTTGTCCGAAGAAGAACTCACCATTATCAGAGACGAAGTCTCCAAGTACATGATTGAAGGAGACTTGGTAAAGACTCGAACTTGATCTCTTTAGAGTCTTTCTTTTCATATTGGGAATATTGGGTTCTTATGGTTTTGGGTTTTTTGGGTGTTGCAGAGGAGGTTCAATGCGTTGAATATCAGGAGACTGAAGGAGATTCAGTGCTACAGAGGCATCCGCCATATCCAGGGCTTGCCTTGCAGAGGACAGCGCACCAAGAACAACACTAGGACTTTGAAGGGTAAGAGGGTCACTGTTGCTGGAAAGAAAAAGGCCCGTTAAGTAGTCATATGGGTTTTCAATTCTTTGTGTAATTGGTGATCAATTTCCATTGTCTGGATTTGTGTCTTTGATTAGTATCTAGTACAATTGTTCTCAGTGCTTTTTGTTGATGAAATTGGGTTCTCATCTTTGGTAATGCATTTGGGATCAGTGTATATTAAGCATTTGGATCATGCCTTGTTCTATCTATCTGCACTGATTTGAGCTCATTTTTGTTCAAAGGGTTGTTAAAAGTTGAGAAGTAAATATCGTCAAAGAACTCGGTCACACCTTGTTTTTGAGATTCTTAACTATTTTGGAGTGCTATGAAATTGAATCAAAAGTGATGGCTTGTTGAAATTGTTATCAAAATTCAGAGGCCTAATATCACTTTATACAAGTGAGAAGGGTTTCCCAAATCATCTGATGTTGGGATCCTTCTCACTTTGTTTTGGTCATCTTTGTCTTCTTACTACTACATTCAATATGTTCCATCTTTGTTTCTATCATCCCAGAATTTAGCAAAGCATCCGTTAGATAGCTGCTACAAATTTGCGAAATCGCCGCTTGCATTCGATATGCATTTGCCGTTTGGCAATCACGACTCTGTTACAATCTTCTTTCTTAGTTCTCTGTACTCTTTGACATCTCAGTTCTTCTCACAGCTAGATAACAATTACATCTCAGCCATTCGATATACATTCTCATAATGCTTGTCAGTTTTAACTATAGTTGGATAAAGATTCAACTCGAAACCTCTGCATATAATTCTTTTCATTGTTTTTTTGGTCTTTCTGCTTGGAAGATGTGTTAGTCAAGACTTCTCAATATCTATGCTTGAGCTGCGTTGAGATTTTCTCCAAGATCTATGCTTTAGCTAAATCAAAGTCCGTAGGGGAAAACTTGACAAAACTAACTGTTTAAAATATATGAAGTTCAGGAGCCAAATGGTTTCAGACAAGGATAGTGAAGGCTAAAACCATGTGTTCCTTTTTCTTTTTTCGCCCCAAGTCACATATTTTTAGAGTAAGCAATAGTTGTATTCAAGTTATTTTTTTTTTTTTTTTTTTTTTTTTTTTGTTAATTTTTGGTTTTCTTTTTTTTATTCACATGTCTTAATTTTTTGCATGGACTCCCTTTATTTTTGGTGAATTAATTGAATTTTACAGGAAATCAATGAGATTAGTGAAAGAAAGCTTAACCCCCAGGGGAATAATGATTAGGTCCAGCCCACTTGACAAAGCGCAGAACAAGTGGCAAAAGCCCAGAATATTTAAAAACCAGACCCTTGGGCCACAAATAATGGAAAAGTGTATGACGGTCAAATTGTCACGTGGTATTATGAATCACGTGCTATAATATAAGTGAATGTCACACAAAAAAATCACTCAAGTTCGAAGTTTTGAACAATTATCGTGTTACATGGACTAATTGCCAGACATTACATGAACTCCGAAATTAGGGCATAGACACAAATATGAATATATGTTCTTGCCTTAGTCTGATGGGCATGATAACACAAAATAGTGGACTAAGACTCATATGATTCAATAAATAATTGAACAAGGTTAATTTGTAAGTAACTATATCTCTCAAGAAATAAAATAATCCAAAAGAACAAACCATGAAGATTACCAACTTAACCAAGAGGCAGAAACCCATATTTTCCATTTCACCCCAAATTTTGGCCTTACAAAACACAGTTCATGCATGCATGATGCATCTGTCATATATGTATTATATATACTTCATGTTCCATATATATATATATATATATGCATGGTGATCCGTGGATCACCATAAGCTAAAGCCAGATAACTCCTTAAGACTCTTTTTTTTACGTCGAAAAGAAAATTACAACGAGAACCCTAAGACTTGTAAGGGGGCACACCAGTAAGTTTTCCAACAGGGAATATTTGATACCAAATGGAACCGCCGCATGCAGGTTCCACAGCCACCGGCAAGCACTCTGCAGATTCACACCAAAACATCTTGTTCTTGAACGTTTTCAAAAGAGCTGCCTTGCCCTGCATTTCAAAACCAAAAAACAATCATCTTAAAAACAAGGGATGGATTCAAAATTTTGGTAAATAACTTTTGTCCAAGGCTAACAAAACCCAGGTAATTAATTTTTCAAAACGAATTATAAGAAATCAATTTATTTAACCTGGAATTTGGCGCTTTTAACATCACAAGTCTTTTTGGTATTGTTGTATCTCCACTCCCGGTCTTGAAAATGCCCGCAAAATCTGTGAGCTGCAGCTGGAGTTGTAAAATTCACAAATGCGTAACCCAGATTTGAAATAGTCTTCTTCTTCCAGATTTTCCTAAATGAAAAAGAGTAAAAAGTAAAAAATTATATGTATAGATAGCTGTTTATAACACCCAAGAAAAACACAGAAACAAAGGTTTTGGGAAGATTGGCAGTGTAAAATAAAAAGTTACTCACCCGAAATCTATGGGTAGATAAACAAAATCGAACTTGGACTTGTTTGGATCAGAGTGGAGGCCTCGGTTCACTTCAAAACAATGCTGGCGCAGTATTTCCAGTAGAGTATGCCTCCTGAATAAATATTAGAATATAGTGCAGAGCAGAGCAGATCAGTAAGCATGTTAATAACTTATATTATAACAGTGAAAATAATAAATAAATAAATCGCATATGGATGAACAATTTTTCAGGCAAATGGTGGACGATCATATTTCATGTATTCTATGCTCCAAATGTTTACATATGAAAACACATGTGCTTGTTTCTGTTCACGTTATTGACAGAAAAAGGTTTTTTTTGGGACAAAAGGTAGAAACTTGGAAGAAAGAGAAACCCAAAAGAAAAAAGTGCTCATTTCCTCTTACTCGCTACGAGCATTCAGAAGTCAAAAGTTGCAGAAAACCCAGTACATAAACCAGATAAAATATTTGATATCTGGACCAAATATTTAACCAAGTTTGTAACTTTATCCTTTGAAGTTTGAACACCAAAATACCCAAATGCTGCAGAGAGAGAGAGAGAGAGAGAGAGAGAGAGAGAGAGAGGGTTTTACCGAAACTGATTAGGGATGTTCTTGACCATGACAGTGGTTGTAGACGAGTCAAAGGTTGGAGGAAAAGGAATAACAGGACCGCCATTTTTGTGCTCTGAACTCGAAGCCTCGATATTCTTCTCTTCTGTTTGCAGCTTCTGTTTGTTTTTCGGCACCCATTTCCCGCGTCCACCATCAAGATCAAGCTTCTTCCTTGGTCCGCAAACCCTCATGAGAGCCATTGCTCTCTTCCCAGTTTTGCCCTTATACTTGTTATGCTGCAACCTTTTCCCTCTAAAAGGACCTGATGATCTTGGAAAATGGAGATTTGAAGAAGAAGAAGGGCCAGCTGGCTGTGGCTCACAAGGAACCGAGGAAGAAACTGGCAGCACTGGTTCACAACAAGGAACCAAGGAAGAAACTAGCAGTGGCACTGGCTCAGAACGAACAACGGGTACCAGCCAAACAGGATTGTGGGTATAATAATAGTAGTTCTGTCTGGGTTGGTATAGTGGTGCATAAGGGTTCAGAGGCATTTTGGGGCGTTGGGATTTTGGATTAGAACAAGAAGCCGCTGGGTGGAGATCAAAAGCTACCAACAATGCTTTTTGACTGAATAAAAATCAGAGAGATTTGGAGTTGTTATGTACGCAAAGGCAGTTACACTACCACTCCTACTGGTTTGGTGACCTGATGGACTGCCAAAACTGGGGCTTTGGAACTTCTTTATAAGCATATCTCAGCATGTGAAATGGACGGTAGGGATTTACATTTGGAGGATAGCTAGGGCTAATCTTTATGAGCATATCTCACTCAGTATGTGAAATGGACGGCAGGGATTTAATGTTGCTTTTCAGAAATTCACAATTCTGGACCATATCAGTGAAATTATGAAAATTGGCAGCGAATATTACTCATGATGTCTATTCATTAAATGCCCTCATGCCAATATTTCCATACAAGACAAACCAACCACCCCCAGCTTACATATGTGGCGGCTTCACCAGGAAAGAGAGACAGAGAGAAATGCAGAGAGAGATACAGAGATGAGTCTTTTATGGTTTAGTGCTTGCACCTTGTGACTTTGGTTCTCTTTTTCTCTGTATTGGCAGAACACCAGAAGTGGAAATTTGTTCGAAAAATGAACGCTAAATAACACAAAACAATGAGGTTTTTTCTTCTTCGAAATTTAGGAAAACAAAGAGATAATCGTAGAGTGATAATATGGTTATGGTTATGGTTAGGTTTTACTACTTATACACGGTGAGAAAAAGCATGGGAAATTCTCTAGGAACTAGGATCATATCAACATGCCCAAAAAATTAAAAAGCTAGGATCATATCAGTTATTGTGGAAGTAATAAAATTAATTTCATTACATCTTAAACTCATATGATTCTGATATGACAATACAGAGTGTACACATCAAGTTTTAAATAAATGGATAAAAAATCATGTCTATTCATTCTAGAGGACTGTTTGCTCGTCTAGCTACATTACATATACGCATTTATTATATTAAAAGAAGATAAATGTTAGGGAGACCATATTAATAAACTTTGTTAACAACCTCTTTAATATATATGAGATCCATTATATTGCTGGGCTCCACTTCTATGAGAGAGGTAGTTTTCAAGGTGGTCTAATAATGTAGTCTCTCTAGCATGACCCTTAAAAGAAAAGGTGTAGGCTTTTAAAACTTTTAATATAAGTTTTGTTTTTCCAAAGCAAAATTAAATGTTTTGAAGAGTTAAAATCAACTTATCAGGGTCTTTTTTCATTTGTCAGAAGATCAACTGATCAATTATGAAAGAGAAAGAAAGAGTTCGAAAAGTATGTTGAAGAGAAGTTTGCTAATGTGACACACCTATATTAGCATTTCAAAATTATTGGGTTCCTCTTAACATTAGTCGTATTCCAAAGCAAAATAAAACATGTCACGTAGATATATAGGTTTTTGAAACCGTTTTTCTAACCTTTTTAATACCACCTTTGTAATTAAGTTGACATAAATAAAATAAATAAATAAAACACAATGGCTTATGTGGAATGTGATGGAAAAAAAACAAAAAAGGAAGCCTGGCAGCTTATATTCTGGAAACATAGTTTCTCAAAATGTTAAGGACATGAATGGCAGTTTCTTCAATCTGCTGTTTGGTTACTCACCTAATATGCATTTATGATTAAGTTGGTGTAGGTTTTGGTTCATTAATTTCTCCAATGATTGATGCAAAAAGGGGCTAAGTACGATAATTATGACCTTCAAGGTAGGAAAAATGGTATGTTAGCTTTAATTCCAACTTAACATATTAGGAAAAAAGAAGAAGGTTTCTTTTCAAAGTTCCATTCTCATCCCTAAACTTAATCAATAATTACCATATGATTATGATTAACGATCTTAGTGGCCAAGTATTGCTAGGTCTTGGATCATATTATTATAAATATTTGTGCAGTTATTAAGTTCGAACTCCCCTCCTTGTAGTTTAGATTAGATTTAAGCAGAATCTCGGTTGTATAAAATAAAAATATATTTTGAGCTTCAAAACTTGTCGTGCTAGTGTTATTGTTTAAGTTTTGATCCCCAAACATAAAATTCCGGCTCTTGATGATCATGTGACAATCATCAACTAATCAGAATAATTAATGTAAGTTGTAACATTTAGATGAACCTATTATAACCTATTATGTGTTCTGTTAATGTGGTTTTTTATCCATTGGTTAAAAGAAATGAAGGAACACAACACATGAGGTGGTGGTATTTGAGGTTGTAACTGAAGAAGGTGGGTTTAGTTAATATAACCTAGTTTTGTAAATCTGGTTGGAAGAAAAGAAAAAGGAGCTTTGAAACCCAGAAATAATCACTTGTTAGTTTAGCATAGAGACAGAGAGAGTGGCTCATTTGGTTTATTATTATAAATAGCAGAGAGAGAGAGAGAGAGTGATTGAAAGAGATGGAGTTGGTTTCGCATTTAATGCATGTGTACTGGAGAGGAAGGAGGTTTCGTATATGCATGGCTTTTTGACCGACTTCGATACCCGAAAGCAAAGCAAGCTTTAGGTTTCGGTTTCGGTTTCAGTTTCACCAGTGAATAATGCAAGAATATCAAAATGGACGATTTGGCCTATCAGTTTTTCTATTTCTTAGCACACAAACGAGCCCTGCTTTAAGATCTCCAAAACCCCAGAATCTTTAAGGCTGCAACATCTCTTTTGTAAACCCAAAGCCATTCTCTATTTCATTTTAATTCCTTTTGTTTTGTTTCCATTTCTTTCTTTCGTTTTTCTGGCAGCTGATTCTCCTTTATGTCTCTATCCCTCGTTCCTTTTGTTGTTAAAAAAAATTAAAATTTTATAAATAAATAAAAAAGATAAATTTACTTGGTAGCAGATTTCACTCTTTAAAATGTAAGTGAAGTATAGTTAAAGGAATTGGACCACAAAAAAAAACAATTAAAGAGTGAAATTCTCAAGTAACGTTTCACCAAAGACGATTTGAACTTAATTGACTAAGTAACGAAGATTGGTCGATAGTTGAGATGTGAGCCGAACAAGAACTTGGCCATCCTTGCATAATATAAAATTTACATATGTGAAAGTTTAACTAAGAACTTTAAAATGAGGCTGATAGCAAATATATTGAATAATTTTTCTTCTTTATCAACGGAGAAAAATCACTAATGTAACATCTAGTTAATAAATAAATAAGAGAAACTAGAAAAATAAAACCATTGACACCATTTGTTTGACATAAGAATTTCAAGAAAGTTGAATGAAAAATGAAAGAAGGAAGATTCTCCTTCAAGAAAGTAGAGTACATTCGGTTAAAAAAGTAACAAATATCCCCTCAAATGTAACAAATAGCCATTTGTAAACTCCTTTAATTTTTTCTCAAACTCAATTTTGAAATTCATGTAGGGGAAGGGGTTTTCCAAGATATCGCCTGCTGCGTCAGGACAATCTGTGGCAGGGTAAACTATGCCCATCACTCACGATTATGACTATGAATATTGGATAAGACGTCCCATAAATTTTAATATTATATTACAAATCCTCAGTCCCTATTGCCAAACCCTAATAGGTGAGAGCGAGAGAGCTCTGTACAGGTTTTGGTCAGCACAAAAGTCTTATGTCAATTCATGTCTCGCTTCTGTATTTTTCTTTTGCAGCTTTTTTTACACTCAAATTTGCAACAAGCTTAAGGTGTGTTTACCCAAATTTGCTCCACTGCAGTTTGGGGCGCTATGTTTCAGACACTTTCTTTGCTTCCCATTGCTGAGGAATCATAACTAAATATGTATATGGAAGAAGGCTCAAATTTCAACCTGATCTCCTTCTCCCATTTAACTAATTATATCATCTCGATTTTACCACCTTAATTAAAAGATAAAAAAAATAGAGAATAAAAACTTTCAAATTTCATCTCTCAACAGTCAACACAACACGGTCCATGGCTGGCACATAGACTACAACAAGCATAGTACACATTATAACTATGTTTGCAATTCACCCCAGAGACTACGGCAGAACACATCTCACCCAGGGAGACAATGAAAACACAGCCAAAAAAACCAGACTGATATATTTATACATCATATGCTAAAACCCTAAAAACTAGTTGAAAAAACAAACACAAAACAGTAAACAGAAGTAGCCAATAATTAAACAGCACAGAGTTGATGCAGTCACAGCACTATCACCTCACTGTCCTCCTCACTTCACCTTCTGTCAGCTTCTCAGCATGCACGGTGGTGATCACTGAGGAGATATTATAGGCCATGCCCCTAAGAGTTTTAAGGCATATGTGTGGGAGAGTTCCCAAAGGCAGAGGGTACCCCTACGCATTTTCCCACAGTTTTCAGATTGGGCAGCTCAACCCCACCATCGCATGGAGGCTCTAAGATTACAGGCAAATACTCCTCAGTGTCGCACCAAAACGCTTTCTTCTTGAAATGGCCCCTCAGAGCTTCCAAACCCTACATGACAAAACTGTCAGTCAAATCTGAAAGCTCACATCCAACAGCACACTTAAAAAAGTCAAAAGCAGTTCAAATGAAAAAAATTGAAAGCCAAAAACTTTTAAGTGTAAGAATTAGAAACTTAACCTGAAGTTTGGCACAGGTTACTTCACGGGTCTTGTTGTTGCTGCTGACCTCTTCCCACATTTTCTCGTGGAATTTCTTGTAAAATCTCAAGGCCGCAACAGTACTGGTGAAATTCACAAAGGCATAGCCCAGATTGGCTGCCCTCCTGCCATACCAAAATTGCATGGAAGAAAACTATTTTAACATGCAAGATTTTGGATCCAATCAACCAAGAAAATGACACAAATTAACAACAAGGTTTTGAAAAGTAAAAACTCAGTCTCTGTTTATAAAAACGTTACTCACTGAAAGTCCATGGGAAGATACACGAAATCAAACTCGGATTTAATGGGATCATCAGAGTTCATGCAGGCCTTGATGTTCTCTGCGCAGCAGTGCTTACTGAGGAAGCTCAGCAGATCACCCCTCCTGCTTAGATAAATAAATTATTATTATTATTTCAAGAATTCACATGTTTTTTCTATGAAAAATTATTATTAATAAATTCTGTGCCCTCAGACTAAACATGTTTATCCACCTTAGCACAAAAGTAGAATAGAGACAAAAGGGCACAAAGAAAGAGCGACAAAACAGAGACTAAATTCCCTCTTGCACGCCATGAACAAACAAATAACAGGAATGAAAAGTCAAAATTGAAAATGGTTGAACCAGACATGAACCAGGTAACATTTGAACAAATTGTTGATGCATGTACTGCAAATAAATAAATAAAATTAAGGGAAACAAAAACAAGAAAACCCAAAATAGTAACACACTGGGGGAGAGAGAGAGAGAGAGAGAGAGAGAGAGAGAGAGAGAGTTTACTGAAATTGGTTGGGGATGTTTTTGATCATGATGGTGGTAGTGCTTGAGCCATTTTGCACATCAGGACTTGAAGGGAAAGGAATTACATCACCACAACCAGCATTCACAACTCGGGCTTTGGTTCCCCTTATAATCCTCTGACGCCACGCCTTTTTACCCTTCTCGGCCTCCAGGACTTCGTTCTTGGGCATCCATTTGACAACCCGACAAGCACCTACCACTTGGTGATCATCCCCAAGCTCTTTCAATGGCTTCCTCAGCCTCGCAGGTACAAATCCCCTCTTACCCTTGTAAACATTCTCTCTCGGTACCCTTTTCGTAGTTTTGGCTGCTGCTGCTGCTTCCATGTTTTGTTTGAGACTCACAATTGTTTTTGGGTTTGGAAAGTTGGGTTGCCTCCAGTGACAAAAATAGTAAATGGGTTGATGAAGATTTTGAAAAGCATAAGGAGGGTGAAGAGGATAGAAATGTCTTTTACACACATAGGTTTCAGTTTTGTTCAAGAAAAATGGAGGAGCTTTAGGGTTCAGAGCTTTGGAGGACATCTTTTGAGCTTGTGGTGTCTGGAAATACAAAGAACCGAAGAGAGAGAGAGAGAGAGAGAGAGAGAGAGAGAGTTTGGGACTGAGCTAAAATGGAAGAAGGGGAGGATAGTGTTTATAAAGAAAAGGAGAGGAGATATCAAAGGTTGATCGGACGGTGGGGATTGAAGCAGAGAGTGGGTTTTCAGAATGGGATTTGCTTTCACGTTTCTGGATATGGGATCCCTGAAATGATGAAAATCGGGACTCGAGTTTACTCATCATGGCTTTACATTTAATGCTCTCATCCAAGGCTTAGCATTGGCGGCGTATAATAACATGAGATGCAGAGAGAGCGAAAGAGTTTCATGGTTTTGTGCTTGGACAGGGCGACAGCGGTGACTACTTTTTCTCTGAGTTTTCAGAGCACCAGAACGGCAAATTGTATGAAAATGAAAAATATATTAACAAAACGAATAGTTATCTGGAATTCCTTGGACGGAGAGCAGCTATGCTTAGGTTTATAGGGGGGGTGGTAGGATGTCAACCGAATGCTTCCCTCGAACTAGTTTTAATTTGGGTAATTACATTCATTATTTTAGCTCACTTGTTTAATTAACCACACTTTTTTACCATTGGACTAAATTGTGCTAGGTTAATACAATATGACAGATATTTTGCAAATGTGAGAAATGTTAGATATTTTTCCTCTTGTCTTTTTATTTTTGATTTTCTCATTCAGTTTGTGTCACGTGTATTTCATTCACACATAAATTTTATGCAATCTCTTCAACAACAGTCGCCTGCGTGTTGGAAATTTGTTCATCATCCAGAACTCAGCCCATGCATTGCTGAGTACCAATTCTATATTAATAAACCCAAAATTTTGTGTGGTTAGTTGCTAATAACTTTTTATGTCTCTCATTATCTGGGAAACATAATATTGTGCTGAAAATGTCGAGGAAGTGAATAGCAGGTTTTTTGGCATGCTTTGTTTGATAAATTTAAAACGCATTTACTTTCTCAATGATTGATTCATCGGGGGAAAAAGTTGGTAAAAGTTTTTTTGACCTTCAAGTCGAATAAAATGTTAACATATTTGGGCGAATTTGGTGGGCAAATTGCTACTCCAGATTGATTTCACCCTCTTATTGGTGCCATCTCTCTTAGAGTTTGCCACGTGTTTATATTAAAATAACCATAATTTAACATGTACATTCAGACCAGACGCAATAAATTATGACAAATATCTTGCAGTTTTGTCTATAGTTGTTAGATTTATTTCGGGTTTACGTGGAAAAATAGAATTTGGGTGTTTAACACTTCACTTCAGAGTAAGCTTGCTGATGCCTCAATTACTTGTACTTTCTTGCCCTAATGTATTGGGGATTCACATCACAAGATTCTTCATTCTTATTAATCTATAATGCGTTCATCTATGGATAGTACTTACTCAACATATCCGTCTATTAATGATGGAGCTCAAAAGCATTTACAGTTCCATAGACGTAGGCACATTGCCGAATCACATTAATTTCTTGCCATTTTTACATTGTTTTCTCTCTCTTAATTGAGTTTGTGATTTCCGTTATTGTATTATTAACCGATCCTAACATTATATCATAATATTGAAAATTTTATTGGTATTTTACTTTAAGAGATTGTTATTGTAATGTGAGAAAGAAAAAAATAAAACTTATTTGACTCAATATTTCAAAATCCAAAAGGAACATCTTATTTGATAATATGATTCAAATAAGAAAATTACACGAACTAGTAATTAATGAGTAGTCAATTCAAGGGTTTAGATGAAATTTGCAAAGCCTCTTTATTGTCCTTTGTATATTAGGGTTCAGCCTGAATCGAGGCTTTCCTTAATTTTGCAAAGCATTGACCATTGCGAAACTTTTGCAGAGATAAAAAAATAGCATGTGTTTCAGCATTGCACAATTTGAGGCAAAAAGTTGGTATGAGAATCCCAACATCAGAAAGGCCAGGGTGGCATTGTAACTTCCACTTCGTCTCCTCTCACTTTTTACATGCAGTAACTTTGTTTAAAAGTGCATGGGAAGTATTTGACTTCTTCTTGTAAACATTGAAAATAATATAATTTTAAACATAATTACAAGATTTTTTTTCTTTTTCAAAAAAGAATTATCCAAATCCTCACCGACAAGGGTATGAAATGATTGATTAGATGAGGTGAAGCAAATATCTGACGCAATTCTTCTTACGAAGAAAGCAAGAGGGGTACAGTATGCAGCAAGATTCATTAGCGTTATTTTATAAGGCCCTCTATGTCGGACTGGGTACTTTATGCAGCAAGATCCATTGGCGAATTTGGGCTTCAAATACAACAAGAACAACCCAATAGGCAATTTGCTCGTCTTGCCCATCGTCATGACCTGACCCGAATCCTCTATAGGCCAGCCCATAGCTCCCGAGTGCCTCTCCTCGCTCAACTGCTCCAAGGACCAGCGTGCGTGCGTCCCAGTCTTCCTCCTCAGTCGGACGGCAACTCCTCCATCTTCTCCATCTGTAACTCCTCTTCTTCTTCTTCTTCTCCATCTGTTTTCAATTTGTATGTGAAGGTCAATGGCGTACAGAGGTCGTGGACGCGGTGGATTTGGAGGAGGTGGCGGCGGTTTTGGCTATGCCACTCAAGTTCCCTTTGAGCTTTTTCCTGTGAGTTTCTCTTTGCTGCAGTTTTTGCTCAGGACTAATTTACAAAGCTACAATTTGAGTCTTCATCTTGATTTTTGTTGATTTTGAACTAGTAATGGCCAAATTTGAAAAAATATGTTTCTGCAATCGGTTCTATTTTTATTACAATTGGTTCTATTTTTGTTGCAGTTATTGACAAGTTTTGCTATGATATTGGGAGTTTGCTACTTTTCATATTTAATATCAAACTTTTCTTTGCAGGATGTTGATTTGCCTAATGTCAAAGGTATACTTGATCCAGATAAAAAGATAAACCAGGGTAAGAGTGAGGAAGAAAACTTAGTCAATCAAAGTCGCAAGTTTCAAAAAATTTGGAAAGGCTCTCCTTTTTATCTTGAGCAGACCACTTCAAAGGGTTAGCATGATCTACTTCAGAACTCGTTGCTTATGTTTTTTTTTTGTCTATCAGTACATGCAGTCAAGGAATTAAGCAATTTGTGAAGCATGTTTGATTTGTTTTTCCCTTCCTCTTCTAGTTAAGATATTAATCATGGTCTATTGTGGAGAGAATTCATTATTTTGGTATGTTTGAAATCATGTTTGTTTTTTTTTCATAAGAAGACTATCAACCTTGTAGTGATGCTTCTATGCTGTGTAAAAGTACAGTTCTGTTGTGAAATTCAGTATGATTCATATATGTTGATCCCTTTAATATTTTTATGGTTGAAGATAAAAGTTCATATTTACTGTGAATCTGAAATTGATGTCACCAAGATTTTATAGTTAGATGTAAGGAGAAGTTCAAACATCCCTTCCAAAACCAACGCCCAATCTTATGTTTGTGAACATTATGCAAACTGGCAAACTATCATAAAAAGTTCAATATGAGTTTCTAAGGTGATTTGTTCTATAGTTTCATTTTATTTAATACCATATTGCTTTTATTCCCATTGAAAATCATTCATTTGGCTTCTTTTGAATTTATACCAGATTTTGTGATAGTAATACACTTATTGAACTTGTGGTTTCAGAGAGGCAAAACACAGAAGTAGAAAGATATTCTGACAGGTTGAAGCCAAAAACCACGATAAGACGCGGTGCTCTTTTTGATATATTGGAGCTCAAGGCATTTCCCCAAGAACTGACAGGAGGTTTGTAATCTGAAAATCATGTGAAAAAATAAAAATACAAATGGGAATGATATCCAATGTTCTGCTTTGGTTTTGTGGTTTTCTTTTTGCGTTTTGCATACTTCTTGTTGCAATGGTGTTTCAGGTTCAAGGGCGCACCAACCAGGCCGAAAGAGAGTTCGATGGAATCCTGACTCAGGTTCCATGAGACTGGATACTTTGTTCTTCTGTTGTTGTTTTTAATTTTTTTTTTTTTTTTTTTTTTTTTTTTTTTTTTTTTTGTTTGAATCATTTGGGAATTTTTATTTATTGACTTGATTAACTCAAACTGATTAAAAAGATCATCTCTTACAGAGCTGCAGAAGTTAGATTTATTTGAAAAGCTTGAACAGCGTCAGGTATGAAAAAGTCTTCATAGTCTCCCTAACTACAACATGTTGTGTCAAAGATCACTGTACCAACATCTTTCTATGAAAATGATCCAAATGAAAGTTTGAAGATGCTTGGTCTTAAAATTTATTTTCATAAAAGGTTTATTTTTTGTATGCATTGTTGATAATTCTTCTCATTTGTAGGGTAATAATGATGGAAAAGAAAAGAAAGAAGGTGAAGGTGAGGATGAAGATGAAGAAGAAGAGGAGGAGGAGCCAGAAGAAGACTTCAGTGATGATGATTATCAGAAGGTTCGTATAGGAAATCTTGGCTCTTATATATCTATTTGTTTCTTTACCTTATTTACTGGTAATCACTTCAAAATGGTGATAGGTTGTACTTTGTTTATGTTCACTGTTGGGATTTTCATTTCTTATACGTGCCACCTGATTCCTCACTTATTCGTTAGAAGTTCTGTTCACGAAAATTCAAGTTTGGAACTGGGAGGTGTGTGGTTGTTTGGCTGTCCATGTGTGGGAAAGTAATATGTTTTTTAATACAACTTTGATATTGCAGAACCAAGATTTCGATGATGATGATGATGATTTTAATATGGAAGATGATGGTGATGGTAGGAACCTTCATTTGATACACTACATTTTTCTCATACTATTTTAACATGGAATAATTGAGCTTGTGGTGAGCTTACGCTGATGGTTTTAATGATGCAGATGAACCTCTTTTGTAGTGAGATGGTGTCGCATACAAGGCTGCTCAAAACATACACAAACCTCCCTCATTTCCCTTCCATCAAATCGAGTATCCGGCTATTGTTTGTTTTCTTGTAGGATTGTACATTCAATTACTAGTTTTTTTTTGTTACAAAGCTCTTGCTCTTCCAGGAAAAGATATCGGTCTAATGTGACGATGATCACAAATAGAAAGTAGGTTATGTGGAAGTGGAATCAAAATGTGTAGGTTAGGCAATGGATTCGATTCCCCGTCTTTTTGGTTTTTAATATACAAATTTATAAATAAACCCAATCCTAGACATGTATTTATAAAAAAAACCCAAACACTATTTAAACATAGAAACACACCCAAAATCAACTCCAAAGTCAACAATTGTATTTTTTTTAAGTGTGTTTATAAATGGGTTTTGAGTGTGTGTAATGATGGATTTTGGGTGTGTTTGTTGGGTTTTTTTATAATTTCATCTCCCATTTTAGGTGTTTTAGTGAAACTCCCTTTTTAATATTGGTAATTAGGGCTTGTAGTTTACTTAAGCTTGCAATCGACCCTAAATCTAAATCTGTTAAATTTGTTAAATGGGTGTATGAAAAGTTGACATGCTTAGCACATTGCGCTATCCTCTCGACCAAAAATTGACCAAAAACGTTTATGTTACCGCAGTAAGTTCCAATTATGGATGGCAATTGTTGAATTTATTTTTTTTAAAAGTAAAATGTTTAAGACTTTGGTTTTAGAAAGAGAATGAAACCTGATAATTCCTTTCATACAAAAGTGCTGCTAGAGAATCTTTCTTTGTTACACAAAAAATTTGAGTGTATTTTTCTTCATATGCATAAATAAGTTTCGAAACACAGCCCATACTTCCACTGTGGCGGGGTGGGCAAGTTAACTCACGTGGGTCCCACGTGACCAAACATGAGCAGGCTGAACGTGAAGGGCACTCATTCAATCATGTTGGCGAATCCAACGGCTGACAATAGATCACCGACGCAACAACGACATAACGGTTCACTGGGCCCACCGAATTCCCCCACACTCTTCTCCTCTTCCAGGCCTACGACATGTATTGTGTAACGTAATATTATTATATAAACCTTCCGCCTTTGAACAAGCAAATAGATAACTTCAGACTCAGACCGTGGAAGAAGAAGAAGAAAATTAGAACTTGCAAATCTATCGATCAAAGTTAGACAAGGAGATTCGACGGTCAGGATTCAATCAAGAAAATGTCGTGGCAGACGTACGTCGACGATCACTTGATGTGCGACATCGACGGCCAACATCTCACGGCCGCGGCCATCCTCGGTCACGACGGAAGTGTGTGGGCTCAGAGCTCCAGCTTCCCTAAGGTTCCTTATTCAACTTCCTCTGTGATTCTTATTTTTTTAATTTTGTGCTTTTTGCTTTTATTTTGTATGATTTATCTCATTAGATCTGTGCAAATTGGCTCTGTTTGTTTGCTCGGAAAATCATTTCACGGTAGACGAATTGAATTGAAAATGCGAGGTTGTGTAACAGATTAATACTGATTAAAGAGTTGTGCTCGGAATTGAAAAAGGATTCGTGATTCTAACTGATTGAGATTGATCGATATGATTTGTGATTGATATTTTTTTAAAGGATTTGTATTCCGCTTGTTGAGATTTCTGCATTTGAGTTTTGCTTCGATGCCGAGAAAATGTTTTCTGTTTGTTTGCCAATGGCCTTTTAATGCTAATGCGATAGGAATTCAGATGCAGGACATTTTGGATGTTTTTTCTTGATTTGAATTGAAAATGTGGTAGTGAGCGAGTGTGAGATTGATTTTGGTTATTTATAAGCAGTTTAAGCCTGAAGAAATTGCGGCGATAATGAAAGATTTCGATGAGCCAGGGTCTCTTGCCCCTACTGGATTGCACCTTGCTGGCACAAAGTATATGGTTATTCAAGGGGAGGGAGGAGCTGTAATTCGTGGAAAGAAGGTTTGTTTGTTTTGTTTTTCTGCTGTATATGCTTTACACAAGCACCTGAATTTCATATCGTCAAACCACAGTTTTTAAGTTTGGACATTTGGATTTGATTTCACCTGACCATTTGGTATAAATTATCAGTGCATACTTAAGAGCATACAATGACATTTCCGTCGAACAACTTTCTTAAGTTTGCCTTTGAATTTCACAATAGAAGTAGAGGAGTTTACATGAAGAATGCTATGTTTTCATGTTACGTCCGTAAGCTTACTTTTTCCGTATGACAAGTGAGCATGAAATGTGACCATTCTATGAACAAGCATGTGAACGAATTGATCCGCCCATCAACTGGTTTAATTTGAGAATTGTACCCTAGTGTTGAAGTGGAAATCCTTTATTCAAAATGTGGACGTTAACTGAATATGCATACATTTTTTATTTCTGTAATTTCATAAAAGAAAGGTCTATTGACGTCATTAAGCTTTAAAACACAGGTTTACTAACGTGATTTGCACTATAAAGTGTTAAATGAAGACTGTAAAAGTCATCCTGCTCTCATCTTCTTACTTTTTAAAATTGTTAACCATCAATTCGATCGGTTGATGTTCCTTCTTGTTGCAGTCAACATTCTGCCTGTGATTGATTTGATATTATTGTAGGGCTTTAGGAGATGGTATGTCCTTAAAGGAATAATCCACCTCAAAAGTTCCTCTAAAGTCTTATTTAATTTTTCTTTTGGGTTGCTCATTTATAGTCGCACATACTGACTAAAGTGCAAAAACACATGGATGCCAAATTGTGTAATGCACTTTATTTTTTTGAAATTTTAGTACAATTATCACTTTATGAGGTCCATCACCTTTTCTTTTTTTTCTTCATTAGATAGAGCTGTATATACTTGCAACCACCTAATAATTGCACGGATTTGCCTTTTCTGACGTTCTGCTTGCTGTATTTTCAGTGCAGATTGGGTCATTCCAAATGTAATGAAGTTTATTTTGATTTGATTTTCCTGCAGGGTTCTGGTGGCATTACTGTGAAGAAAACGGGCCAGGCTATGATTTTCGGTATATACGAGGAGCCCTTGACACCAGGGCAGTGTAATATGATCGTGGAGAGGTTGGGAGACTACCTGATTGATCAAGGCCTGTAGGTCATCTCAACATAATGGCTTTCATATTTTTCGATTTTTTTGTGGGCTTTTGCATCTACTTTCCTACTATGGATTTGAAGTGGCACTGGCGTTTTTGCTCAAAATAACCATGTGCAGATGGTGAGACGGAAGCAGGGGACTATTTGGTGTTCTAAGATTGTTTTTCTTTTTTGGTTGGGGTTTCTTATTTTCTTGATTTGTGTATTTATTCACCCCGCCGTTTGCTCCTACTGAGTCTGCTGCCTTTTTTTATGGTTTTGCATACCCTTGGATTCCATCTTTGTTATGATATGATAAAAACGAATGTTTCTGCTATAAATGAAATGGTTTTGGATTTAAGTCTTCCCCTTTTGTTATAATCATTGTTTATCAACAATAATTCTAAGCCAATGCATTTGGTTCATGGACATTTTGAAGCGTGGCTTGGCTCAAGTTTTGAATCTCACAATTTGAGACCAATCGACTTAGAGCTTCAAGCCACTTTTTATCCATCTTTTCGTAATTTTTTTCGAAGAAATAGTATAGCATAGCCACACTGCTAGACTTTTTTTTTTTTTTTTTTTTTTTTTTTTTTTTTAATATTTAAAATTAAAATAAAGTGTGGTTTCAAAAAAAAAAAAAAACAGAGTATAACTGGGTTTTTGGGCTATACTAGTTTTTCCTAATTTAGTATTGCTGCGCGGCTATACTTGACTTATCCGAATTTTTTTAAAAATAAATAGTTTAGAAGCGCAGCTATATTGGGGTTTTCCCTTTTTTAAAGAAATGGTATAGCCGAAAGGCTATACTCGGTTTTGGAATTTTTTTTAAAAATAAATAGTATCGCCAATTGGCTATACTGTGGTTTTTCCATTTTTTTAAATAAATAGTATAGCCAGACGACTATACGTTGTTTTTTCCAATTCTTTTAGAAAAGGAATAGTATCGCCCGGCGGCTATTCTCGGTTTTTATTTTTATTTTTTTTAAAGTAAAGCCCCCCGGCTAAACTCTTTTTTATTAATCTCGGTTTATCCAATTTTTAAAAAGAAATCTTATAGCCGCACGGCTATACTCGGTTTTATCGAATTTTTTTAAAACAGAGTATAGGCGAACGGCGATACTGAATTTTTATCATTTCTTTTAAAGAAATGATAAAGCCGATCGGCTATACTCTGTTTTTTAATTTTCAAGAGATAGTATAGCCCGCTGGCTATACTTAGTCTCCGCTTCAAGAAATCGACACCCACGCCTAAACTTTTCATTCTGATATGAATGCTTTTGGCCTGCAAGGTACACAAACACTTAATTCAGCATTCTCATATACCCACAAAATAATTAACCAACAAATCACTGATGGGAGGAGGACATTGTCAATTACCAGATCGCAAAATAAATGGTGACAATCTAGATAAAATCCATGATTCAACACAGGAATTGATTGATTCTAAACCAGGCAGACTGGTCTCCCCGACACGTACTTTCTGGCCGCCGACATGTTTGAGTCAACAAGGCACACCATAGAATTTTGTCACAAGAGAATTTTCATACCTAAAAACATGTCTGTAATAACTCTGAAGCATCCTAATAAGCACCTGAAAACAAAATACAAGCCATCAGATCAGTTCAGTCCAAATGTTGTCTAATTAAGAAAGTAGAGCGCTGATTATGCCACAGAAATGTCCTTTTGTCTCCAAAAAAAGTAAATACTGATAATAAATAAGTCAAACGGGTGAGCAACTAACCTTGACTTCCGATTTCTTGACTGTCTTTATCATAAATCTATCATCCTGAGTCAGGTAAAAGAAACTTCCACCCTTAATACCTAATACCCAGTTGAAGATTGAGCATCAAACCCATCTCGATCGAAACCTGTGCCGTTTCTGTAGAACATCGAAGCCCCCACATTTTCGCTAATATCACAAGTAATATTCCCAGCTTCCCCATCGGACTCCCTCCCAGATACAAATCCTGAGAAAAGTCCTCTCCGCCAAGCACCCTCTAGGTCCACCGACGAAACGGAGCGTTTTCCCATCGTCATCGTCAGATTCTCAGCCCCGAAAGCCCCAATGTCGGTCAAGCTCGGCTCCTTCCCGCCATTAGCAGGATAAAAAAGTACCCCAATGTCGGTCTATACTAGATTTTTTCCGTTATGTTTTTTAAACAAAAGTATTATAGCCGGTCGGCTATACTGGTTTTTTCCCATTTGTTTAAGAAATATTATAGCCGCACGGTTATACTCGGTTTTTAACTTTTTTTTTAAAATGGATAGTATAGGCGGACGGCTATACTCTTTTTTTTTTATTAATCTCGGTTTTTTTAATTTTTTTTACAAAGAAATAGTATGGCCGGTCGGCTATACTGGGTTTTGCGTTTTTTTAAAGAAATAGTATAGCCCGACGGCTATACTCGGTTTTTTTGAATTTTTTAAAACAAATAGTATAGCCGATCGGCTATACTGTCTGTTTTTAAAAAAATCGAATAGTATAGCCGCGCGGTTATACTCCTTTTTTTTAAAAGAAACAGTATAGCCGTACGGCTATACCCGAAATATAAGAATTAAGATGTTGAGTGTGGACCATTGGGCTAGAATTGGGTTACTCAAAATTGAAGCCCACATAAAGCATTTCATACGACCCAAATCCATTTGGAAGGGGTATTTTCGTAATCAACTTGGCCAGCCACAAAAACCCTAGTGTATATTTGTTCTCCTATATATACACGGTGCACGCAGATCTCTTCTCATGGCCATGGCCCTAGCCGTGTACCTGTGTGTGTCTGGCTCTGCGTATCTGTTTACGTTGTTGCAACTTGCGTGTATGATTTTGATTTAGGTTTAGGGTTTTGATTGATGTTGAGTGGGTTTGGATGAGCAGGGATTGTGTGTATCGGCGTAGTGCTAGAATCAATGCACTCTGATCCGAAAGAGTTCCCTGCAATATCAAATTCGGGGAAGGTGGGCAGTTGTTTTTCATGTTTACCCATTGAAATTTCAACAATCATCTTCCCCATATCTCCTCTCTCTGTATTTCTTCTTTGTTTTGTTCTCTATAATTTCTGAACAAAAGGTCTGTTTCAAAAATACATGAAATAGCTAGAATTTAATGGTAGGCCTTTCACGAATTCCTTAAAAGTATTTTGTGGATTTGCGTCCTCTCATTCAGTCATTTGGGTAAACTAATGGCTGCCTAAGCAGTTTGATCTACTCATCAGAAAATGACCTAAAATAAAAAGAAAATTGCAGAAACCCTGTTTGAGGACCAAAAATAAATCCCAACTTGAGCAGAGCTCACAGAGAGACCAATTACAATCTATGGTGTAATTAGAGGTCCATTTGGGCCAACTTGGGATTTGGGTCTTAAAATATTTCGCTCTTCCATGAGTGTATTGGCAGGCCTTTGGTTTTTAGAAGATGTTGTATTCTAGTTTTCATGTTTAAGGTCTTTTGGCCCACTAAACTGAAAATTAAATGATCCGGATAGTTCTTTTTTGCGTAAATGACTGACTGTAGCAAAATTCTTAACAATTATTCAACCTCTTCAACATAGTAAACAAATAACATCCAAATATGAATGTTGTTTCGGGTTTTTGTTGATGATGATTGTAATAAGGTGAAAATTCACATGCCCAACACGGGAAAGTCACAACGATTCAAATTTCACAAGGAAATGGCACAGAATTTGGTTCAAAATTAACAAGAACCTGGGCTGCATCACCAAAAGATTCGTCCAACGTTTGGTTCCAATTTCCTCTGCTTTCTCAGCGACCAAAGAAAGAGAGTGAAAATTTGATTGGATGTTGCAGAAGTGTGGACAGGCCCACAGGGCTAGACACTGGCACTGGCAGGCTAAAAGGCCTATTCTGGAATTTTCTTAGCTGGTGTGCCACTGTTTTGCTTGCCCAAGGGCCCATGGAATCTCGATCTAATGTTGGATTCAAATTTTAAAATAATGGAAGACAGATTGGCTTTAATGGTAACCCCCCCATCACTCAAAGATTTAGGTTGAGATCCCTGCCTAATCAAGTGGTCCAAATCCGATTAGGGTTTGCTAGCATGGTGGTAAACCAAAACTGTTCATGTTTATCATCTTCATATGGTCCATATGGATTCTAGTGTTAACGATCTTGCAAGGGTTCCATTATTATTTTCTATTCTGAAAGAGACAAAAACCTAATTATGGTGATTTAACTTTTGTCAAGTTATTTTCTATTTTGTAAATCTATGGTCAATTTTGACCATTACTTGATATATAGCTTGAGTATGATGCATGGTGACTTGCTTAGTTTATGGGCTTTTTTTGTTTTGGGCCTGCTATTTTAGTATTTTATGTTGGATTTTTATTTTGTTATGGAGCCCCTATTTTTCTATTTTCTGACTTTTGTATTTTGGGTTTCTTTGTAAGTTGTATCTTTATTTGGCAATGAAATCTTATTCCCTTCAACCGAAAAAAAAACTTTCGTATCAATGATTTTTTTCTTCAGTTTAAGTTTTGCACTCAAAATCTCATGACCGACCATGAAATGCTTAATGAATCAGTAAACAAATTTGATGGCAAATATTTGATAGAATGTTTGAAGTAGTGACATGAGAATGATAAATGTGAAGTAGTGACATGAGAATGGAAAATGTTTGAATTCAGAATCCCCAACTCCAAAACAAAATGACTTTGCTAATTAACTCTCTTGTTGTCTTGTGTTGTCGCATTTTCAAATTTGGTGGATTCATTTCATGCATGCTTCAACATTACCATCATACCAATTTCTATTATTGTTCTACAACCTCTTTGTACCTCATTGATATATTATAGGAATAAAGATCAAGAAATATTTGATGACTTGTAGAACATGATCCTTGAAGCATCATTTTCCAAAAAGCTTCAAGGGGACCTAACTCAAGGTGCTGCCTCCTTCAATGTCCCCAAAAACCCACTTTTAGAATATGCAACACCACCTCATGCCACGTTGATGTGTAATTCAATTAGGATCATGCGCATTGGGGCAAGTTGATTTTAATTGGAGCAACCACCAATAATCCCACATTAAAAATGATTGCATTTTGAAGCTATCTTTTCAAGTTGGGTGGTGGGTTGATGTGGGGTTCTTTTGTACTCAACTTGAGAAACCTCATACCGTATGGCATTCTTGTGGTGTCTCTAGACTCTCTACCATTCTCCTTTCAATTATATGATGCAAAGTGTTTTTGATTGATTGCCATATCCAATATCCAGGCTGGCTGTGAGCATTTCTCATGGTTCAAGCAACTCATATATGGAAGGCAAATATTGTTGGACTTCTTCTCCTGTGGCAGCTGCAAAAAAGAAAGAAGAAAAAACGGCTTATCTCAACTTTCCCTTGACATGGCAAGTGCTGTATCGCTGAAAGCTATATATACGTAAAAAGGTAGAAGAATATTATGACCAACAAAAAAAGCAAACTGAAGAAGTTGTATTCTAACTTGTGATCTTGATGATTGTATGAAAATTAGTGGAAGAACACAACCATTTCTAGGTTTGATTACTTTGCTCTAAAGTAGATGAAAAAGGAAAATAGTAAAGTACTTAAGTAACTAATCAGCTATCTAGTATGACGTTATGAAGTGAGTGAAACAAACACAAGAACAAGTTGAGAAACTTTTTGGAATTAATTTTTTTAATGGAAAAACTCTAGTATTGTTAGTTGACTAAGTCAAAGATAGTAAATTAAAAATCATAATTTCCTGGTTTTATGTGAAAAATATATGTAAAGTAAGATCTCAGGTTCACATCACAGCCTGTGTCTGGAAAATCTTAGTAGATAATATAATACAAGTTATCCCATCCCTTTTAAGTTTTAAACCATACTTACCTAACATTAGGTAAAATAAATAATACAGCCTACCTTTGTCCAACTAGGTAATGAGTACCTCTCTCTCTCTCTCTCTCTCTCTCTCTCTCTCTTGCAAAGTTGCAAGTATAAAACTTTTTCACATCAAAGTTGGTGTCTCTATCTTTCTTTGAGAAAGAAATAATAACAAATACAAAAGAGTTCAGCTGAAAAATACTAATCAAGCCTTGAAGTATATTCCTGAGCCTATAAACTCATGGTCCCATATCTGCAGAAAAATGAGCTTGCAGATGGAGAAGGGAACATAATGGAATGAGATGCGAAATCAAAGTAGGCCTTAAATTAGGCGACAAAATAATATGAAGGAGGCCCAGAATACATCCACAACCTTATATATAATTGATTGATAGGAACTGCGACTTGGGCATAGAGAGGTCCCATAAAACTGAACACTAATTCATTTATCAACCACATAAAATTCAATACAAATTCCATTCGTGAATGTTTTCTCATATTCAAAACTCTCATCCCCTGTAGTTTAGATTAGGAGTTCTTCGATCTAAGTCTAAAATTTCTAGCCGTCATTGGATTTAGTCCACACCTTTTTTGTTGTAGATTTGGGTCCAGTGACTTTTATTAATTTTTTCTTGTGTCAATTTTACCGTTTGAGGTAAATAAGAAAAGAACATTAATTGAAAATCCAAATTAATGTATTGATTCTTTCCTTCTAAATGGATTTCATATTTTAAATTTTGAATCCTTCTATTGACACCATGACACATCCGAACCAAAAAAACCGTTTTGTCAGGTAGAATACTTTAACAATTAACTATTGCAATATTTACCTAATATATAGATAAAATACAATTTAAGTCATGAAAGTAATGACCCTCATATTTTATCTTACAATAAAATTTAAGACCCATAGGCAAGCACCAACATAAAATTGTACCTATCCATAAGGTTGATTTGTGAGGTTTCAAGCATAAGAACAAATAAAAAAAGTTCATATAAAACAATGAAAGTAGGAGTATTATTGATGATGTCTTCCCAACAAGTATTTACCTGATTACTAGGTAAATATGAGATAATATATTTAATTATTAGGTAAATATAAGATAATATACCTAAAATATTAGGTAAATATAAGATAATGTACCTCATTACTAGGTAAATATAAGATAATATACCTAATTATTAGATAAATATAAGATAATGTACCTACTTACTAGATAAATATAAGATAATATACCTAAATACTAAGTAAATAAAGACATATCACAAACAACCAACATGGAATTGTAGGATCTGGTATAAGCCTTTTCAGACATCCCACTCAACCTTATCACTTTTTGCCGATCGAATAGAAGCCCCGACCTATAAGCCATTCAACCCAAAAGAATTACAACCACAAAGACCCAATATGAATATGAAAACGCACGCAAGAAACTATGCAAAAAGAAATTTTTTTTGTTTTCATTTACCTTGTTGTAGCAATTTGTAAGCAAATCACAGCTTTGCATACCTCAACTTGCAAATTATAAGCAACCTGATAAATACCCAATTAGAAAATCAATCAAACAAGGATTTTGGTTTCGAATGAAACTCACGATGCCGATTATAGAAGAGTCATAGGGTATGTGACAGTTGACTTCTTGGGGAAGTTGAAGGGCTTAATGGGAAAAGAATTTGGCTACACTGACTTGTTGGTGAAAGTTGCAGAGATTGTGGTTGAGAGAGAGTCCGGATTGGTTTAGGGTAGAAAATATCATAATTATTATCATAAAAATTAATTTCTTACCTTATTTAATTTTTAGGGGCATGATGGGAATAACTAAGTAATTTAAAAATGAAAAAAATAAAATGTAAATATCAAAATATCAAAAAATAAATGTAATCATACGTGGCACAAAAGTTAAAGGACTTGTATCAATAACAACAACTACGATGATGGCATCCAAGTTCCGTTTTCGATTTTGGACTTATACCGAATTTTTTTATTTAGATTCTCTTGTACTCGCACAAAAAAAAAATGAAAAAAAAATGAAAAGGAACGAAAAAAGTTGTAGCCTTGAATATTTGAACAAAATAATGAAAAGGATATTGCTTTAGGGAGGAAGAATCAATGAACAAGCCGCAATGGAATTAGGCAAAATTGTCATAAAGTAAACCATTTTATTGATTCATTAGCACAAACTGTCTAAAAATGTTCTCTGATTCAGATACAAATTTGTTTTGTTTGTTGGTTTTATATGGGAATAATGTGTTTTACGGTCTCTTTTCATCCTGAAAATGATATATAGGGAATGACAAACAGAAAAATAATTAAAAGAAAGAAAATAGAGAAAAATAAATAAAATAAAATAAAAGGAAGATGGAAGTAGAGAGAGAGAGTGTCCCCCCGAAGAGGAACCTTATGTTGGGAATTAAATGGACCTTTCCTAGACCACATTAAGCAGCTTCTTAAATATCATTTCAAACTCGTACACCTATTTCCCTAATTAAAACACTTGAGAGGCCACGTGTCAAATTTTATATATTTATTTTTTAAACAAATTAATTGCTTTTTCCGAAATGTTAGGATAAGCTTCTCAATTCTCCACTTTTTCAATGGATTTGTATTAATAGTAATTAATTAAAATTAGGCCTACGTGGGGCTAATTAAACTTAATAAAATGTTGCAAGTCATTGCATGACTTTTCATGATCAGATTGTGCTAATCACGTTTTTATTTTTATGTGTGTTTAATTAACTTGTAGTCATCGCAAGTAAGTGGCTGGAATTAATGGTGCAAACCACGTCGAGAGGGTGTTGGTGTGTGACATTATTATTTCACTTTGATCTACACGCTTTAGTCATTATCCAAATCAAACTTTTCTGCCGCCCACAAGTAAATATGATTAATTTGACATTTCTGAATAGATATGACCTAATTATGTTGGATAATGTTTGCAATCACTCGCAAACCATATGTCTCAAGTAAATCGTGATCATGCTTACAAATAATGCAAATTGAGACTTAATATTCGAATTAACAATTCTCGTACTCATTCTTTTACCATCCAATCGAAGATGTTGTGAAATAATTGTGAGAAAAATAATGCCACTAACCAAGCCATTAACTGTGTAGAGCCAAGCCACCCTACAAGGATTAATAAAACGTCTGGAAAACCAACCTTAAGACAGACACCATGATGAAAAGGTCATCTTGCTTTTCAATTTTTGCATATAATGGCACAATATCTTTCGTGGGGGTGGATGAAACAATAATTACATCACAAAAAGTATTTAATTATGGAGATATGGTATGGAGATGGAGCTGTCTCCCTCCGAATAGGCCTCACCCTAATGTTGGGTGATGACTGTGGCCTTTCCCCGACATATGGCCGCACCCATCACCATTTTGGAAATTAAGAATTAGAGGCCACGACCAAGTCTTTGGGGCTCACTGTCTATTATGTTTATGTTTTTGCTTATCAGGGACAGGGTGTCCAAACAACAAATAAATTCATTAAATTGTATAAAAGGATGTTATTGGAATTGGAACTGCATGAGGAGAAATTAAAGTTAATCTTCACCATGTTTGAAGACTGTAAACTCTCACGTTGCAGAAACTTGACAAAATAAAATAAACTTTGTGTAAGTAAGTGGTGCCACTACAAGTAAAGATGATCATTATACAAAACGCCTAGAATTTGCACATTCAATCACGTGATGAGAGATACATAGACAATGAGTTATTGCACCCGCAACAAGGAAGTTTTTCGGACCTCTAGAAAAGAAACCCTCAAATGGTCAAATTGTTTACCAATTTTGTCGATGTATTTACATCTCCAATATGTCGTATTTGTAGTTAGAAGTTAGAACTTCTGTGTTTGAATGGAAATCCTGCAGCATATATATGATGTCTATGTACTGTCGACTGTAGAATGAGGCTAGTTAACATAAATATATGTCTGCTCCTGTGGGCGGTGGTGACTTTGTCTGAATTACAACACAACACAACACAACACAAGAGTACAATTGTAATAAATTATCTTTGATTCCAAGCCTTTATTGGTCGCAACATAATAAACCCACGAAAAACAGAGCAAGTGTAGAAGAACAGATCTCCATTTGACAGATGAAATCTCCGTACCCTCTTTGAACAAAAATAAAACCTTTTTTATTTTCTTTTCTCTTATGCTTTTTAGGCATGCAAATTGCAATGCCCACCTTAGCCCATGTAGCTAGCCACTCAGCCCTCTCAAGTCTCACCCACACGTCAGTCTTTGATAACTGTGCATGCAACTTATTTGCTTTCTTTTCTGTTCTTCTCTCCTCCTCTCTGCCTCTTTTTCTGTTTCAAATACTGTTTGGATGTCAAGAAAACTGGTGAGAAAATAGAATAGTGTTTCTTTTCAACTACACAGAGAAAGAGAGAAACTAAACCGAGTTGCAGCACTCCTTCTTGGTTAAATACCCATTTGATTTGATTCTAGATGCACACCAGTCAACTTGACCTTTATTATATATAAGTTGACAGAAAAAGAAGAAGGGGTTCAAATGCTTTCTAATAATGTGTCATTTTGTTGAGCTAATACCAGAACATAATGTCAATGTGGTTGGTGAAATTTTGACAAAATAAAAAGGATGACTTTTTATTTTATGCAAACGACCCACACCAGTATAGCGGTTCGAAGCAAATTCCCACACAAAATAAAACATGCTCTATTAATATTATGTAGCCTCTCAATAACCTTTGTGTTCGTCTATCTTTTGTGCATGTTAGTCCCTTTCTGATTTGATTATTAGGTCTAGGAAGGTTGTGTTCGGTTTTTCATGTCTCTAGCTACCACCTTTTTATAAGTTTGTTAAGATTTTGTATGGATTTAAAATGATGTAAACAAACAAGCATTACAATACGTTGAAAAAGGTAGATATGATTGCTTCTTCAACCGTATGGGTTGTTGGTTTCATGCTAATTTCTTGAAGTTTGAAACACATATCAAAGCTCATCACTCTGACTTTCCCACCACAACCCACAAAACCAAATGGTTAAAAAATCACGTCACACCCAAAACACAGCAAAAGGCAAAGAGAGAAGTTTCAATTTTAAATAGGATATGCAGGCAGATCATCTTTCATCATAGCCATGGACCATGGCGGCCAAGGCATGGCCGTTGCTAACAGCAGTAGACCCTGCTTTGGGTCTGAGCTATAAGACTCTAGCTGGTCCCAAAAAGGACATGGTCAAAAAAGACACATAAACCCTACTATATATGAGGGCTCGACTCGACCCCTTTCTTTCTCTCTCTTCTTCTCTATCTGCACCAAAACTTTGACCTATTTCTCTGCAAAGTGAAAAAACAATTGCACAACTCCCAATGACCTAATTTTGTAATTTGGATTTGTATCTGCTTCCTCTAAAATTTTATGCATTTACCATTTGGTTTGGTCAATGCCTTCAAATGGGTCGTTGTTTTTGTTCCCACTTCCCATATTTGCTTTGACATGTGAATAATTTTGGGTTTTGAATTAAATTCCAAAAAAGTGAAAATAACCATTTCTTGAGGAAACAGTGGTAAATAAAAGTGAAGGAAAGGCAGTAAACAAAGTAAGCAAAAACAAGAAGAGCCAGCGCATCTTTCTCTTGCTTTCTCTGCTTTTCATGCATTCCTAATACCTCCTGCCCAATGCTCTCCCTTTCACTGATAAAGCCAAGCAGTGACCCCATTTCTACTCCACATTGCAACCCCATTTTTTATACATCTCTTAGAGAGAGAGAGAGAGAGAGAGAGATTCCCGTGGGGCCTATTGTAGCATAGATGATTCAAACATTGTCTTCAAAATATCACAATAAAAATTCATTCAATTGCATAAGCTATGATCCATCCCCTTTTTTTCTCTATAAACCCTGTACACTTTTTGTTATTCCAAGTCACCTCCCCCTTTTTCTCTTCTTTGGGAACATATTTAACTCTGTTCCCTAGACCTATCTTTCAAATCTTCACATTCCTTGATTACCACAAAAATTTCACCTAAAGGGAAAAAAAGAAGAAGGAAAGAATAAGAAAAGACATCAGAACCCAAACCACCCTCTCCCTTGAATGTACAAAGCACCCAAACCACCCCCAACACCAAAACACCTTTGGCTGTGTCTTCAAAATTCAGCCATAGGGCAGCACCCAACAACAAACCACAGAGCTTCTGTTGTTCCGCCACAGTTGTGGTCGTGCCGTCTCTGAATTTACCCCAAGTCTTTTTGCTCCATACCCCCATTGGAGCTGCTTGAGCCTTCTCCCTCAGAAGAGGATCAAATGTTGAATCTTCTTAAATCCAACAGTGGTTTCCACTCAGAAATTTCTCATTTGAAGACTACCTATCTTCTATGAAAATTCTTCCAATGAAATCCCTGAACCTCTTCGAGTAAAGCTTTGGATCAACAGCTGAGATCGAACTTGGGTCAGCTTGCAAGGATTTATATGCATGCTCTAACTTCTTGCTGATATCGTAGTCTTGTAAAATGTCGATTATCCCAAAATAGAGGACTACGTCGTAGATTTCACCGCTGCGTGAAGGGGTCAAATGACTGAACCCACCAGGGGTGTACTGATCGAAGTCACTCTTTCGAGTCATCCTCTCTGCCCTAGCAGGCATATTGGCTCCTAAACAGATCAATGGTTTCCTGATAGAGGACATGTTTTCATATCAGTTTAGAACATAATTCATACACTAAAAGACGTAAAATCATTTCCCACTAAACTAGAAACAATTAGGCCATTCAAGAATCCTCATTGCATCAAAAACCTACCCAGAATTCACATCTGTTTTGTGTCAATTTTCCTATTAAAAGTAATCTTATTTTTTCCCATTGGGAGAATTGGCTAGATATACTGATTTCATTTGGGAAATGAGCCAATTATTGGGTCAAAACAATCCAGGCACCCTTATTCTTATCTAGGAACCCACAGGCAATTGTTACCTAATGGATACCCTATGAATTCAATGGAAGAATTATTAGACAAGCCATTGCCATCAAAACAGCATTGACAAAGCTCAACCACATTATCTTTTCTAGAAATCTTTGTTAAATCAATTGCTCGGAAAGATTTGGTTGCATAGGTTAAACTAGAAGAAAACAATAAATGATGAATCAAAACATACCGGCCAGACAAAACTCGATCCATCTCTTGTAGCTCCGCTTCAAGAAATCGACACCCACGCATAAACTTTTCATTCTGATATGAATCTTTTTGGCCTGCAAGGGACACAAATACTTAATTCAGCATTCTCGTATACCCACAAAATAATTAACCTACAAATCACTGATGGGAGGACATTGTCAATTACCAGATCGCAAAATAAATGGTGACAGCCCCATTTTGTCATATGTATTGCTGCCATCATAAAAATGAACACCAACCAAAAGACTATAATCCATGATTCTCTCTGCTTCCAGAAATTGACAATCTAGATCAATTTGCCTGCCAATGTTCATACTAATTAATAACAAGTCAAAGAGATAGAATTCAATAAAAGGGGATAAAATTGCTTCTTCTAGGGCCTTACGTCATAAGGTCTTGGAACCATTTTCCTTGGAGGCGAAACACAAAATTAAGATCCAAGTCCTTGAGAGTTGTGATTTCATCGATTTCCCCCTCAGGCTTATCAGTTGTTCGACCATGGGATGATCCTTTTAGGTCAAATCGTCTATGTATTCTGTAATCCGAGCAGAACAAATTGCCCATCACAATAAACCTCGTCTGATTTCCAATCAAAGAACAACTAGTTAGATACAAAAAAACATCTCATCATTCAACACAGGGATTGACTCTAAACCAGGCAAACTGGTCTTCCCAACACGTACCTTCTGGCCGCCTACAGGTTTGACACAATGCACACCATAGAATTTTGTCACAAGAGAATTTTCATACCGAGAAACATGTCTGTAATAACTCTGAAGCATCCTAATAAGCACCTGAAAACAAAATACAAGCCATCAGATCAGTTCAGTCCAAATGTTGTCTAATTAAGAAAGTAGAGTGGTAGTTACGGAACAAAAAAATTGGCAAAGCGCTGATTATGCCACAGAAATGTCCTTTTGTCTCCAAAAAAGTAAATACTGATAAAAATAAGTCAAACAGGTGGGCAACTAACCTTGACTTCCGATTTCTTGACTGTCTTTATCATAAATCTATCATCCTGAGTCAGGTAAAAGAAACTTCCGCTCTTCCCTGGAGAAGAAAGCTCCCTAAGGGCATCATTTCCACAAATAGCCAGCATATAATCTGCAGGATCTACTTGGAATAGCTCCCTCAAATGTCTGAAATAACCAATTGAGTTTTTAGTAACAACACTCACAATCAAAGAAGAAAACGCAAACAGTTGTGGCTTGTTTATCAGAGCTTCTAATTATAGTATTTTAATTACATTAACCTCTAATAAGAGAAAAAATGGTCATCCAACAAGAAATAATCAACCAAAAGACAGAACTAGAAGTTGAATAGCATCAAGATACCTGAACACCATAGGACAATAGTCCTTCCACCGAAACTCAAACGACTGATGGGGCGGCGTTTTGTTCGATCCTTCCGGTGGAAACCTGGTCCAGAACTTCTCTTTGGGATCGAAATCACTGGGCTTAAGATCCCTCACTATCGAAGCATGCTTCCCAATAGAGTATCTAAAAACCAAAAACACCACAACATCAAACACCAGCCTCCATTGATAAAGAAAACCCATAAGCAAAAAATCACTCCACGACTTGTAAAATCGAAAAATCAGAATAAGTACCTAATACCCAGTTGAAGATTGAGCATCAAATCGTAGTTCTTATGCCCTTTTGATATGGTCTGGCCAGGCTTCTTGGGCTCGCCAGAAAAACAACAGGGACTTCGCCGGAACTTGCCAAACCCATCTCGATCGAAACCTGTGCCGTTTCTGTAGAACATCGAAGCCTCCACATTATCGATAATATCACAAGTAATATCCCCAGCTTCCCCATCAGACTCCCAGATACAAATCCGGGGAAAAGTCCTCTCCGCCAAGCTCCCTCTAGCACCATCCACCGACGAAACGGAGCGTTTTCGCATCGTAATCGTCAGATTCTCAGCCCCAAATGCCCCAATGTCGGTCAAGCTCTGCTCCTTCCCGCCATTAGCAGGATAAAAAGTACCGTTGAGCTGATGAACCTTCAGGTCCTTGTTCCACGTACCCACATAGCAGCTCCCGTCCGGCCAAGTGAAGATTCCGTTACCTTTCGGAACGCCGTTTTCCCATTGCCCGTCGTATTTGTTCCCGTTCGCCCAAATCAACACCCCGCGACCCGAAATGACGCCGTTTCGCCACTCCCCTACATACTCATTCCCGTTTCCCCAAACGTACCGTCCTTGCCCGTCTTGGACGTTTCGTTTCCAAGAGCCCTCGTAGAAGTCGCCATTCGCGTACCGTTTCTGGCCGAACCCGTGCTTCCGATCCGACGACCAGGAGCCCCGATACGTGTCGCCGTCGGATCCGATGAACGTCCCGAACCCCTCCATCCGACCCGACTTGAACTCGCCCTCGTACGTCGCGCCTGACGGCCACGAGAACTTGCCTTTGCCAGAGGCCTTCCCTCGCCGCCACTCGCCTTCATACATGCACCCGTCGGTCCAGAGGTACTTGCCCGATCCGTTTGGGACCGACCCAGTGAAGCTCCCGATGTAGAGATCTCCGTTCGGCAGATGCCTCTCGACGCTAGACGACGTCGTCGTGGGAAAGGTCGCGATGGTCGTTATCGTCGTCGTAGTCGTCGGCGTCACTCGGCGCGTCGCCGCCTGGGATCGGCTGCGCCCGATTCCAGCAACTGCCGCCGGCGCCAGCACCAGCTGCGGTGTTTCTCTGTCCCCTTTGTGGTCCTCCTCCCCCGACTTCTTCTTCTTCGTGTGGGAAACGACGTCGCTCGGCGATTCACATAGCAGTGCTTCACGCATTTTCGTGTCACATATATACACACCCCAGCCCACAGCACAAACTGTCACACAGCTCACAGGCACAGCACACAGCTCTGAACTCTTGGGTCAGTCCGGCAGCATTAGGGTTGTCTCGAAGGAGAGGAACTCGCCGGAAAATGAAATCCGGTGAGCATTTTTAGCGGAAGCTGTCTCAGTGTGTCGCTTTTGCTTTTTGTGTGTTTTTGGTATTTGGGTTTCTCTTTTGTCTTTGTTGGGGGTCTTTGGTTTTCTCTTTACTATCTACCTCTCTCTCTTTTGAGTGCTTTGTGTTTGGGAAAATAGGTGGGAATGGGAATCCCTACAAACCAACACAACACAAGGCGCACAGCAGAGAAAAGGATAGAGAGAGAGAGAGAGAGAGAGAGAGAGAGAGAGAGAGAGAGAGAGACCCAAAAACAAAATCAAAACCCAAAAAATAAATTTAAAAAATGAAATGAAAAATAAAAAGGTGGAAGACTGAAGAAGAAGAGTATTGATGAGCCGGCTTTTGCCTTGGGAACGTTGCTGCAATGCAAGCAGAAAATTTAAAAATAAATAAAAACAAAAATATATACATACCTATTTGCCATACTGCCAGCTCAGCTGCTTGTTTTTATTTAAATGACTAATTTGTCCTTGACTGTTCCTTTCCCTCTCCCCCCTACCTCCGTCGTTACGCCGTTTCGTCGTGACGTGATGTGACGGAATTGCCTAGGAATGGGAAGATTCATAACGCTGTAAGCCCTGCCGATAAGGCCGTTGTACATTTACGTAATTTAATTAAACCCTCCCTCGTTTACCCTTGTCTTTTCCTCGGATTGGAATTTCAAAATGACGATTCTACCACTAAGTTTTTCATTTTATTACGGTTTTGCCTCTGTGCGGGTGGTCCCCACACTCCTGATTTCTGTGACACGTCCAATGTTTGACGATCCTATTTGTACCTTCCAAGGCTAAATAAAATAAAAAAATTATACTTCCAAAAACCAAACGTCTTCTTTTTTTATTTCCTTCCCCATTGTCAAAGGCCTAAAAATATGCTTCTAACCATAATCTACTGTTCTTTTTAGGACAATTAATTAATTTCTTTCTTCTTTTTTTTGTGGTTGGGTTGGGTTAATTATTAATTAATTTGATTAATAATAATAATAATGTAGGTAGTAGATGAATGGTATATAATTTTATTTATATTAATGCGATTGGAAGTTTCGCTTTCAATAAAATAAGAATCTAAAATGATATTTGATGATGATGAGAGACATGCGAAAATTAGTATTTATGGTGTGTTGTTGTGTAAGCCCAAATCGGGGTGGGATTGGAGAGAATGTTATTTCTTTTTTAGAAATATTATTCAATAATTTGGGGTAATAGTAAATTAGTCTTTCCTATTTACACACCCCTTTTTTTTAGATGATTCTAATCTTTCATAGGAAATTATTTTTTTGCTAACTTTCTATGATAGAAAATGGAATACATTATTTTTGTGTCTCTACGATCTGTTTTTTTTTCTTTTTTTGCTTTGTGAATTATTATGTGCCTTTGACATAGTTTTGTGGGTTGGCTTCTTTTTTTTTCCCCTTTTTATATGGTGGTCCAAATTAATATAGGCCTACTAATAACTTTGAAAACCTTTTCTTATTGGGTTGGTCCAATTTTTAACGATTATATTAGGTTCGATTATTACTCGTTCTTGAGAATGTCCAAATTTTTTGAGTAGTTAAAAGCGTCAATGGATTTTGATTTGTTGAGTATCGGTCAACTATGACTTGACATGTTTGATTCATTTTATGATATGTTAATCGATTGGGTCATTTGATATACATCTTGTTAAACTCAAGATAACGACATTTTAAGATATAACGTATTAGTAATTTTCTTTTCAAAATTGAAAGAGGTTCGAAAATGCAAGCAAAATCAACCAATTAGTTATTCTAAATAAATAAAAACTCCATACAATAACATATTAATAAATGGAACAAAAAATGAAAACTATAGGCATTTTTTAAATATAGTGCCAATTTTACAAAACTTATTTGTGTCACAATGTGTTTACTACTAATCTAAAAAGTTTATTACATGATAGCATATTAATAAAGTAACAATTATTTATAACTCCTTATCCATATTGGGTTTTTTTCCTTCCTTTTTTTTGAAAAGGGTTTATGTGAGGTTTGAATTTAGCCTAGCCTCTGGTCAAAAGGGAAAAAGAATGAATCCCCATGTAAGCTTTGGAAATGGTGATGTGGTGCACAATGAATCATAAAAGGCATGGACCTCTATTTACCATATGTGTGGCCCATTTCAATTAGTGGGTTGTCCAATTAGGCATCTCAAGATCATGACCCAAATTTAGAACAAGGTGTAATATAATTGTTAACTTATATGAGATTGCATTATTTATGTATAGATATATGTCTTTCTCATATGCAATCAAATTCAATTATGGAAGCTCAGCTACTGTTTTATTGTCCTAAACTTACTTACAAGATACTTGTGTTCAATTTTTTATTTCTTATTAATTGGGTTTGAATTTCGATAATCTTTTTATTTTGTTGTCAAAGTTTTAAAAAAAAAGGGAGAGTTTTCTCGCACACATTGCCAATGTACCATAAGGGTTCGAATCTAAAACCATTAATATACAAGTCAATAACATTTGTAACTAGATTAGGGCCCGTTGGCATTGGGTTTCAATTTCATGACACTCCATTAATCCTGAATAGACCACACTTGATGAGCCGTTTTGCAAATTAGTGGTTATCCCTGTTGCATGAATCTTATTGTTCCACCACATGCTTCCCTAGCTCATTCACTATGTCTGGCCTCCTCTAAGTTATCTTTCATTATATATAGACCCACATGTGCTCTACATTAATATGCTAAATTATAATTAGAATAATTTCATGACTCGCACTTTCATCTAATACAAGTTTAGTTTAAAAGTAACCCTTAATTAGGTGTCAAATTTTTGTTTGGTCGACAAGTAGGTGTCATTATTCGCAATCATACATGTCATAGGCGAAATCAAGATTTTACATTTGGAGGTGCCAAAACTTAAATCAAAAACAAATTTTCTTGTAACAAGATTTCGTCAAGGCTCAAACTTACAACATTGAGTTTAGAACTCGTTTCATCCTTATCGTTTTATCATAAAGAACTCATAAAGAAGAGCAGAATGCTTTTTCTGTATCGCAAAGCATTGTGAATCATAAATTCGAAATGAATTAATTTTCCTTTACTCATTTCCGTGACCCATCGAATTAATAAGGTCCCGGGCCTCTGATGAACATGCGGGCGCCAACAATGGAGTTAGCCCCATGCATACTTAATATATCAACCAACCCCTAAAGCTGCACTGCATAAATTCATTATTTGGTACAAATGTCTTTCTTCTGTTATGGGCTGCAAATTTTGTACAAATTTTTTATAAAAAAATGTCAAAATAGTTTCACAAATTGATGGGGGTGACATTTTTGTTTTAGGAAAAATGTAGCGATTATATGTATATAAACCATCATATTTTGTTATATCAAATGAGTGGCCGACAGGACGAGAGTCAAACTCTCTTATTATTACTAACCTGGATTAGAGGTCTTGATTAATAGTTTGATATACATAATTACATTGTTAATTTATTATCTGATACTGTAAACTTTTGGAGCCTATTGAACTCAAGTTTCGACGCGACTCTCAACCCCTACTTACCATATTTAACTTGTCACTCACCACCATAGAACAAAATATTGATAATTTCACCGATATTTTGGCGAAATTATAGATTTTTTGGGACAACGATATTTTAGCATGTTTCCATTCATTTATCGATAATTTCGCGATAATATCGGTGGCAATATTTTCGTTCAAATGGCAGCTACAAATGATCAACATATCGCGATATGAACTTTCAAAAATGAAATAATTCACTTGACTCACGCACATAGCGGTTCAAACCCATCCCCCCTTACAAGTTCGGAGCAACTTAATCACCACGCTAGTCATCACTTGGTGATTAGTACTTATGGAATCTAGTATTTATAACTCTTCCAAGATGTTTCTCAAAATATAAAATAATTACTTATTGTTCTATATTGTTGATCAAATATTTAATTACTTAATATAATTTATTTATTCCCTATTTAATCCATTTAATGTTATTGCTTATTTTATTATTCATTATAAGTACTTACATTACTAAATTCCCCTCCAAATTGTTGTTTAATTACTTAAATCTCTATGATAATTTTCTTTATTTCCTATTTAATTCTTCCTTGGATAACTTTAAGTAAATTTATGTTCTTAGTTAATTTTGAATCTTCAGTATTATTTTTTAAGCATGGTAAAGTGCTTAATTTTCATAACAAATCAAGTTGGTTTACATCTTTAATTATTTTTCAAGTTTTAATCAATAATATATATAAGAACGTATACCATGTCATGTCCAGTGAATAACGTGAAACAAAGTTACTCATGTATCTTACCATGCAATTTATAAAGTGTAAACTATTGTAGTAAAAATGATAAATAAATTACTAGAGGGTGTTTAATTTTCTTTCATTAATTACTCTAGATTTTCTAAGTCACAGAGTTTGTCAGCTCGCAATATAATCAACTTAAATCACTCAAACCTACTATGCAATGCATTTCCTTCCAATCTTTTGTGTTAAAATAATAGATGATTGACTAAATAAACTTTTTATAAAGTTTCATTAAAAATTTCCATGTATTTATCACAATTTCCGTGGTTTTTATCTAATTTTTATCGATATCGATATTTCCATCGATATTTCCGTGTTTTTGAACCACCAATATTTTTGAAACCCTCGATATTTAAGACCTTGCTCACCACCCACACCCCCCCTCCCTAACCATTAGTTACTTGGGTTGTTATAACTAGAAGCAAAATATACTTGATTAATGAATACGATATTATGATGTAGATATGATTATTTCTCAATTAGGTGTTCATACTAGAATGGTGTCTGGTTGCCATTTGCCACCTTTGA